TTTTTTTTTTTTTTTTTTTTTTTTTTGGAAAAGTGAAAAAATGGAAAAACATCTATTCGAGGAATGACTCGAGGCCAGGTCTGGGGGAACTGGACCAGTCATGCATTTATTAGAAGTGATTAGAATGATCTGAACAGGTGAGGAGGAGGCGCGAATTGTCTGACGCTTGTCTGCAGCTTCTCTGGTTCCTTCTTTCTTTGAGTGTACCCAAGACATGGAAGCCCGGGACGCAGCATCTGAAGCTGCGAAGCCAGGACTTGACCGGACGGACCTCTTGCCTTCAGCGCAAAAAAATGGTATGTAGCAGCATGGTCCAGCAACCGGTTTGATATTGTACATCCGCATCCCATCTCCATTCAGTCCCAACCCCATTAGTAGTACCCATCTACCAACTGAAGCCACACCACAGTCGCCCCAGTAAAGCCGTTGGCGTTCACTTTATTGCGCCCCCCTTGCTCTTACGAACGGTGCATTGATTATATACCGGTATTTGATTATCAAGGCTCTCGAATCGAGACGCTTCCACCTCGAGATGTACCTCCCGAGGCAAGGCTCTCGCTACCTTAACGTGCTAATGACCAAGCTGGTATGCGAAGTACTTGGCGAGGAATGACCTCACTGGCCCACCAGATCCTTCGGCGCACCACTTTCTATTGCAACACAGACACAAGCGACTCGCCGACCGACTGCTATCCGCTGTACATATTACGCAGGCTGTGCCTGGCGTACTTTCAAAATAGAAAATTGGCTTATTAAGTGGCTATACATATACAAGTCGTAGGAATCGATCTCTCGATTATAGGTTGAACCGCCATTACATTCTACTCGTCATCGCTTTTGGCATCTGGGGAAATTATGGTTTGTAGGATGCATGCATGTACACATGGCATGACTTGTCTACAACACCATCTGCAATTTTGCGATCAATGTCGGGAGAGTGCAAATTGGGAAATCCGGCCAAAGTGGCTGCTGTTGCTATTGCTGGGTTTTTGAATTTTTTAGTGGCATGGTGGAGCGGCGGGACTCCCGAGAGCCACGAGCGTTTCTCCTTACTGCCGCCCCTGAAGAGTTTCAATCTTTATTTTCGGCAGACGATTCATCGAGGTAGGGAATAGCAATAAAAGCCAGACGCCCGGCCTTTTTCAGTTTACTGGTTGGTTTCCTGACTCAATGGACCAGCTTGGCCTGGCACCCTGGCGCAGTCTCGGGCGACGGCATTGATTCATGGCAATATGGGCATGTGGACTTTTCCAAAAGCCCCACTAGGAGAACATCATGATCAGCCATTTGATATAATTGTTTTTATTGTTAATTGCTTGCCGAGTACGAGGCAATGTCGAGGCCATCGCCAAGCATGTGGTTTTAAGAACTCGTAACTAGTACCGACAAATCTTGGAATCTAATCAAGTCTGAAAAGCCTCTTAGAGTTTCGCAATATGCAGCCGACTAACAGAAGGTGACCCGTTGCAAAACAAGCTGCTTTCGTGATCTCCTAATAGCGAGGGGCGGCAGTGGTGGGATCGTGTTCACAAGTTTTTAGTTTTTCTTCTTCCTCCGCCGTCGTCTGCTTGGGAAGAACTTCAAAAGAACATGTGGTTAGGTAGTTTGACAGATGGGCGTTGCCACCAATTCATTTGATACTGTCCTCGAGACCTTGCAGCAGCATGATGCGATCCATTTTCCTTGCTTTGGGAGTCAAGTCCTAGCTAAGGTACGGGGAATGCACTATTACTAGTACTGCTGCATACAGGCTGACAGGTACCATTGCGTCATCCGTTCACACATACGTGGGGTTCGGATTTTTGGCGCGGGTGGTTTTTTTTTTTGGGCTTGTTCTTTTCACCACCTCGAACGACGACCTGACCTTTTGGGCTCCACATTAGGCCGTCTGGGTATGAAACTCTCTCGGCACTTCCCACCTCATTGGCCATGGTTTGCCAGACAAGGCTTACTCGTGATCCATCTGCCGTACCTCAGGGCCTCACCGATATTGCTTCTGCTTATCTTGACAGGCTGAACATGTTTTCCTTCAACAACTTTCTCACTTTTCACTTCTCATGGTATCTTTTCATGTTCAGTCTAGGTTCGACCTCTCGGAGAAGCTCAGGCTCACATGCCCGGTGATTAATGCCAACAAGGCTATGCTTGCCATATGAGCCACAGTGTACAAGATCAGAGCAGAGGACCCGGAGGATACCTGATTTTATAATTCTGGACGAGATATCACTTCGTCATGAGATTGATATAACGGCCACCGAGGACCTATGACTGGAAAGTAAGGCTGACTCATCTACTCTCCAGCCACGGTAAAATATCTGATATTATAACCCCCACATTATGGATGTGACATTGCCTTACATACAGTCAGACAACTTGCTATCCTCGTAAGCAGGGCCAGCCACCCTCAAATGAATTGCCAGAGATGTTGTCTATACGCAATCTTGTACAGATGCATTTCCAGCCAGACTTTGGACACGACCGTGGGTGACGAGAGCAGCAATGTTGCCGAGTTTGCGGGTATCTTGATTTTGTCTACCCATCGCTGTTGCTTGATTCTTACCACTTATAATAGCCATTGCCTTTAAGAGGTAACTACAATAATGGGTAAATGGACGGAACAAAGCGTGGAATGGACAGCAATACGAGTTATACCAAACTCGGGACCATGGAATGATACTCCACAAGTGGCTGAGGCCTGTGACTGGCCGTGAACAGACTCATATAGGCTATTGGTTGTGTAGGAAGCGCTTTTACTTCACGTTGTCCGCATGATTACTTTCACTTAGAACAACCATCTTCAAATTTTGCCCTTTATTTTGCATAGTGGTGGTATCACACAATTGATGATCAAGTTCATAGTTAGAATGGCCTGCGGCTATATTGAACCAAGAACTCGGTTTCACTGTTATCGTCGCTCGGCATAACACCGAAAAGTAGCAAACCAAGTCACCATCATGAACAGTCTCCTTGCCGTGTCTACACTTCTAAAGCATGGCACATACAATTGATTGCCAACCGTGTAATAATGTGTCAACGGCCACTATCATGCTGTACTTTTTTCTTGACGAGCCTATGACAATTATCGTAATATGCTTCTGAGGCTTCTCCATTTTTGAGAGGGCCACATACGAGGTATGAATGTTGTGCATACTTAGCCTGCCTTCACCTTTAAAGATATTGCAGAGCTTTCAAATTTATCAAACGCCCAAACGCCCATTATTTCTTCCCGAAGAGGAGGTAAGCCAAATCAGAGTTCATAGAGTTTGAAGAATGGCGTCCCTAAGCCTTCTTTCCCTTCTGTGTCATCTTTCGGAAGGCCTCAACACCACTGGAACCAATCGGCCGATGCGAGCTATCGCCTCTAGGCGCGAACGTGCTCTTGGGTGCCACGGTATAAGCGGCTGGAAGACCAGTGATGCGAGCACGGTTGCTGAGGTTCTGTGGTGCCAAGATCCTTTCGCGCTCTGCCTCGCGAAGTGCTGCCTGTGAAGCAGCTGGGCGCTGCGTGAGTGTGAGTTGCGAAGAGCCTGCGGCTTGTCGCAATTTGGCGGCCCTGTTTCTCGTATTAGCACGAAAGAGTAAGGAAGCAGAAGTGATAAAACCTACTGGTAATCAAAGTCACGAGTCTCGACTTGGCGCTGCTTGTAGTCATGGGTCTTCCTAAGAATGGGCCGAGACCAATCTCCCAATAGCTGCTCAGCCATGCGCTTGACGTCTTTGTTTGCTTTCTTGCTCTTGGTGTAGAAGAGGACAATCTTGCCAATTCCACTTGCAGCCAAAGTCTCCTTCTGGATTGGCAGTCTCTGGAGCGCGCGGAAGATATCTCGCTGGATGGTATAGGCAGGCAGTGAGCCGTCACTTAGCGGCTCAAGGAAGAACTTGACAGATTCGAGGAAGTTGGCGTCGGGATCGACAATGGCAGACTGTTGGTTGTTACGGTTCAGCAAGGACATGACTTCGGGAAGAAGCTTCAGCTTTTGGAGGGCGGGTTGGCCTTGCTGACGATAATTGTTGTCATCGCGGCAGGCATTTTCCATGGCTGTCTTGAGGGCTGCGATTTGTTCGTCCAGTTCGGCTTCGAGATCCTGACCATCAGGTAAGCACTTCGAGTTCATAGACGCAGATATCATGTGGAATAGGACAACATACAACTTCATCCTTCTTGCGTCTCTTGACCTTGTTCTTCACCTCGCCCAAGGCAGCTCTCTCAATGGCCCTTCGTCGTCGCTCCTCGGGCGTGAGGGTGCTTTCGTCGATAGGCTCAGGCGATGGCTTCTTGCTGCTAGGGGCGGCGGCCTTTCTGGATCGCTTTCCGGTGACAATCTCACCATCAGCACCATCATTGTCTTCCTCGTCGCGTCTGCGCTTCTTCTTTTCTCTTCGACCTTCCTTGGGCTTCTTGGTAGCTAGACCTTTTCGCTTGCCAGCCTTGAGGGTTCTGGCAACATCCTCATCGATTTCGACAGGCTTCTCCTCGATCTGGGCGGCTGCAGGATCGTAATCGCCAAATTGATCCTCGTCAATATCGGACAGGTCGTCCTCTTCTGTGTTGTTCTTGTCCGAATCTCCAGCGGCTTCCACATCGTAATCACCGAGCTCCTGCTCCTTGGGCTCGCCATCCCTTTCCTCCTCATGCAGAGTCTGAGGCGGTGAGCCGGCGGGGGACTCGTTGTCTGACATGGCGATGACTTTGGGCAGACTTGTCGCGATTGCCCGTTTGCGCGTGCGCTCAGGCAGAAGCCAGTGGAAAGTCTCGCACGGCTGGATGTAGACGAATCAGTGGATAGAACTTGTAGCTTCCAAGACTGAGTCGCAAGCGATCGTTTCCACAAGAAAGATCAAGAGTGGAAAAAGAAATAGGGAGAATGTGGTTTGTTGTTGTGTGGAAGTGTTTGGATAAAGATCGGATCTGTTGCCAGCGCTCTTGAGTTGAAGTTCACCTTACCTGCTAGCTCAGAAATATCTAAGTGGGTCCCCCTGGGAAGGCAGGAACAATGAAAGTCGCCTGGCAGGCTGAGAGAGCTGGAGAGTTCAGCAGTGCTTGAGCAGGCAAGGATTGTTCGAGCCTGGACAATCGCCAGTTCGCTTAATAGCTTTTAGCGCCACCTGCAAGCAAACTGGCTAGGCTCGGTACATGTTCCGTACTCTGATCAGACTAGTTCATTTCCAGCCTAGTCTAGGTCTCGCAGTGGCGCAAATCACTTTGTTTACTGTGGCTTGTTGGTTGGCCGAGCTGTAGCTTTACCAGAAAGCTGGTAAGCCGTAAATGTCTACTTCAAGGGCCCCGTTTCAATGCGTCGTCGTTTTGCGACTCAATACTCACCTTTACTACCCCATACTTCACCATTCGTCCACTCGTTTAACTTTTGCCCACTTGTTTGTCGTCGCTTGTCACGAGCGCTGACCATACTTCAATCGCCTTCAGAGTAGGCCTTTGTTCTTTTGCTGTACACTAATTTTTTTTTCCCCCCCTTCGAGTGCTAGTTTGAAGAAAGTCGACGTCTTGGCCTACGACACCATGGAGAGGCGCACTTTTGAATCTCCCATGGACTGGGAATACCAAAATTCGGGACCACTGGATCCCACAAGCCCGTTTGTCCAGACCGCCCAGAGGGCACAGAACAATAGTAAGTCCTTGTCCTTGCCGCGATTGCCGCAAATCCACAAGACTCGCTCCCTAACTCGTCCGCCTCAATTCTTAGACGCCTTTGGGCTTCCCAAATCGGGCTCCTTTGGCCCGCAAAGCGCATTCAGTCGCACCCAAAGCAGCCCACACAAGCTACCGCCGCCTTCGCCAGGCCAGAAGTCTATTTTTGCTACGTCAAATGCTGTCCTCCAGCGAACAAATACTGCCCCGGCGTTCCGGAACCCTGCCTTCACAACGCCCCGAAAGCCTTTCGACATGGATGCCCTTTCAGAAGCTTCTCCCGCTGAAGATAGCCCTGCGCAAACCGACATATCAGAGAACTACCCAGACACTCCAGAGACGGACAATATGCGCAATTTGAATAAAATGGCTCTTACTCCGGCGCGCTCAAAAGCTTTGAGTGTTGCCTTGAACAAGCGATCCCCCGGGAAAGGTGACATACTCCGCCCAGTCACAGCCTTTGGCGGCAGAGAAAAGGTGCGCAAACGCAAGAGGCGACATGATGATAAGGACATCAGTGGCTTCCGCCTACCTTACAAATACCAAGAGGAGTGGGATGAGTCCGAAGGCAACGATACCGATGACAGTGTCTACGAGCCAAACAAATACCACGGTCCCAACACCCAGCCAGGCCGAAAGCAGAAGGGCTGGTTCAGTGGCTTCTTGTCCGTTATTCAGAAACATCCCGATGCGCCCATCGTTCTTGGATCCTGGGTCACCTTGATGTTCAATCTCGCCGTAGTTGGTCTGGCCATGTGGCTGCTCTGGGTCGTGGTGGCTAGTTTCCGAGACGACTTTTGGGCAGCCAAACAAGAACTGCGAGCAGTGGTAGTCGAAGAGATGGCCAAGTGTGCGCGAGATTATGCCGACAATCGATGCTCTCCGAGAGAACAGCGCCTGCCAGCAATGAATGCCATGTGCGACGAGTGGGAGACCTGCATGAACCAGAATCCGGATAACCTGGGGCGCGTGCGACTTGGAGCAAGGAACATAGTTGAAATCCTCAATGAGATCATTGAGACAATGCACTGGAAAACACTGGTGAGTTTTCACCAGAAACTGTCACCAATAACCTCGGCAACTTTCTTACTAACTTCTCAATAGGCTGCCTTCATCGCGCTGTTTGCCATTTTCTGTTTCAGTGGCATCTCCCTCGTCAAGAGTAGCCAAAGCCCATCGAGCTTTGCCTTTGTTCCTCACCCACCACAGGCATCGCAGCCCGTCTACCACAACCCCCAGTTGATGTATGGGCACATACCACAGACACCGAGGACGCGCTTCCTGGGGCACTATCAGAACGACGAGACACCGGATACAGATGCCTCGCCTGATCAGAAAGCCCTGCCTCCGCCCATCTACTACCAGACGCCGAGTAGGCGAAGCCCCAGCAAGGGTGACCGAGGACGCAGCCCGACTAAGAGTCGGAGTCCTACGAAGAAGTACTAGTCAGGATTGATGAAACGACATGAAAGAAAGAGTGGCGGATACCAGTATTCGCTACATGGTTTGCCCCCCCAGGACCGGAAAAGCGCAGATGCCTTGATGTTGGAATAGTATAGGCGGCATGAATGAGTATGCTCTTGAGCACAAACAGGAAGAATCCAAAAAGAAAAGGAAAGAAGCAGGCGCATCAAAAAGTTAGGGTGCCACATGTACATACATATCATGACCGTGTTGAGTTTTCGCGGCGCAAAGAAACAATGCATACTACGTATTGTCAGCGAAACTTTTTTCCCCCAAGTAGCAACATGAATCAGCCGCTGGAAAATACGCAATGATTATTGCTCACGAGACTAGTTATGGACCTCATCTGGAAAGTTCATTGAATTTTGAAGAGTGATGAATATATTCTGCGTGGCATCTTGTGCAGCGAGTTTTTGCCTGGCGATACAGACTCTTTGCCTGAGAAATATCCCTCAGGTAACATATACGATAAAGGGGTATAGGGGTATTTTTCTATTCATGACCAGGAATCCCATCATATCATCTCCTACAATGGCCACACGTTGTCTCTCGACAGATCTTTGGCTACTTGTGAAACTAGATTGTGATTCTTTTTTTGTACACCTGAGATGAGCAGCAGTAAGTACTACCAATCCACGATTGCTCGCAATGGCACTGTTTTGATCTCGCACATTTGTCATCTATAACAGCGCAAAACCAGCTTCCTCGAGCAATCGTCCCGAAGGCAACATTGGCCGTCCTTGCATTGGGAACGGCCAGAAAAGCGGGTTCTCGATGCTCTTTGCGGTATGCGCCATGGGCCCAGCGCCCAGTTCGGTCTCCATCCTCGGGTGCGGTGGACTGCCTTGTATCTGCTCTGCGCCCTCTGCCGGTCGACTCTGATCGCTATTCGTAGTTTTTGGCCTGGGGCGGCTGTAAGTTTGAGTTTCCTCTCCAGCGCCTGGGCCAGGGAGGCCGTGCGCCAGAGACGTCGATGTGCCCGAAGTGCCTGTACCCCAGGCACACATGAAGTCGTCTTCTGCGACGCTAGGAACGAAGAAATTCAGGCTGCTCGTTTGTGGCCTGACGAGTTGATTCAAATCTTCATGAGACAGCGCGTGTTCTGGCGGCGGTATCTTGACCGGTATATTCCATTTTTTGGCCAGATATCGCAATATGTGGAGGGCTTGTTCCGCAAAGTGGTGACATGGGGCCATCTCGGTCAAGTCGGCAATACCTTGATTGATGGCATCCACCGCACGCGGAGTGAGCTTGGCCGTGGCAGTGCTGGACGGTGATGGGGGCCCTGCTGTGCTGGATGACGAACGTCGCGGTTGCGCATGGTTCGCGGCCTCTTCATGCTTGTTCATAAGCCCAGCTATACCGGAGCCCGGTGTATCAACCTGAGCCGGCGGGTGCGAGGCCCCGACAGCGAGGTGCATGATCGCAGCCGTCAACACAAAGTAAGGGACGAAAGATGGTGTCCGCCGCAAAGTGTATAGCTGAGAATATGATCTCGACAAGCCTTGGATTGCGTCGGCGGCTTGTGCGCAAACGTCGCGAGGCGTTACGCTGGATCCAATGATTCGTAATTTGATGAGCGGTCGAAATAGAAGCAAGATGGCAAAATGGTAATACATGTGAGCGAACAACACGGCAGGCGTAAAATTTGTTCCAAGCCGCAGTACCTCGGGTATTCTATCATACCAGTTGAGATACTGCGTGTACGTGTTTAGCAGGTCGCGGCTAGTAACTGGCTTGCCAGGTGAGTGAAGTACATAGAGGGATTTGTGGACAAGTTCACTCAATTCGCAGAAGCATTTGTAGACGGAGCGCACATTAGACGGTTGCTCACAAGACCGTTGCAGGGGTGCACCTAATCGATCAGAACCTATTCAGATCAACACCAACAAAGCGCAACACCAAGGGGGCAGCTTACCATTATCCGTGTATGGAACCCACAGGGAAGCCTCAATGTCGTCAATAATGGTTGGCTTGGGAGGCAAATGTGGGAAACAGGAACACTGTGGCAATGAGCCGGTGGCAAGAGACCATGCGTGATCCAAAGCAAATGCACCCCAAAAGGTTGCTGCTTGGACGGCAAGTTCATCAGAGTCTACATCGCCACTAAGTCTGTGCAAGCCAAGCTCTATCGCCAGACGTACACTTTGCCCTGCATAATACCAACTTTCCGAGTCCCTTCCGCAACTTGCCTCTCTTATAGACATGATTCCTAGGGCCTGGATTGTTGTGAGATTATGGTGGTTACTTTCTTTGGCAAAAAGCCGTAGCGCTTCTGCAAAGAAATGGTCGCCAGACGTTGTTGGGTCATTGGCATTGGCACGTGTGTTGGGTTGCGTTGAGAATCTGCAGCCGAGGGCAAGCAACGCGTTGACCAGTATGGGAGAGCAGTATCGAGACCGGCCATCGAGGAAATCTTTCAAAAAATGCTCCTTGCTCAGCGAGGCGAATGTCGGATATTCCCAGCAAAAGTACAGAGCAAGTAGATGCTGTACCAGGGCTCCGTCCGCCGTGATTCCTGTCCAGGTGGTGGGAGGCGATCTCAAACCTGGAGAATCTAGGGGAGCGAGGATTTGATCCATGCCACGATAACGCGCGGTGCTATCGGGGGGAGAACCCTGATCCAATACCCATGAGCCGACTCTATTCTGTGATGGCGCATCCGAGGTCCAATTCATGGCATCTGGGTGGGAACTGCTCCGTGTAGACTGGGTTTGGCTCTGTGATGAGAAAGCCCAGGGACTTTGCTGCTGATCATATTCATGCTTTTGGGCATACTGCGGCCCCATTGACGGCCCCATCGATAACGGACCGTATCCACCCGGAAGCGCAGCGTTGCTGCCAAAATTGAGGTCAGTAATGCCAGATAGTGGTGGCAGAGTTGGTCGGGGGACCGGGAGCCCTGAGGGTGGTGAGAAGGTCGGCAAGGCTCCGCCGCCAGATGGGAGAGAGCCGCCGAGCCATTCTGAAATGCCTTCCACGCTCTGCCCGGAGCGTATTCGAGTGAGAACTTCTTCCCACAACTCTGGCTTCACAAGCGCAGTCAAGACGGAATCACTCTGTCGCTGCTGCTTTCGAAGCTGTTCAATTTCACTCCGGAGGTTCTCCTTGGACTGTCGAACTGGGACTTCGTATATACATTCGACTCCCTGAGACTTGCACCTTCCGCATGGTTTATTTCCGTCGCACTAGATTTCCAGAACAGTGGTCAGATTCTGCAGCGTCCTGCGCTCAGACACGGTAGAATAATAGCAATAGGCGCGGGACGAACCTTGGCGCGCTTCTTGCGGCACTCGGTGCAAGCATTGGGTGTGACTACTCCAAGGCCACGCCTTCGTTTGTTTACAGCAGCATCTGAAGGCCCATTGCTGCCAGGGGGCGCGGGGTGCTTTTCGGATGTGGCTGATGTAGGCTCTGGGCCAGCGCTGACCGAGCGATCTCGTGATCCGCCCTCCATTGATGCTGTTGGCCGTGTTCATATGAATGCAAGAATATATATATACACTAGCACATGCTATCTGTCGGTATCGTCCTGGTTTCGAATCGAAGACAATCTAGAGTCGGTATACCGTCGCATCCAAAATGATGACATGTAGGTACCGGCGTGGGTTTTCGGTGCGGGTTGGCGGTTTGCGCTCATATGGGAGACGGCGATTTCGCAAACGACGGTGCTGTCGTGACTATCATGGGCGTCGCTTTCCTATGCCCCTCTCGCGCAAGGCAGGCAATAACCAACCACGTATACAGGTTGGCACCTGCAGCCACGGGTCGAGCGCCGTCTGGAAAGGAAAAAAAAATGACAAGTGGGAACTGGGCGTGGATTAGCTGAGGTCATGAGCCAGTGTGCACGATAGTTCAGAACAATGTTCAGGACGGGAAGAAGAGAGCAGACGTACTTGACTTTTCAAGCCAACATGAACTTCCCAATTGCAAACCGGCGCAAGAGGGATTTTTGTGTTCGACGGGCTTGCTTCCACGGCAGTTGAAAAGAAAGCAGGGGTTCAATCAAGAGGAGAAAGTGAGAGACGAGTCCAAGGCCAACGAGGGCTTCGGCAAGGCATAGACAGGGAATTGTCTGCCTCCAAGCGCCGTTGAAGCTTAAACGGAGAGCTGGGCTTAGTGTAGTGTCGGGGAGATGGGGGGCTTGGGGGGGCATAGAACCAAAAATGGGCAAGTACAGGCGGGGGGTTCTTTTTTTGAGTCCCTACGATCAGATTCAGATCCGGGTTTGGTTACTTGAACGGATGAAATTTTTGCGTCGTCCCGAGCAGCGCGGGCATGAGATGCAGACAAGGATCCCTCTGTCTGATAATGCGAGAACCCCCGGCTGGGTGTGTTGCAACTGGGTGAATGAGTGAAATTGGATTCTTGTTCTGCAAGGGCACGATTTCGATTTTCGATTTCCGATTTCGACCCAAAACGGCCAATAGCATGTGGCATCTGCCCAAGGAGAGCTACCGAGCTACCCATGCCAAAAGCTCGACCAGGTTGCGTCACTCACCTATTCGGCTGCCCGCGCAATCAATTTATTTACTAGTAACTAGCACAGCTACTGGGTACCTGGGTACGAATGATGGGCCTTGATAAACGAATCTTAGCGCATGAATCCCACGTGTCTCTCTTCATCACCCTCTATTCTTTGTGTACCATTCATCCAACACCCCATAGTCTTGTTTACTTGGCAAGTCGTTTCTGCAAGACAATGTATCAGACCCCTTCTACACAGTTGATAGCTTAAATAGTCCATGATACCTTGAACGCGCATTACATCGCGCTTCTCGAGCCTTGGTCGAAGTTCTATCGCAGCCTGCCTGCATTAGACCCACGGGGCCGTCAGTAGGTAGATGCCTTAGCTCCAATTGACTTGCTCTTATTACATAGGTAGGTATATACTCTAGACGTGTACAAAGTACATTTGCTCAGCTCTACCAGCACATTTATCGCAGTTCGGGGATCCTGGCACCTTCTTCAGCTGCGGCCTCAGAGGGTCCATTTGAGGCGAGCAAAGAATATTCCGAATAACTGTTCGGTTACTGGCAACCTAAATGAAATCTTTCGAGGTCAGTCTGCCAAGCAAGAAATGGAGCAGCGCTTACAACCCTTAGGAGCGACGTGCACCAGAGAGTACCCACTCCATAACGCTGGATCGCCGATCCATGGAAGGTGGAGCAGCTTCGAATTCTAGTGTAACAGAACACACGACTACCTACAGTATCTTCTGCGGTGGTCGTGTGAGCTAGCAAACGTAGGAACATTGATCAAAATAACAAGAGTCCAGAACTGAAGTGTGAAGTCTGTATTCTGCAGATGAGAAGTATATGACCAAGACACAAAAGTATATACACCATTGTATACCTACCCACCTACCTATCTACTAGGTACTAACAAGAGGATTATACTCAAAAGCGGCACACTAAGATCAGTGGTGTTGCCATTTCAAGCAAGCAGATCTACTGCATGTAAGCCAAACCCGCTTTTCTCAAAGCCACAGGGTCAAGCCTGCAGTCGTCCTATATGAAAGTCCCCTTCTCCGGACCAAAATATCCTCTCTCTGGGATTGGCAGCAGCCCAGTACTGGACCCATCAATCCCAGCCAACGATACGGTATTGCCCCACCACTTCAGGCTGACCGGATCATATTCCACGGCAAAGAATTTAATCAGAGCGCAAATGGCGACACCAGCCGTCAGCGCAGCTGATAGCACGTAGTTGTATTTTTCCCACCAGGCCAACCTGTTTTGGGTAGTACCATAGGTGAGCATATAAAGTGCAGCTTGGGGGGAATTGGTCAAAGCTTACCTGTGCTTTGGAAGCCAGTACATGAAAATGTACGACAATATGAACCCAGGCGTCTTGTAAGACAAATTGGACGGTGCCCAGTGCTGGATGCCCTGAATGATGAGAATCGGGTTCAGCCACAGCAGCGAAGCCACAAACGGGAACAAGGTGCGGTCGAGGAGGGCAAACGTGCGCGGCCGGAGCTGGACCCGGAGCTTCTCGCGCACGCCGGGCAGGTACCGCGGCCCCAGACTCTGGCCCGCCAGGAACACGAGCGCAATCAGGGTCCCGATCAGGAAGCACCACTTGAAGAGCGGGTAGAGCCCGTTGAACATGCGCTCCGACCCCAGAAGCCCCCACATGAGCGAGCTGGTGTAGAGGGGGGCGCCGTCATTGGCGCAGGTGAACTTGCTCGGCTGATCTGCCGTGCAGAGGCCCTTGACGTTGTTGAGGATAAAGTCTTGTGTTCCAACCGCCACAAAGCAGGTGATGAGAATGGTTCCGATCTGGCTTCGGAATACTGCCCGCGGCGCGATTTTGCAGTAATGTGCCATCTTCTGGTCCTGGACGTAATTGTCGCCATATCCGGCCAGGGCCCATGAGCCCAGAGTCTGCGCAAAGAGGAATGCGTTGGGGTTGCCGGGGAGGATAAAGCCGGTGATGACTTGTATCAACGATCCGAGTCCCAGGTTTGTGCCAGTGGTTGCTGACAGAAACGACAGAGGAACGGCAAAGATCAAGTTGATGCCAATCATCAAAAAGACCAGCCACACTGGTGTGTCGAGAGGATAGATCTTCAGGAATATGACTGACACGACAATGGCCGCAACCAAAATGAGCAAAAACCACCAGTCCGGCACTTCAGGATATTTGGACATGAGGCGGTTGTGAATATCCATTGCACCCTCAAAGTTGCCCTTGCCGCGCCTCAGACCCTGGTAAAAGTCGACATATGCCTGAGATACTGTTTTCCATTGGTTGAACATGATGTAGAGAAAATATACGGGGTAGAATGCAAAGTTGGCTCCCACGGTGAGTACATAGCCCGCCGAGTAGAAAGGCGGAGAATATTCCTGATACAAAGTGTGGTTCAATTTGTTGTCAATGACAACCTTTTGCACTTCATACGCAGTTCCGTCGTTGGCGAATGCCGAGGAAGAGTTGATGGGAAGATAGGCCGTATTGTACATCTATTTGATACTTCATGTCAGTGCTTACCGTTCAAGAATGAATGTATAGGTTATTGAAACTATTGATTTCCCATGGATTCTTGTAATAGATTGCATAGAAATTCGTGAGTTGCTGTGTACGTACTATTAATGGAATCAGTATTTGAAGACACAATGGTGGGACAAAAGTGGGTGAACAAACCATTTGAATAATATATGCCCAAAATTATCAGGCCACCAAGAATGCTCTAGACACAAATTAGTATCTACTTTCTGAAAACGTTCTTGGTTATGAAGTGGGCTTTTCGCACTTACACCAAAGTATTGCGTGCACGTTGCAAAAAATGGCATAGCCAGGGCGGCATAAGAAGACGTCGCAACATTCCAGTCAAAAGTCGTGATGGGATTGAAGAGTCCAAGGCCCAGCGACGACCCAGTGAGGATAGCCAGAGTAAAATTCTCTGGTGCAATCCAGGTCATCCAGTTGAATGTCGACAGTGCCGTGAATAGATACCCAGGGAACCAGTAGTAGACGAACATGGAGATTGTGCATACATAGAAGAAATTATATCTCGAGATGGTCCAGCCATATATATTCTCTTTTGGCTCCGGGGTGGTTAGAGCTCGGTTCATGGCAATGGTCGGCAGGATCGTCGGCCACAGTGCCTTGACGGGATAGACGCTGAATCGGCGAAGGTAGCCGGCGAAACCCATGCCCATGAGTTGAACGAACAGAGTCAGCATGAGCTGGTAGCCAAAGTTGACGAATTTCTCGCCATAGTACACGTCGGACTTTTGGACAAGAATCATTCCGTAGCTGTTGGTGGTATAGATGGCAATATTGTACGTGATGGTAGCAAACATTTGCTCCTTGAATGTCCAGGGACCCGGATTGAGTGAGTGGCGAACTCCCTTCACGGTGATACCCCAGTCGGGCAGCGCCTTTTCGAGGAATTTGGCGCAAGGGTACAGCAAGATTTGAATGACGGAGCCGCTCAGAGCTACTAATGTCAGTCTCTACTTTCAAATAATTCAATAATTCTGACAGAAGCAACTCACTGATAGACGGGAAACGACTATTGAAGAACGTCGACATGAAAGTTCCTATCACGGCCCATCCGATGCCAAGAAAGTAGGCTCGGAAGGTCTCGATAGGCACATGAGTGTCGTCCGTATGCTCGGCAACAGAACGCACGCCCGGATACGGCGATGAATATCTCATCAACACCGCGTCAATCCTAAGGTCGCGCTCGTAAAATTCTCCATACGCCTTGGGTCCCTCGAGCAGCCGCTTCATGCGATCTCTCATTTCCGAAGGAAAGTTCCAGTCATCGGCGTGAAACTGGACGGCTTCGTGAAGGATCTCAATAGCCTCATCCTCGCTCATGCCATTGATCTTGTCCAGAATGTAATCAGCCTCGCCGTTGGGGGCCAGTTCTTCCAGCATCTTGTGCGGGATCTGGTCGGACACCCGCTCGGTAGATGCGCCTACGGGCGTCTTCTCCGGATCCGGCCTCGACGGCGCGGCGTTGACCGCATCATCTGCTACCTCGATGCTAGTAGCCATGTTGAATGATGCTTATGTTTTCATGTCAATTTTGTTCTCAAATAATTCAATAAATGGCATAAACAGATCAAAATGTTAAATATGATTTCAATCGCTGTCTGTTTTCATATTGAAAATGGGATTGCTGATCGCTCGCTATCTTTAGCCGAGCAAAGTCTGGCAGCGGGCACATTGTTACCGGATGGCACCTCCCGTCATGGTTCGATAGTCTATCTTCTTCCGCATGTGAGCAGTGACTATCTGAACCAACGTTACATGGGATTCGTAACTGGCAGATAATGGGACTAATCCTGCAGATGATTCACGGTATTTTCCGCCGGTTATGGCAAGCTATCTTTTGCTTTGGCCAATTCCCCCATCCCCGAATCGACCAAGTCGACCTAGCATTGGCAGGGGATATACTCGAGCCCGGGGTATTTAATGCCTACTCGCGCCGCGGCGACCAATTTGGGGTCGGGTCATTGGAGTCAACGAACCGAACCCCGCATTTCGTGTCGTGTCGAGGCCGGGGCCCTGAACAGTTCTAGATAACATCGGTGGAGATTTTCTTGTCGATCTCGCGGCAACGCAAAATCCTAACAAAGGTGTGTTTCTTTTATCTCTGAACTTTTGAAATCTACTGTTGAGACGCCGTATCAGAGTTTGTATACATCTGCAACAGATGTCAGAGTGTATGTTTCATTGTTCTGTCCCAATAAGTCATGTAAACGACAACAAGTTTGTGTTTACCCTGAATTTCAATAATATGTAGGCTACATTTCATTGAGTGAAGGACTCGGAAGCGATCAATTCTTTTTGCCACTCTTAGATAATTGTAACACGGCTGACGGAGCACAATCCCTTATGCTTGTCAGTGCTAGCCATGTAGGTACTGGTTGGAGAAAGCCTTCCTATAATCCGGAGATATCATGAAGACTAGTATATATGACTTGTCGAGTTGGCGAGCAATTTGTTGCAGCGATCACCCTTGTATTACTGCTTGACGCCACCTATTATATCCGCGTATCCACAAGCATCTTGCCGATCACAGAGCTTCGATGAAGCCTTGGCACAGAAGCGCAATCAAGTGGGAATGGAAATGAAGTTCCTGACAAAAGCCTTGATGAAGAGATGGCCCCCTTTGATGAAAGACAATAGAGGCATACACATCCATTATCCTGTGGAATTATGCAAAGACAAGGCGACACTTAGTCCTCGTACACAAACGGCTCTTCGCGTCTCTCCTTGCGCCATCGATTCGTCGCCTCGAGCGCCCCTGGCAAGCCGTCGAATAACCACCTCCACTTCCGCAGTGCCCCCTCGGACACCTCCCAGCCCGACATATCCCAAGGAGGCGACCACGCAATGATGCCGCGCCGCTCAACGTCGTCGTCGGGGAACCCATCAAATAGCCCACCGACCGAGTCGGCCCACAGTTCGTCTTCGTCAAAGGTGCCGGCGGCCCGGATCAAGCGGTCGCGCCCCACGGGAGAGGGAAACGTATCGATCCAATCGCCGTGAGGCACAGTCTGTTGCAGAGTTGTCGGCAAGAGTGTCGCGGGGATGCCTTCTGGATTAGTTGGATACGGTAGCACGTGAATCCTCTCTTCGTCACAGGCAAGCGGAGTGGCGAGGATGCCTGAGATGAGAGTGCGGTTCACGACCATGGCACGAAGCGTGTTGTATTGGAGGAGTATGATGAGATGATCTGATGACAGCGGAAATATTATGTCAAACTGCCCCCTTCTTCTCGCTTCCACCTTGGGGAACAAGGGACTTTCCGCATCATATGCTCGTTTGACACGGGATGCTGGGACGATAGAGATTGATTGTTGGTTAATGTCCCAGCACTGGACGAGGGCCTCTGATTTGATCGGTTTCCTTGTCACGATACTCTGTGATTCATTCTGCTTTGCTAAAGCCTTGCGTTTGCCTTTTGAACCGTTAGTCTCTACAATAATGGGACTACTCTCGATCTCGCTGACCATAACTCCATCTCCGATGACGCAGGCCAGTGGCTTACTTACGGTATGCCCTTGTATTGAGTCTAGTCTGTGCCCGTCTGCGTGCTGCAGCATCCTTTGTTCCAGTCCAATCATCCTCTATACTGATTGCCTGATTCTCGTGAGCATGTCATGTCGGTTTGATGACTGGAGACTATTGACTATATACCTCGGTCAGTTGCGGCTTCGACGCGAGTCGGATGCATGGTGCTGTCAATATGTCCGGCTGATGCGCACTCGATATGATGCTGGTGGACATAGCGATGGCGGCGATGGAGCAAATGAAGATGGTTAGGGTAAGTTTCTTCAGCTGCAGCAAGATGGCTTATGCAGCCTGCTCACATTAATTCCGAAGGATTCAGTCCCCTACTATTCTGTAGCTGGGGCGCAGTTAGACATGGGCCATTTGCACGGCACGGTATCATTGGCCAAGTACTTACAATGTCTAACTAGACCAGGTCTAGCATCATGCAACCTGCTCACATTTCTAGGGTCACAAGCTCCCGAATCGTCCGTGGAAGGATCCCCTATTGTGTACACCTTCTCCAGCATAATATACGTTAGATCGGTACATGCCCCGTATTTCTTTGCTCTGGTGTGTCTGGTATCTTCCCTTATCCTTTCTATGGTACGATACGGCTTATAGAAATTTCTAGCAACTGCTGTGGGCACCGGGCGAAGAACCTCTATAACAGCCAGTATTGAGCAGCACAAAATATATGGGAGAGTACGTGGTAAATCACTGGATCCAAATATGGGGCTTCGTACCGATCTAACGTTTATAATGCTGGAGGAGGTGTACTGTGTATGATGGAGATACCGGTGGATTCGGGCAGTTGGCTCACTCGCTTGGCTTATTGGGGTTGGTATTATCATCAAGCCTCGATATGCCTCGCCTGGGCGTGACATGATTGGTCCCAATTTCATGCAACTTGCTCACACTCCAATGCTGAAAATAATACCAAATACAAGCAACAGGGAGAGACATTGTTCTATAGAGTAATATAAAGATGACACTGGCTACTTGATCTTCTGTGTTTTGTTTTCACATCATTCAAAACACACCATTCAATCTCACATCGAAATATCTATCCTGTTTTTATTTGCCCCAAGATACCGAACCACTTTCTCATCTCGAAAAATGGCGTTTCATCCAGACACTCTCACTGATCTCGGGGGCAAAGTTTTCATAGTTACTGGTGGAAATTCTGGCATGTCAGTGTCTATCCACACCTCTTACAATAATATTCGAATAATGACTGACATGACTAAAATACAGAGGCTTTTACACCGTATCCCACCTCGCAGAACACGGCGCCCACGTTTACATGTGCTCGCGGTCTCGGGATAAAGGAAACGCAGCCATCACCAACATCAAACAGACACATCCCGCAGCGCACATTGACCTCCTACAAATGGATCTCATGGACCTCTCGAGCGTTGTCGCAGCGGCCCAGCACTTTCTCACTCTCGAAACAACCCTACACGGCCTAGTCAATAACGCAGGCATCATGGCGACGCCGTTTGAGATTACCAAAGATGGGCACGAGGCTCAATGGCAGACCAACTACCTCGCTCACTGGGTCTTTACCGAGAAGCTGCTGCCGCTCATGCAAAAGACAGCCAAGACGCTTCCTCCCGGTAGCGTACGCATCGTCAACCTCACTTCGTCGGGTCACTTGGCCTCTCCCAAGGGCGGCATCAATTTCAACGACCCGTCACTCAAGGATAGCAGCAAGTGGACGCGGTACGGGCAGAGCAAGCTTGCCAACATTCTACACGCCAAGAGCCTAGACAAGGTGTACGGTCCCGGATCTCCCAGCGCGCGAAACGGAGAAGGCGAGATTTGGGTTTCATCTGTACATCCAGGCATGGTCGAGACGAATATTTCCGCATCAGTAGAGAGTCCCGACACGGGGTTCGGTATGGGCAGCGTGTTTTCGGTCGCGCGCAAGTTTGGATTGATCTGGCCTGCCGACAAGGGGTCATGGAACACTCTGTATTGTATAGCGAGTGAGGATATGAAGGCGGAGCAGAGCGGCGGGTATCTCGAAATCTTTGCGAGATTCGGCGAGCCAAAATGTCAGAATGCTGCAGCCAAGGATGAGAAACTAGCAGAGAGGTTGGAGCGCTGGACTGAAGAAATGATGAAGAGGGAAGGGTGGGTTCAGTAATGGTGTCAAGCGCACTAGATGGACAAGCTCATCTGGGTGAAGCTTAAGGCGAAAAAGATGTAGTTTCTTATCTCCATAGAATTTGATAGACCATTCATCTCACTTGCAGTACCGCAACACTTATTGCAATAGGGCTGTAAAGTTGTCTGCAACTGTGAAGGCCGAAATTGAGATTTTGAAATTGATAATCAAAGGGTACAATACCTCGTTCAATAAATTCAAAGACGCAGAGAATCTTCTATTATCTGCGACACTGGAACCCTTTCTAGTACTCATGATGAATACATTTTTTACTCGTGGTGGTAACTCACTCGGCCTGGATCCGTCCAATGGGCCACTTGCTGTGATTTTGTCTTGCGTTTCATGGAACAGTCTGACCGATGGTGACCTGGTTTATGTGGACGAGGAAGAAAGCAAGCACTTTGAACCATCGACGACGAGGCAGAGAGTGAGTATGTGGGAAGTGTTTTTGATAAAAATCTGAAGGGTTGAAGCTACGGATATAAAGAATGATGACATCCAGCCTTTTGCAATCGCATGAGCCACTCAATATGTCATATTCTTGCATTACATAAGAACAAGAAGTAAAATGTAATGATCTGAGCCTAATGTCAATAAGTACAGCGCATAGCATCGCATGCCAGGCAGAAATCGGGGCGGCGAAAAGATTAAAGAATCAATCATTTTGTCAAGGAATAGTTTAGTTGGGTTCTGGCAGGCCATGATCCTTGTTGTTTTCATTTTGCAAGAAATGTGACCGAGCGGATGGTTCTCTCCAGCACATGCACCCCGGCAACAAGCAGGTCTCCAGGTAGGAATGCCAACTTGTTCATAAAATTTTGCCATCAATCCGCAGGGTATCCAAACAGTAGACGGCAGCAATTGACCTGGCTGACCTTTTTCTTACGGTAGCCAAGTAAATCAGAGCTCTTGAATATTTCGAGTGAGTGAGCACCAACATGCATGATGCATGGTCTGCCGGCGGGCACACAGGGGGTTATTGTCCTATAAGCGTAAATTAAGCGCTGAGCAAATAAAGCGGACCAGACTTGATACCGCAACCAAGACACCAGAATTGGACATCGCTACATTGGCGCGCGCGTAACTTGAAAGTAGGTCGACTGTTGGGTTTCGAAGCCTGGGAATCAACGTGCTCTCTGCAATGTATCTAGACGAGTGCTGGGAATAGACTGGATCAATGACTTTCAACTCTAAAATCCCAGGGGTCTAAGAAGGCGGCACTACCTAAGTATACATACATTATAGACAAAGGCTGTCCCCTTCGTCTTATGATCATCGTTTACTACAATTTACAAGGCTGTTTATTGCAGTATGTCTTCCGATTTTGCTTCCCCACGGTCGAGGATCTAGTCTTCATATAACTCCTTAGTCTTGGAGCATTGGGTATTTGACAAAAATTCTTCATCTATCTGTCGACAATGACTGTATTATGCAGCTTCGTGCTGCTCTTTGCAACGCTCGTCATGGGGGCAACGGAATTCGTCAGTCCAGGCCCATCCGCCTCCACATTGGACCCGTCCATATCAAACGCGATACATCCTGTGGGCTCCAAATTTCACATTGCCTGGTCAGGAACGAATCTCACGAGACACATGTCTGTGGTTTTGTTTCAATACAATGAAACGAGCGGGGGCTTGGTATACCCATTCGAAGATGCCACACGTAAGTATCTTTTGAAATGATGCCTCTAGACTGCGCAGTTTTCAACTCGAGCATACGATACCGACGAAAGAAGGAATGCTAATATTGTATGATAGCATCTATGCTGGGTGCGGAGTCATTCGACTGGACTGTAGCCACGGACAAGAACCTATCGGCATCAACCTTGTTTCTGTTCAACATTTTTTACGAGGGAGACACGAGTCCAAGCGCTGTGAGCGAGACCTTTCGCATCACCGACGACAGCACGACCTCATCTTCTACCACTACCACATCTAGCTCAACGACTTTTGCGACTTCAGCGAGTCTCACTGGTTCAACCACTTCTACAATTTCGACGACCCCCATCAGTGCAGCCAGCACGATGACCTCTGCAGTCGACACAACTGGTGCTGTTACCAGCCAAACATCATTGTCGTCTGCAGAAAAGAATGCCGACACCGACGGGCTGAGCATGGGCGCAAAAGTCGGCCTCGGCGTTGCTATTCCCGCAGTGGCGCTTCTTGGAATTGCCGCAGGATACTGCTTCTTCCGACATCGAGCAGGGAAACAGAAGAAGCATCATGTTGACAAATTGGTGACACAAGTAGAACCTCAAATGTACCAGGAACCTCCCAATCCGCCACCATACTATAGATACGAAATGGATGTGGTGAATCCCCCAACAACACACGAACTATATGGTGATTTTACAGGTCGATGATGGATGTGGTACCTTGCCAAAATGTAGGAAATTGGTTAATAGAACTCCTGAAGCATTCATGGCGGCACATAATGTAGCAATTGAGCTTGTTGACTCACTTCTCAAGCTTGTGTTTCTGTCTTCCGATCGATGCCTAACTCAGTCTGCGAAGCTCAAATGAACATAGTCTGATAAATTACTTTCGTTCCTCTCCGTTCGGGGTCTTGAGTTACGAAACATTGATGACTCAACGTATGATATACTGTCTTTCTGTATCTGGCATGGCTGGAACGCAGTCTGGATCTAATTCTAGAGAAGACATAATTGAAATATCAGCTTTTAGTCTCTTGATGGTTTGATGTACTCTAGTTGTGCCATTCGAATAAAGGGAGGTTTGCTCCCTAGTAGTATTTCCTAACCCCCAAAAGTTGTATCAAGACCTCCGTCAAACTTCTGATCAAGTCACTATCAAATTTGTGTAACCGCCTTCCAATGCCTGGCGAACACCGCAATTCAAACAGCATTTCAAAAGCAAGTCTCCTCTTCCATCACCATTACAAGCCAGGAATTGCGCTTGTGAATTTCCTGCTGTCGTCGTGATGTTGAGTTCAAACTCCTTGTTGGGAACCGTACCAATGCTTCCAATAGCTACTTGTGCTTCGTACTCTTCGTGCAAGGTTTCGCCAATGCCATGATCACAGCTTTGCGTGGTGTCAAGATACATCAGGCCCAAGACGGTGTCTACAGGGCTGACGTTGAAGTACAAGCCAGACCTCTGGACATTGAGTCTGATCGCAAGTCCTCCAAAGCCCTCGCGGAGAGACACAGTCAAGGAAAGAGGTTCTCCAAGTTTAGCAATGCTAAGAGGAGCTAGTTCTTTGCCCGGCTTTGCAATTAAGTCGAACTTGGGACGTTCATCTTCCTCACACAGAAAGTGGTGGTAAGTATCGTTGTGAAGAAACAAACCCTCGCTGATTTTGAAAGTGAAGCGTCCTTCAGAATCTACTCCAAAGCTGTCCAAGACCCTGGGGTATATGCTATAACCCCCACAGCTGAGACCAAGTTGTGAATCATTGTATGATGATCGCGAATCAATCAAGCTGAGAATATCACGATACACACCATACTGGGACCCATGAAAATCTGGGGGTTCGGTCAAGTCTGCACCTTCAAGACCGAGTGTGCCCAGTACACGAAGAATCACGGGCCCGGACAAGGTGTTACTAAAATCATCCAATGTCATATTGACTGGACCTTGAGGCTCCAGAAGGCAGCACAATATTCCAGCCGCCAGTGCTGAGCCCATTATCCGGGAAATGCTTTGTCTGGAGCATTCACGTTGACACCGGGGCCATCTGAAAAACGGCGTAACACACTGACCGCAAGTGCATTTCACAGATTTGAAACCTCGTTCCAAGACCTTGATTAATTGTTGCCATTGTGCGACCGGATCTTGAATCTTTTGTTGTGGATCATAAAGGCATATTTCCCGGCAAGTCGATGCCAACTTGTACCGGAAGTGCGGTCCGAGTAACTCATCGAAGCGTTTCCTGGAACCTAACATTGGGTGTCCTGAGAAGCGCCTGCCCGTGTTCCTGAAGTCGCACAACTTGAGATGAGGAGCTATCTGAACCATAAACTCGCAGAATGTCTCTTGGAGGTCGTGAGTGAAAATGAGGCCAAATCTGGCCAATTGGAGACAGAGAGCTTGTTTCAGCCACCCGTCCCATTGTAGGGATGGTTGCAGTGGTGTCTCGTGGTATCTACGGCGTAGAGGTGTAATCGGAGTGGCTACGAGGGTCTGGCAAGGGTCAAGCTTTGTTTCGACTTGCACCTTTGTCAATGCTTCCGAAACCTCGATGATGATACGAGCTTCTTCGTTATCATGGATGACCATGGACTCAACTGTCACCATTGTACAGCTTGGGAACATGAAGAGAACCATGGCGATGATATACAAGATCGAAGTTGAGCCCGAAACTCGGACCAAGCAATCTTTTCCGTTTTGTAAATATGTCAAATTCTCGAACAACTGGACAGCGGACTCAACAGAAGGTGGCTCAAGGAGCTGCGTTGGCGGTTTCAATTGGAGTTGCTGATAAACCGAAAGAACTCGATGTGTTTGTTGCGCAAGAACGTTCCCAAAAGAGAGCGGAGCGGCCTTGGCAGCCACCAACTTTGCAATGTCGGCAACCTGCGTCGGGCTCGATCTGGGCAAACTCTTTGGAAGGAGTAATGTGCACAAGTTTGAGAGAATCAAGCCGTATCTATGCTCCTCGTAGATATTTGCCAAGCATGTGGCCAGCAATGTAATAGCTTGGCCGCCAGCTGTCTGCGCAAATACAGAAATTGCGTCGCCACGGCGCCATCCAACAGCTAGAGATAATCGACCAACAGGGTGAGAAACAGCTCTTGTCATGACTTCTGGAACATGGCTGGCATATGGACCATTGACGTGGAAGAGGGAGCCGAGGTTTTCGAGCAACATCATGGCCATGGGCTGCACATTGTCTTTAGACATTGCGCTAAGCAGTGTGGTGAATGCTCCGAGACCAGACAGCCCCAAAGAGCCGATGTCGGCTTGAAGCGCCACGTTGTTCGGCATGATTCCGGGGTATATGGTGCTGTACACTAGGTCATCAATGATGCAAAGATGGATTTGAAGGTCACCGCAAGGCACACGGAGTTGCGAGACACGAACATTAGGAATTTGTGAATATCAGAGCCTTGCTGTTCGGGGGCGGGGTATGTATGCTCCAGCCTGGATCATGTGACGAATGTGCAGAATTTTATGCTGTAAGCTGGCCAGTCGATAGCCTGATCTGCGGTGTTGAAGTACACTGCGTAGGTATGTTGCATTGAGGCACACAACGTCCGCGGTCACTGAGTGGGGCTCCTCTTTGGGTCACTCCTATGATGCACCTGACAGCTAGTGATCTATTTCAAAGCATCTCATCACCGCCAGAGCGACTGGCGAAGACCACATGACATCATTATGGCCTATGATTGTCAGCATGCCTATACAGTTACGTTTCGACGCAGACTCACCTCCGTATGGAACAAGTTCTTCTCGTATGACAACGTTGTTCTCCCCCTTGGCCACAACAATGTAGGTTCCATCCTCGCGCAAAACAGTTCTCTCCTTCTTCCATTCCGCAAAGTCCTCGTCGTCAAGATTGGTACCGATCAGAGAGGTGGCGGCGGAACGAAAAAGGGTATCACTCTCGGAAGACGGAATTTCGCAATCATTCTTGGCATGGATGAGGGTGAGGCGGAGACGACTGCGTGTCAACCCAACAACTGTAGCCAATCGTTCAGCAGATTGCCATTTTTCCACAATGAAAGAGTGGAAGAATCGCAAAAGAGGTGGCACGGATCGAAATGGCGACAAAACCGGCACAATCCCGCCGGCCGTGTAACGACTGAGAAGCGTGGGCAGATTAGAAAAGCCGGCAACCAGAATGACTCCCGCAAACTCGATTCCCTGCATGGCAAAATGCTCAGCAACACCGCTAGTCACGGCCGTACCTAGGCTTTGACCCATGATGACAATCCGGCTAGACGGGACTTTGGCCACCTTCATCGCCCAGTCTACTGCAGCAGCACCGTCGTTGATCAGGCCTGCCTCGGAGGGGACACCAGTTGATTTTCCAAATCCACGGTAGTCGATAGCGAGAACATGGTATGTTGAGCTGTCGGTTAGTGTATGGTAGCTACCTGGGCGAATGGCTTGTGCTATATGCCCAGCATTCTATTGCAATGTCAGTGAACTGATTGCTCGACAAGGACAAGCAGATTCAAGCATACCCCATGAACTATAAATGAACTTGTTAGTAAACAAAGATAACTCAGCTTCCACGAATGACTTACACATTATGACCAAGCGTGCATTTGGATCCTCTTGCAATACCTTAAAGGACTCGGTTGAGGAAAAGTCCTCCACAAACCCATGTGGCTCAGCTTGCAATCTGTCCTCGTTCCTGAGGTAAGTGGGCAAAGGCATGATATGCCAGGCGTACAACGTCTCTCCGTCGGCCGTCTCTATAGGGAATGGAGTGACCTGGTTCCCTTTGACAGTCAAGTCGGTTAGTACGGCAAGATGCAGGCTTTTGACCAAAGCAGGAGGACATACTGGCAAACCCCCATTGCTCTGGCTTATCTATGTCATGCCAGAATAATGTGTTGAGCTTGTGAGCATATAAGAAGCTGACACTGTGTAAGTCGAACAATACTCTAGAAGAAACATTGCATCTCAGTACTTACTGTCTTTGAAAGAACGGAAAGGCCCCGAGAATAATAAAGGTCAAGTATATACCGACAGGCGCGGCAAGGCCGGCAACCAGCGGGATTGCCCATCGAGAGGATTGAGGCGCCATTGCAATGTTGTGATGGCCAGTCAGAGCCTATGATGGATTGTGGATGAAGAATCCGGACCGAAGATGCGATTGGCTGGCTGGGAAATCTACAGACGCACTCCAGGCACTTGACGTCTGTGTCAGAACGATGGCAGGTCTAAACCACGGTTTGACTTTGTCAAACGACGGGTGTGTAAATACCTAATGGAGGGACAGAATTTGGCCACTATGCCGCTTGCTGGTGCCTGAAATGACCGAATTCAGTTGGGACCAAAACAAACAGATCACAAGTCAGAGGCGAAGTGTTCGCAATCTAGCCAGTAACAGCGTATCCAGTAGAACTATGGGTGAGTGCATGTGGCCGTGAAGTCGGCGATGAGTAAGGGTCTTGAGGGCGGTCGGGCCACAAAGACCGACGTGGGGCCCCTTGCATCATGCGCTAACGCCAACTTGGCTGGGGCGAGTCGCTCTGTCCTGGCTTGCGTGGATGGACCTGGCTAGGTAAGGGATCTTCCTTTTTAGCCAGGGCATGTTTGGTGAAGGAGTTATATTAGTGGCTTCCAAGTTCCGGTCATTTCAGTCTCCGAGATTTCGACTGCTTACCATAGATAAAGAGTGTAGGAATATGGCGGTGTTGGCAAATTTCAAAACATATGGGCAGCCAGCAAGGTCAATATTTCAGAACCAACCGATCATCGGCATTATTTTGCTTTCTCAAGCAATAATAACCAAACTCTTTCCAGCTTAATGGACATATATGAAGACGTCGTAAAAGAAGTGCCGAATCATGTCAGCTGTTATGGCACGACTAATAGCTAAGTATATAGAAGATTTATTGCAAGCTATTCGGCGCATTGTCAACTGCTGTAGTGGCTGCAATTTCTATTCTATGATTGATGAAGCTTTTATCACCAGTGTCCTTTGATTTATATACTGATTATCTAGAGTAGTCATTGTTGACGCCTTCAAAAGTCAATTTGGGGGTTGCATCCAAGCAACCAGGAGTCAGGACCCTCGACTGTAAGAATTACCGCTACACGAGAATGAAATCAATGTTAAGGTTCTTTCGCACATGAACGGCATCACAAGTAATTAGTCAAAACGACACGTTGCCATTCAAATGAGAAGGCTGTTTGCTCTACCTCGTCCATACCGCTTCACTATGACAGCCTCTCACTACGGCAGGACACGGCAATGATTATTATTTGCCTCCTGGTAACTCGAATGAAAACGCGGCTTCGCCACCCAGCTCTACCTGCACGGGTCTCAGAAAGAAGGCCGAGTACGTTGTCAAGTACCGAGCACCTGCTGAGCGGATTGGTTGCAGTGGGCGGCGCACTGATTGATTGGTAAAATGCAGAACTCGATACCACTCGTGCTACAATGACCTCGCACTATTCCATTGTCACAATCAACTACTCCTCCAACTACTTGATGCACCTAACCAACCTGTACCTACCTGCCTGAATGAAAGCTATCTTGCCTTCCTCTCACTGGTCCAATTGTTACCTGGGTAGCTCGCAGCTCCTCCCCACCGGCAGCCCATTTTTTAACGTTACGCCTGACCAATCAGCACGCGCTCCTTCATCAGCTCAGCCAATAGCCTACGACTTCGTGCGCCTTCCAACTTCCCTCCGCTTGAGCTTGCGGCCGGGCGGTTCCTCTGGCATCAAATTCCAGCGCCTTTCCTTTCGGTCTTATTCAACCTCTTCCCCAACATTGCCTGCTGCTCTTTTTCTCCCGACCTCCCATTCTCTTTATCGCTTGGTCGCCCAACCCTGCGCTCCCTCTGACAAAATCTCACATGTAACGCTCATTCTGCAACTGCGCTCTTGGTTTGCATTGCCCCAAGCTCTCGCGATTGGGGAACATACATCTAGGCGTCTGGTCTGGGTGGGCAGGCCGACAGACGTGAACCGCGGCTGCTGTCTCAATATGTACACACATGTGTGACGACGTCTCTGCATCTTCGGATTCGTAATCGCAACAACAACCTTCTCCACTCCTTACTGGACGCGACGATCCTTGTTACAATACGGCGACGCCTTGTTCATGTCAACATAGTATTATTCTGTCGATCCGCACACCCAAGAAGCCGCGACTGCACATCCAATCATGACGGGTGGAGAGAGAAAGCGCAAAAACCCTCCTCGGGGCGCTGCCCGAGCTGAGCAGGTCGTCAAGAAACGCACCGTGACTCCTCCCGAAAGGTCGGCGACCCCAGCTGCTACAGCACCACCGCCATCGCCGCCGCCTCCCCCAGAGCCCGTCGTCGAGGAGACCCCGCTACCCAAGTCGGTACAGGCAGGAATTCCACTGCCCACTGTCGAGACTCCCCAGCCGGATGACCTTCCTGGCAAAGAATACCAATCTATACAGGAGAGGTGAGTACAAGATCAAAAAATCTCGTGTTATGGACCTTGGAACTAATGTGAATACTCAAGTGGCGTTCTCGCAGAGTCTCTTAACCGATCACGGCAGAAATGGATCAACGAAGGGATATTTGAAAAGTATTGGACCAAACCCGTGAAACGGAAAGGCGTAGTCAAGGAGGAGCCAAACAATCCACCAAAGGACAGCATGCAGAAAATTGGAAGCATCATCATCACGATTGAGCCTCATGTGCTTGAGGCGACCATGTTCGGCATCAAGGACAATCAGAAGCCTCCTCCGACCACGAACTCGACGTTTCGTCCCGTCATGCAATATGGTCCTCCAAACGGTGTCATGCCGCCTCCTCCAAAGCCATCGACCCCCGCCACGCCTGCAACCGTGCCAGCATCACCAGCAAAAGGCCCAATGCACCCGTCGGGGGCACCTGTCTCGGCGCCAGCGCCCACGCCCTTGTCACAACCACCAATTAAAAATCCTCCAGCTTTGGCTCAACCTGGTATACATACACAACAACAGCAACTAGAAATACAGCGTCCCCCTCTTGCTACTGCACCTGCGCATGCGGCACCAGTTGCTGCCCCTCCGATGGCTGCGCCCAGTTCGGTACTCGCGGCACCTGGACCGCCGCAACCACCACAGATTGCACAGCCTCCCCTGAGATCACCCGCGCATGGAACGCATGTGCAACCCCTGGCTTCACCAGCAGGGCCAATGGCCCAACCTGGCGCTGTACGGCCTCCACAGGCACCAAGTGCCAGCCCCACGCCAGCCAATGCACCACCGAGAGCATCTACATCAAGCGCAAAACCGGCAACACCAACGCCTGCTGGCACTGATCCCATCATAGTCACACTGGCCGAAAAGGCTTCACATGACCCGCATCTACGAGATCTCATGAAGAGAGTAGCTATCGGGCAGGCTGCTCCCGATGAGCTTCAGCATTTCCAAAAGATTATTGATCAAATCACAGCTGATTACAAGAAGAGCGGAGGGCAGCAGGGTCCGTCAGCGGATAGACTCATTGTAGATGGACGGACGGTAAAGTACCTTGCCGACGAGGTGCGGACAATTCTAGATGTTGTCTTGGCATCAAATCCACATCAAAAAGCGTCAGATCTCAAAGTCCCACACGACTCTGATCCATTGATCATTCTACTGGTGAAGAAATCACTGGAAGACCACACAACTAGAAATATGGTTCGGAGGGTAGCAGAGAACAAGACTAAATTCTCTGATGCAACGGACCTCAAGGCTGTCCTGGACAGGTTGAAAGATTTACTGCCCAAGAATGCTGCTAAACCGCAACAGCCACAACAGCAGGCAGCCAGCACACCCGAGGTAGTGCATCCAACAACACCAGCAAAGAAGGTGCCTGCGTCACATGCGCCAGCAGCGGCGCCGCAACAAGCTTTACGTTCTAAGGGGCCCGCACCAAGCTTCAAGACTGAGTTTTCTGCAATCGTACTGGAATTTTCTGGCGGGACAGGGGATAGATATCTATTTCCCAAGTACAGCATCCTAGAGTACCAACAAGGCGCTACTGAAGTCCTTGCTTCATTTTTGATCGTGCGCAAAGGCAGCAGATCTGAATATGGCGGAGATCCTGCATTGGATTACTATCAACCAATGACGATTCGAATCGCTTCACCGAATGGGAAAAATCTTGACCAGATCGCAAGGGTTGTAGCGCCACAAGACGAAGTCAAGCGATATATGGATGATGTCATGGACAACATGACACGCGCAGAGTACGTTTTGCTTGCAATGAGACTACCTCGTCCAGAAAAGGAGGATGAGGCAGCCGGTCGATCCGAAACTCCAAAGATGGACAAGCCGCAGCAAACACTCCAAGCTCCTCAGCCTCATCAAGGAGTACTTTGGACGACAAAGGCCGCACCCACCAAGCTGGTATCCCAACCTCCCACTCCAAAGGTTCTCGGTGAAGATGAACAATACCAAAACTTCATCGCCTCTGTTAGTTGAAAGAGCGAAGAAGCTGGTCAATCAAGTATTTGCGCGGGGCGACTGATGATCGAAATTCCGGTGTTTGGGGTTTGATTTCACTGGCATGGTATGAGGAGCTTATGGTATGTGTTACTTTAATCAATGGCGCCTTCAAGAGGTGCGTATTCACAAATTCAGTGAATGCCAGTAAGCAGAGGAAGTACGAGGACAAAAGGGCCAGCGGCCGCCTCGAGCTCTAGATTAGTAAAGAAAATGTTTTCTGGCCATTTCCCATCTGGCGATTTCTTGTCCGGCTTTAATTCCTGAGATTGCAGACAGTCCAGGTAAAGTTAATGTGAATGTTTATTGTGATAGCATATTGGAACTGGTGTTTCTGAATGTGGATTTACCCAAGAACACCGATCAACATGGAAAATCTACGACATATCCCTAGCTAGATGCCTCTCACTCAAGCGGAGGGTAGTTTTCCGCTATTGGTGATGTAGTGCTTGGTCTTTTCCGACGTATCAATCGCTCAAGAGCAGACAGCCTTGAAAATACGACTGGAGGTCATCAAAGTCATCAAGTTCGCCCACCCACGCCACAATCTGATCCGGTCGCACAACAACGACGCAGCCCCGGTCCTTGTCCACTCCATAGCTGACATATGCGTCCCCAAAACCCTCGTATACGCTCACATCGTCGCAATAGACCTGATGATAGCCCCAGCCCGTCTGTCTGCTGAACGGGTGCAGGATATCCGGAAAGTCGCGGAGCAGCTCGACGCTGTGGCGCTTGGCGGAGTGAATAGTCAGGATCTCGACGATGCTGTCGATGCTGCCGGTGCCGGTTATGCGCCGGAGAAAGTTGCTGGGCGCGTCCAGCTGGGTGCAGAGGTGCTCTACGCGCTGCTTCTGGGCGGGATCCAGAATGTTGCCGGCAAAGAGGACGATGCGGAAGCGTCCGTCGGATTTTAGTTTCTCTTGAAGGTGCCAGATACGGCCGTCGCTCTGGTCAAGGACCTATTATTCATTTCTGGGTCAGCGGTAGAATAATCTGTGAAGATTCAAGGAGGACACATTGTTTTACCTTGCAACTATTGAAACGCATGCCGACGGGGAGACCAGTCGCCAAGGCTTGTCGCTTTGCAAAGGTTTCGGCATTAATCTTGGTAGATTGTGCGATTCCACCGCCATTGCCATGTTCATCGGCCTCGCTGGGCTTGGCAATGAGACTGCTGGGTCCGTAGTTGATGGACAAACCTTGGAAGAACAGATGCCCTTCTATCATGGATTTCTTGAAATCATCTGGATTGATACCCGTGGGGTCCTGGAACAAATCGGCAGTCAGAAACTTTCATCTTTTATACCATTCGAGATCACAGTGAGCGCATACCGCAGAGTCTTTGACGGGCTTCCCTGAAATCTGCCGGCTCAGGCGATGATCAATGGCAATGAGCTCTTGCGCCACGCGCCGTCTCTCGGCCTCGTAGGTGCTCAGGATACTCGGCTGTGCAATTCCCTTGATCACGAGGGCCAACTTCCACCCGAGGTTGTAGCAGTCCTGCATGGAGACGTTCATGCCCTGGCCGGCCTTGGGCGAGTGAGTGTGCACGGCATCTCCCGCGAGAAAGACACGGTCGTGAGCTTGAAAGTGTGTTCCTACCCGTTGCCCAATCTATCGAATCAGCCAGTTTTTTTTTCTTTTCTCTCGATAAACAGGAGTTCCTGTACACACCTGGTAGGCAGTCCACCAATCACAAACGTCGTACTCAATCTTGTATGGTTGCAGTATCTTCTTGGCAGCATCAAAGATGGACTCTGGGGTGATTTTGGACTTGTCGGCGCGGCCTGTGGTTGCATCGAGCTTGACCTCGATCAACTGGATATAAAGCCGTACCAAATTGTTTTCGCGAGGGATGACCATGAGGCTTCCATATTCCGCCGACTGGATCATGCTCCGTTCTCGTATACCAGCTATAATAACTCAGTGACCCCGAAGTTGTAGACCGATGTATGGAAGTGAGACCCACGAAAGTCTGTAAATGGAACGATGTCCATGACACCCCAAATGGCATCGATGGATTCTCCCTGGAGCTCGAAGCCGAGGACGTTCCGCGTCCAGCTACGTGCGCCATCGCAGCCAATCACGTACTTGGCATGCACAGTTTCGCTCTCGCCTTGTCACATTTTAGTATCTAGTCAGAACTTGCCTCAGCAAGCAACCTACCGGCTCTTTCGTAAGATCTTTGAAGCAGCGCGTCCTCATCTGCCTCACCAAAGAGATTGCTCCGGAACAGCCCGTCAGCAAACTGTGCGCCGCCGTGCTGTTTTGGAGTTGACTCCTCCTCGTTGAGACGCCTCAGCTTAACCGTGACGGGGTAGGCAGTTTGGTCGTGAACCTTGGTCTCTTCAATTGCCAGAGACTCGGGCATGACTCCCCGCTCGACTTGTATGGTGTCCTTGGAATATTTTTTGATATTGTCGAGAAAGAAACGCTCGATACGGCCCTGGTGCAGCGTGGCGTGCATGAATCTCGAGAGGCCCGGTGGCGTATCTGGGGTCCGTTCTCCCCGGCGAATGACTCCATTTTCATCAGGTGACTACACACGAGTCAATCCCATGTACTGATGCAGTGCTGTCAATAATTGTTCTATATCGGACTGACCCAGAAGCAAAACTGTGGGTTACAAGATGTCAGCAGTCTTCACTGAACATGACACTGGTTGCCCATACCTCATTCAAGTAGTAGGCTTCTTTGCGGAACCTGTCGACAAAGCCAAAACTTTCAAAAATCTCTTGGCTGCGAGGGTTCAGGCCATCCGCCTGTCCGCAAAAGACTTTTGCATTTCTCTTATCAATGATGCGAGCGTGTACACCGCAGTGCGCCATCCACGCCGCGGCCATCAACCTTTTTGTGTTGCAACATTAAGCAAGAGACGCACATGTCGAGTGTTCATTGAAAATTTTTACATACCCAGCTGGACCAGCCCCAATGATGAGCCTGGATTCATCGTCAGTCCTAGAACAATAGAAGTCTTGGATTAACATACACATCTACACTCGACTCACTGTCGTGACCGTCGATATCCATACTGCCAAGAGGGTAGAGATTCTTATAAAAAGCTTTATTGCGTAGATACGAGAAGGGCACAAATAAATGGTTACAAAGGACAGGATCACCAAGCACTATAGATGGGTGGACATGTCGCCGTGGCCACTGGTGTCGGCGCCCCCATCATTGCAATATGCAATGATACCCCAACTTCAGTGGGTATTTTATCCTGACCGAGTCCGAGCATGTCTTTGCCAAGCTATGACTGCAGTCCAAGAATACTACCTGGTTAGATGATAGGACGACACACCACCCTTTTGCTCCAAGTAGGTTATGATCTATAGCTCTCGCGTTGGGATAGATCTGTGTAAAAACATAGGCAGAGTTGTTGTTGGTTGCTCTTTCTCGAATTCCTTGCGGGCGGTTATGCACTCTACATGACATGACCATCGCAAAAGAGGCGCCCCGGAATGTCTCAGCGAAAGCGAAGAGAATTCATCATATGACGCGTAAGTCGTTGGTAATACTTTCTTTACGAGAGTTGCATCGCCCGATCCGACGGTGGCGAACTAAACGGATCTCTTCATCCGACAGCCGAGATTGACCACCTCAATAAGAAAAAAAGGGGAAAAAAGTTGTGTAAGCAGAGTTCCCGAGATTGATCATACAAGTGTTGAGTGAATATATGTTGCGCCGTAGGTAGACATGATTTTCAATCATACTCAATTGATGGGTTGCTAGTACCAACGGACAAAGAATTGTAGGAGAACACAAAAAGTTAGGCACCAGTCGGATTCCAGGGTTTGCCACAAACGCCGAAGCGACTTTCCAGCAGAGCTTTTAGGTATGAACAGACTGACGTAAGTAAAAGAGGTTACGGAAGTAAGAGAATTGCTTGAAAGGAAACTGAAAATGCCTAATCACGCGTGGTCTACCGTGGTATAGTACTGTCTTAGCAAATGGCAGCAGGGCTGAACATGAGTTCTCTCATCACGCGAACTCTTCACTTCAAATCCATTTTTAGAACAGCGCCCGGCCAGTCCTCCTCCTCATGACGCTCATGCACAAAGTCAGTCACTGGAACAAATCCTACCGACTTGTAGAAGCTATATTCCCATGATTAACAACAATGACCACACGGTATAATCTAGGAGCAGAGGGGAGTAAAGAGGAAGAAGAAAGGCAGAAACTTACTTGACCAGAAGTCCACCATTTCCGGCAAAACAATCCAAATACATCGTCTTGGCCCCTTGAGACAGCGCATACTCCTTGATCTTGGCCACCAGCGCCCCACCGGCTCCTTTACGGTGGGAACCCGTACGGAAATCCGAAATAAGGACCTCGAGATACATGACCCCCCCTTCGGCATCGGCTTCCTTGATGAGCTGCTTTGTCTGCTCAAAATCTTGAAAATAAGTCGGCCACCACCCAGTCCGAACGCCTCCCGCCGCCACAGAAAGGAAACGCTTTCCCGACGTCTCATCGGTGCGCACGCGCCAGCCTTGCGCTGTATCGGCGTCGGTATCGGCGTCGGCGGGTAGCTCCACCTCGGCAATAAAGAGACGCCCCTCCTCGCCGCCACCACCACCTCCGTCTTGATCTTTCTTGACCTCGCCGTCGCCGTCACGGCGCCGCCGCGAGGTTTCCGACATGGTCAGCCAGCCCGCCACGCGGTCGCGGGCCCCGTCGCGCTCGGAAAAGGGCCGGGACCCCCACTGCTGACCGCTGCCCTTGGCGGCCATGTGCGGCAGGGCGCCGTCAAAGGCGGCGAGGATCCAGTCGCTGTCGCGCGGGCTCTCAAAGTCTTCGCGGAAATGAAATGTTTGTGAGGCCATGGTTTTTGAATTAAATCTCGTGGTTTAAAATCTTGAAAATAGGATTTGTTGCAAAGGCTATAGGTTGTTCTTCGAAATTGTGCTTCTTCCAACGAGTTTATGTAGAACTGAAGGGGATATTTTTCTTGTTTGACACGTGTATGTAGCCTTGCATGCAAGTCATGCGATTTCACCGACCTAGCCATGATCTATGGATCCGCTAACGATAGTCGTCGCTGCCTGCAGCCAAGTTGATCCGGGGTTCGATCTTGCGAAGAAAATGTGTGGAGTCCGAACTCCGTATTATGCTTACCTGCCGATCTACCTATAGGAATACATTTGTTGGACGTACAGCCAAGAGATCTACGTAGGACTGTGCCAAAAATCCCAGTAAACGTGTTTATATACTTGTAATGTCCTAGACTGACGCGGTCACGCATGAGACGGCTTTGGGAAAATGTCTCATCCACATTGAGGCAGTCATCAAATCACAGTGCATATTGTAAGGCTCTTTGGGTTTTGTTGAAAAAAAGAGGGGGTATCATTTGATTAATTATATCGTACAGATTTGATCATAATCATAATAAGAAAAGATTATTTGCTACTGTGATCAGTAGTAGCGAGCTCCTCGTCATTCGATTCGGCAGCGGCCACGTCCTCCTCGGTGACGCGGATCTCGTGGGTGTGGTCGAGCTCCGACAGCACGATCCAGGTCGGGAAGATGCTGATGAGCAGAATGCCAAAGTTGAGACCAATGCTGACAAAGTGGTTGGCATTGCCCTCGGATTGCATACTGCGATGAAGAAGAAAAATGTCAGTATTGTGACCTTTGTATGTGGTGTTGACATGTAAAGGAGCAAGGGGGGAAACTTACGCCCAAGCAACAGTTTGACCCAAGGCCTCGAAACCACGCAAAATACCAGTGTGGTGAGACAGAGACGACAAACTCTCGGCATACTGACCGACAAGCCAGTACAGGAACTGTTGAAAGGCCTGTCCGGCAAAGGTCCAAAAGAAGACGAGGGCGTACGTCTTGCCAAAGCCGCCCTGGAACCAATCAAAGACGGGAGCCTCGGGGGCATCATAGAATTGTTTCTGGAGAATAATGGCCCAGATCCAGGTGCCGATGAGGATGAGGACAATGGCGGAGAAGGCAATCTTGGCCCGAGTCTTGATAAAGATATTCTGGCGGTCCAGCAGGCCGGCAATGATGAAGGAACTGAAGATGCCTGCAAAGTTGGTAAAAAAGGACGAAAAGGCTCGCGATCGCACGGTAAAGTATGTGGTGAGCCACGTGCTCAAGAAACCGTTGTAGAAGTAGCTGATGAAAAAGGCCGGGAGCAGCAGCAAGATACGGCGAGAGGCCAACAGGCGGAGAACGGCCTTGAACTCGGCGCCCCAAGTCGCCTCCTTGTGCACCACGACCTTTGTTCCGTCACGGCGCCAGACCTTTTCGGCGGGGCTAAGACACAGCGCAATCGGCAGACCCAGACACATGATGACAATAAAGACAATGTAGGTGGCCGAGCTGACGGAGCCGGCCGTGTCGCGGTTGGCGTTGAGTCCGAGGTTGATGGCGCCACCGACGATGGGTCCAAGGGCTTTGGCGGTCTGCCAGATGGCGAGGTAAAATGCGCGATCCTTGGGACTGGGGTATCCGATAATAATGGCAGCCTCGGCAGCCCAGAAGAATCCGGCCGAGATACCGCAGAGAGCGGAACCAAAGAGCATGAACCACGTTACAGCATTGACGTTGTTGGTGTACAGACCGGCGCCGTAGAGCGGGTAGCCAATGGCACCGAGGGCCAGTCCGTATCGCAGGCCGATGCGGTTGTTGATGGCACCGGCGGCCACGCAGACAATGGAGAAGAGACCGTAGACAAGAGCATTGGCGGCCGAGACGGCGTACGGCTCGGCAGCACCGCCGGCACCCAGACCGCCGAGGGCATCCCACATTCCGGGAGCGGTAAAAGAGACTCCGCTCGCAATGATGATCTGAAAAGCCACGGACCGGAACCACGAGTGCTTCTTGCCGGCTCCGGCATCTGCAGCGACCTCGTGGGTAATCGAAGTGGGCGACATGTTGGGCTTAGGCTGTTCCTCTCTATTTCAAGGCGACGCTTATAGTACGGTCCAAAAAAAGGCACCTGTGTACTAAACCTAGAGGGACGAACGAAAGAAGAAGAAGATCTTCAGATGTTGCATGAATTAAAGGATAGTAGTAAGCAAGCTACAGTCAGGCAGACTCGACATTCAAACGGCCATGCTTGCCGTTTTGTATGAAAAAGTCGTCCTCCGGGTCCATTGTGCCATTTGCCCATGTTCTGTGTCAATGCAGTCCTTGACTCCAAAAGTTTTTGCAAGACTCGATCACGCAATCCAGCCGCGCAGATCCGCCTTTGGGATAAGGCCGAAGCGGACGTCCCCTTTGGGACAATAGCTGGGAGCTTGGAGGCTTTTGTTTGGCCAGAGCCTGTGGGTAGACCGTCTGGATCCACTTGCGCCGGGCCAAGAAGTCTTTTCACTACGTAAGAATAAATTTTTGTTACTCGACGGTTGACGCCAAGTACAGTTGAATATAGGCCTCAGGGGGCAAAAATGCACTTGGTGTGTCATTGTCTTCAATTGTCTCAAACTCTCCGTCGTCGCAAGCATGCTCGTTAGCGGTACGTCTTGCTGGGATCAGCTTTTCTTTTATTGCTTTTTGCATTGGAATATCTGTTTGGTATACTTTCTTGTCATGAAAAACATTGCTAGTAGTGACCTGACTTATCGCATGTGCAGTTTCTGTAATTCTGAGGGAAATAACAAGAGGGTGTCATTTCCCGTGGCAATATTTATTTCGTGTCATGTAACATCCTTCATACCCCCCAAGACAGGCAGTCACGCGACATATGCAATAGACAGAACTGGTTCCTGGCGATCCCTCAAAGCGTCAAGCTGCACCCCGGCCAGTTCCAGTAATACGGTAGTAGACGGGGAGCCCCATATGGGTCATCGAGCTGACTGACTATTCACGCTTGCCCAACCCGGGTCTCATCTGCTGAACAATAGTATCCATGTACTCGCCTCAGAGCAAGTCAGAAATCATTCTCTCGACTGACACATGGGGCACTGTTTCCTAGAATCCAAGCCACACCGAGGACTATATCCTGTCACCACCTTTACAAGACTTTCGCTCAATATAGACTGACCAGTTGTATCTGCATATCGTATGTTGACCAACCAGTCGTTCTTTGGTTCTTGCATGGCACGCGAAGATTTGACGACATGCACTCAAATGTATTCTTTCAACACCACCATTGTTTCAGTCAATTATCATTACTGATAATATACACTCGAACCCCTCAGTCCAGTAACAGTGGAACTGCATGCTCTTGTTTCCCTTTTAGCAGATCCTTCTCTTTTTCCAAGCCCATGCCGTGCCTCGGGGGCCGGTCAAACTCGCTTATGCTTACTCTATCGCATTGAGGTTTGCCTCAAATATAGTCGTTGCTAGGAACGGGGGTATCGATAACAAAAGAGATGGAAAAGAAAAAAACACAGTATAACCCATGTGTTGTTTGTGTGGAGATGGTCGACCTCTTCGCCTGCTGACCTGATTTATTCCGTTGCTGTACCATACCCAAAACAAATATCTCGCTCGCTGGGTATATTGTATGTATAGTTGACAGTGACGTAAACATAAGACAAATGCTGTGCAGGGCGTAAAGTGCCTCAAGATTGAGGTATAAAGAATGAAAGAGAAAAAGCTGGGAAAACGCCGTTGCCATGCTGTACCAAATGATGCTGATATATGGAAAAAGAAAATAGTCAAGTGAGTGATGTGTTGTGTGTTGCAGTAAAAGCTGGGCGAGACGGACCAGCCTAAGTAGCAACAGAGCCCTGAGCTTCTGAATCTGGCTTCCAGCCTGCCAATCTTGGCTCTAGTGGCATAATTCTCTCTGGTTCGATAGCTTCGTCGTCTGTTTCATTGTGCGCATCTTCAAAGGGAGCATCCTGGTCAAAGTTGATGCTTGCTTGCGTATGCTCTTCCTCGTCGGCTGGATTGAGAACTCGGGGTCCAGGTACCACAACGTCACTCGGACGAATACTGTACTCTAGAGCCTTTTTGCCCTCCTTGATGAGCTCCTCTGTCCAGTCCAAACAACGCTTAATGCTTTGGTTGATCTTCTGGGAATCAATGAGGAGCTCTTTGTGTTTCGACAGATCGCGTTGCAGTTGTTGTTCGTCTTTTCTCCCATACCGAGCGTCACGAGTTGCCATGAGACTTGGACTGACTGATTCCGAAGCTGAATCTGTATCTGAGAACGGCTCTTCGTCTTCTTCGCCTTCGAGCTCGTCCGAAACCTCTTCGTCGAGATCTGACAGCGGTAGGCCGTCTACATCTTCAACAACACCAGATACAGAGTCCGACACAGCCCGACTGGATTCTGCGCCAGAAAGTGTAGACAGGCGGCCGGCACGCGACATGCGCCTGAACCTTCGAAGCTCACTTGTTTGTTTTCGCAGTTGACGCTCCAAAGTACGATTGATCGCTTCGAGCGATGCATTTGTGATCTGAAGATCCTGAACCTTTCGTTCTCTTCGGGCGTTGGCCACCAGATCGTTCACCGGATCTCCAGAATGAGTTGACTTCGTGGGACTCTGAACCTCGGAATGCGAGTCGTCATGGGATCCTACACTCTCGTCCTCTCCAAAGTCCTCGGCAGCCTGGATGATGGAAGCCAGCGTCAAAGGAGGCTGAGAGGGCGACGCTAAAGGCAAGGGTGAAGGGGGCCCCGAAGAGATAAAGCTGCCCTTGAGATCCGCCTCTCCCATGACAGCACTACCATTCCTGGAGTGGCTGCTTAGTGATGTACCTGTGCTGGTACGGCGGAGCGTTGGCGCTGGCCCAAGCTGGGGCGGCAAAGTACCCTGCCCTCTGGTCGTGGCTGTTGGCATATTTGGGCTCTTTAATTGAGCAACATAAGGCTGCTGTCCATTTTTGGGTGGCGATATCGACCGTTGAGAGTTGGATAGCCCACCGCTCGGTGCACTGGTTGGTGCCCGGTTCGGCGCGGCCTTTGAATTTACTGAGATCACAGATCCTGGACGAGACGAGCCAGTCGAAGGGCCCGGCTTGAGGTCTGGTGTTCCATTGGCGTAAATAAACTTGCTAGAAAGGTCATTTTGCGACGAGGTCGCTGAGGGCGCCGACGTATAAAGACCACCTGTGCTGGGCTTGCTTTCTGCCGAGTGCGCCGAGAGACCACTGGCATATAGAAAATTCGAGGACTTGGCTATCGTGGGTTTGGGTTGCGCAGATTGGTTGGACTTGATATCGCTGGCGTGGAAGAACTTGGAGTCAAGGTCGACATGCAGCTCATGTTTCGCTGGCATTCGTGGTTCCGCTGGCCCAGGACTGAAGGCCACAACTGGTCGTCTTGCAGCTTCACCATGATGACCCCCGGGCGAAGACGGATAGGCCACGCGTAGGTCTCTGTCCCATGCGTCGAGTCTGCCCGGGTCTGGTGTGCCATTTGGAGTGCTGTTGGCGCTATCCACACGACTTTGTCTCTTTCCAGAGCGAGGCGTGATATTGTGGCCGAGGAAAGATGCTTGGTCGTCATCTGGTGGCTGAGGTGTACTTCTAGCCGATACTGTGCTCCCATTCGTCGACCGCGCGTTTGTCCTTCGCACTGACAGATTTCCTGCATTCGCTGCTAGACTTGGTGCTTGCGTGGGTTTGGACGCAGCGATTTTAGGTGTTAAGGGCGGGCGATTTGAGCTACGGGTAGCAGAAGCACTGAGATGGGGCAGCGTAGGTCTGCCGGCGGCCGTGGGGTTCGTTGACCTATCGGGAGGCATCGTAACTTTGACGTTTCTCGACATTGACGATGCTTTCTGTGTCATCTGAGCGGCATTTTGGTTGCGAGAGTTAAGAGGGAGCCTCGCGGCGTGTGGCGAGCGCGAAAGTCTGGAGGTGACCGAGCTCGGCTGCTTTGCTTGGCTCGTCGGCGGATGGGAAGCGGTAGTAAGTTTGTTGTTTTGATTGCGATTAGCTCCTGAAATTGGGGCAGCTCGGGAAGGCTTGGCGACAGTTGCGGTAATGATGGTAGGTCGCGATGCTTTTGCTCTGAGGGCTTCGGACGAGGGCAGTCGTTTAAAAGTTGAGCTGAGATTTCCCGAAGACGAAGTTGCTGAAAAGGAGGACAGAGCCGACTGACGAGAAGATGGTCGGCGGGGTCTGGCGGTGGATGATGGGTTTACATTTAGTGCTAAACGAGATCCATGTGCGTGGGTTGCTGGCTGATCGTATGGTTGTGCCTCGGTGGCGGGACTTTGGTTTTTTCGCTGTGAGGGTTTGCCCGAATTCACTTTTGCTATAGTTTTTGAGGCTGTTGAGTTGAGAGCACGCATGTTTCTTGGTTCATTTCTGTGAATACATAGGAATCAGAGTTGCAATTGCACTCGCCGAGCCAGCTGAATCTTGGGTTTATGCTGGCTGGCTGGACCGGGTAGTGGTAGTCGTAGGCCAAGGTGCCACTTGATTATCGTGACCCGTGCTGAATATCTGCTAGCGACCCTCGGGAGGGATTGGAACACTAGTGGATGGTAATTAGGTCGCGGGAGGACCCTATTTTTCTTCTCCCTTTCACACGAGCCTCCCAATTCCCTTGATATGACAGCAAGGGTGCTTAGTGGGTTGACATGGCCCGATCGCAGATGAAGGATTGATTGGGTTTCAATGGCGAAGTGCGAGATATATTCTGGAAGGAGAAAAAAAAAAAGCCCCCCGATTTTGTGGGCGACGACCGACGTGGCTCGTCCACCTTTTTTGACTGGACAATGTCTCTCTGGGTGTCGTAGCTACTCCAAGACGCGCTTGCCATCGATGATGTCTTTGAAAGTAAACAAAACCTCCCCTCACCCGGCCTGAATAGGTATTTTTGGCCTGTCATGAGAGACTGAAATTGTTTATTCATGCAGGAGCTACTGTACGTGCAAGGTACTTGTTTCTCCGGGCCTTCCACGCCCTGTTCATAATGCTCAGGGGAGGGAGGGGGCCAAGTACGTACTATATGTACGGAGTACGTACCCTTAAAAGTTGTAATAATGATTTCCCCACAGCTACCGCCCGCTTGTCTGAGTGCCCAGCCGCGATCAGCAACCACGCTTTGATTATTATAGCTTTTGAGCTACCGAAACAGCTCAGCCTTGAAAAGTGCAACGCCTAATGGCATGCTAGCTCTCTACCGTCTGTCTTATCGTCCAGGCGACATCTTGGCCTCCAAATGGAAGAAAATTAGGTGTTTATTGCACTGCCACGGCTGGCTAGGTACTTTGAAATGTCGGATGCTGAGCTCTTGAGGTATCTGCATATATATGCAGCTGCGGCACGTAGCTTGAGCGGACTGCACCAGTAAGCGCAAATCTAGCACTTGACGGGACAGCATTGCAGCTTTTTGCATGCAAGTCTTCAGTAAATGTACCTTGAACTAGTAGTAGGTCATGTAGGTACACAAGGTAATCACCCAGACAGAGAGAGTTCAATGTCACAGGTCTACGGTGGAAAAGAAAGTAATAAATGGTATAGAATTCTGCGCAAGGAAACTGGGCGCGATGGAGAAACTACATTAATGATCATGCCATTGAACTGACAAGTTCCGATTCCTGCTGAAAATGGTGCTCGAAAGGGCAACATTTCTAGGAAGCCGCTATGAACTTTGAGCCTCTGATGTCTACCCGCTAATTTTTACCAACTTCAGTGGCCACCAAAGCTACCTGTCAGTAGCACAGCAGACTTGACCTGCCGAAAAAGTGGCACTGGAGTGTATGATCACCAAATTGCCTCGACAGTGTCATGTCAAGGCGGCAATGAATTGGTCAATGACTACGTAGGTACAAAGCTCAAAACGAACTGTCATTTTCATGTCGAATCGCACAAAACATGCATCTGGTCATGCAGCAAACCGTAGAGGCCGCCCGGTCTAGCAAAGCGTACGTCTCAAGTTCCAACCACTCGACCGAGCTCATCTGCAACGACCCAATTGACCATACTTGCTATAATAGGTGCACGCAATGCCGAGAGCGCAAAATCAAATGCTCAGGCACACAGCCCTGTCGCCATTTCTCGAGACGTCAATCCGAGTGTGTGTTCCCTGATGGCGGAAAAAAGAGACTATATTCAGTCGCGTGAGTGCAAGCGAGTATGCCACGCTCGGCGTTTGTCGACTTATTGGTCTTGAAAACAGGTATGTTGAAGACCTGAAGCGAAGAGCATCCATTGCTCGGCACACCGACCAGAATATCAGTATGTACATGATCCTTCAATCTAGACGTGTCGTTGAATGCTGATATTACAAGTCTCCGATCCATCAAGCACATCGGGTAATGGCGCAAAATTTGGAGACGAGGCATCGACACGACCACCCAACCACAATATCATAGATACTGGGTTATCAGACAGTCCGACTGACATGACAGATCGTGAGTTTCTCAATTCTCTCTCCTGTTCTTCCCAGGCTGTTAACTTGTAATACAGGACTTGCTCTTGACCCGGTCATGTCATCAAGCTCACGCTTTGGTTCCCATGTCAAAAATCTCAAGTCTAAAGCATCGGATTCGTGGGATCGCTCAGCTGAAGCACATACTGACTCTTATTCGTTGCTGGCAGAATTGGCAAGCCCAGTTGAGGATGCACCTACCAGCTTGCACTGGCCTACGCAAGAAGACGCCTACTCTTTGCTAGATCATGTGCTCACGTCGATTGGTACAGTGCAGCATCTCTTCGATCCAAGGCCGCTGGGAGATCATCTGTCTTTGGTCTGTGATCAGCCACAAACAGAAATCAATATTGGAAGTCTATGGGATATCGAATTGCTTCTGGTCCTCGCTATTGGTGAACTCCTCCGTGGAGAAACTTGGGTATCAGGTTCGTTACCTGGGGCTCGATATTTCCAGGAGGCTGCCCGGCAGACACCAGGCATCGTTTCGCTCCGTGCCTCGGGAATAGTGGCAATTGAAGTCATGGCTCTTTGCGCTTTCTATCTTCAGTGCGCTGACTGTAAAGATGATGCTTATCTCTATGTAAGATCTTGCCCCTTGTTGCCTACTGCCACAAGCAGTCCCTTTTAGCCATGTTATAGGCCGGCATGGCTCTGAGACTCGCCATATCACATGGCATGACGGCCATGGAAAGTGTCGGCCAGATTCGCCAAAGCGACAGGACACACAGGAATCGTCTAGCTTGGTCTGTCTATATGCAGGAGAGGTGAGCCATGCAAAATTATATCAAAGTAACGACGCTGATGCGTCAAAAGGCGACTGGCAGCCGCTACCGGGAATCCGTTTGGCCTCGATGACACTGAAATGCAAGCTCGTTGGCCATTTGAATCGCCTGGGTTTGCTTCCGCTACTGCGTTGAGTACCAACGTTAGGATTGCAAGAATCACTGGACAGATTATTCGAGGTATTCTCCTCAATTACGAGCCAAGCTTCAAAGGCATATGCTTATGAAGATCTCAGATGTGTATCGACGAAAGCACGAAACAGATGATGGATTTGTCAAGACAACACAAGACATTCTCAATCAACTCCTAGACATCGATCAGAAGATGAGCCGCGAGTTTTCCATCGATTACACTGTTGATACTTGCATCACTTCTCGAACTACTGCCACGCTTCGGCTTATGTTGCTACAGGTAATCGGACCAAAGGATGAAGTCGTGGCTATACTGAACTGATATCTGATAGGCAAAAATGCTCATGACGAGACCGGTATTGCTCTATCGGACAAGAGAGAATTTCTGTCCGCCGACAGAACTTCATACATCTCGGACCGACGAACCATTGATACTCAGGCTGTGCGATATTTGCATTGACTCTGCTTCGAGGATAATCAAGATTTTGCAGGCAATACGAAAACAAGGAATTCTCTGTGGGTAATCATTCAAGCATAAGGCACAAGTAACATCTTCTGATCATTAGACACTAATGAAAAAGGGGTAGCAAAATTTGGGTTCTTCGATCTCGATGCTGCTGTTTCTGCGGCCTTTGTCTTTATTCTAGCCGAGGCGAGTAGCTCCAATATTCAACATTACCGGAATGATGTCAAAGGAGCACTGGACGTCCTGAGCTACCTCGGTACGTGTGGAAACAGGGTAGCTGCGAGAAAGCTGACAGAGATTCGACAAATGTGTGTGCAACTCGATATTGACACGCAATATGATACTGAAGCCTTGGAAGAAGGCTCCCAAAACGATATTTTGGACCATCCGGGTGCGGGCCCTAGCAATGACCTCGGGACTGGCAATATCACACCCCAGCCACATGCATTCTCAGGACCAACACTGCATGGTGAGGGATTCGAAGAACTTTCTCTGTCGGCATGTCTGGCCTCATGTGAAGGTGGCTTCAATTTCCTCGAGTTGTACCGCGGCGATGGCATGGATACTGATGGCACGATTGAGATGGACTGGAGAGCAATTGAAAGAGCCATCTTGGAGACCGAACCTGACCAAGACCGTACGTCACAGGATTGGTGCTAGACTTGGAGAGATTGCACATACTGTAAATTCGATTGCCATTTTCTGGAAGATAAATTGTAATGCTGATGCAGGTGTCTGTGTGGTAGGTCTTGAGAGATTGTATTCCTATGCTGGTATCATATGTATTTTTTCAAGACTTTTGGAGACTCCTCAAGAGGTCAGAGTTGATGCGCCCCCCTTGAGATAGCAATCCAACATCATGTGCTCCGACGATCCACTTTGCACCGAGCTCGTTGATCACCCTTCCCAGTATGTCTGGACGGTGGTACAGACCCGCGATCCCCAGCAACTTTCCATGTTTCTTGGCCGCGTATCCGACTTTTTCAAGAGCCTGCCAAAAGGCCGGCGCATCCCAGTCTGGCATGGTCTCGATTTCGGTCGCCAAATCCTGGGATCCAATCAGGAGCACATCGCAGCCTGGCAAGGCCGCAATCTCGTCCACGGCTTCGAGGGCATCTCTTGTTTCTATCATGATGAAGCATAGAGACCCCAATTGGTTCATTTCGTTCAAGAAAATATTCATAGGTGGTGTCTGGTAATGAAACTGCGGGAAGCCCATGCTGACCGATCTCTTGCCGAGGGGAGGGTATTTGGTAACTTGAATCGCTTTTCGGGCATCTTCTATAGTTTCAAAAGGTCAATTGTCAGCAAGTCTATATTGTATATTTTATATCTTTCGCGGAAAGAGACCGCAAAGAGCTTGAGACATCTTACCGATACCATGTATGTGCGGAATAATGACGCCCATGGCTCCAACATCAAGGACTCGCTGGATGAACCCATGTCCACATTGATGCGGCACACGAACAAATGGTGTGATTCCGCTGGCAATAGATGTGATGCACATTTGCGAAGCATCCTGGATGGACATGCAAGTATGCTCGAGGTCGATAAAGAGGGAATCATAACCTGAAGCTTTGGCGATCTGCACAATCTCACCGCCGCGCGTGATCTTGATGCCAAAAGCTGTACATATCTGGCCGCTTGCGGCCAAAGAGACGAGGTTGTTATTGGCGATAAGGGGACGCGAGCTGCTACTTTCTTCGAGGGAACCCATTTTCGGCGGGTTGGTGGTTACTCAGAAAAGTACACTCTGAGCAAGAATTACGTAGCTCAATGATAAAGTCAACGGAATATATACATGGTCTACTCAGAGTCCATTTCAACCGCATCGTCCCTTCATTTCTGATCCCCCAAGGTACGGATTTGTACATCGAATCGTAATGCGTACAGCCACACACAAGTCAAGGTCAGTATGATACATCTCCACTGTCGGGTAGATGAAGCCACGGATGTGGAAGCCGAACTATAGGCCCGCCTCGGCCGCAGTACCCGCCATTCCCCGCATTCCGGGGAAAGCCAAACGGTGGCGCTATCGTATACTACTAGGGATGGGTGGATATAGCTGGATATGATGTCTTCCTGTACCCCAAGGCCGAAAATGGGCACGTGGTAGCCAACAGAATCCCACAGTAGATCAAGGCATTGGCTTCAAGTGCGAATGATGGAACTAGGAAGAAAATCAACGGTGACTGGTGCTGAACTGAAGGTGAGGCGCAAGAGTCTTGTTCAACTTGTACCTCCTGCCTCCCTCGATCTCGCCGAGGTCGATATATGTTAAAAATGCGGAATAATTCATAACTCATGACACATAGAGGAGTCTTTCGAGACGACTACGGTTTAGAAGACAGATATTCACGAATAAAGATCATGATGGTACCATGCCTCAACGGCAGCGGCTATTTTATTGGCTTTGATTTTGATTCCAAGTTTCGTTCTTCTTTGTATTTTCCTTACAAACTAGGTCATACGACTTACCCAAGATCATTCACAACGTTCATGAAATTGAATAGAGAAAACACGAATCATGCTACTCCATAATGTTGTGTTCTCTTACTACCTACAACTATGTAAAACTGACTACGGTCTCAAGTGTGCATACACCCGGTCCATGGCTGCAATGGCCGTTTTGCTCTGAGTCTCGACGGTCGTGGCGCCGATATGAGGTGTACTGATGACTTTGCCCGTATCCCACAGTCTTCCATACTGTTCCAGCGTCGGCGGCTCTTGCTCGTGGCAGTCCAAGCCGGCGCCAGCAATGAGACCCTGTTCCATAGCCTGCAGCAAGTCTGCCTCGTTAATAATGCCGCCCCGAGCGACGTTGATCACCACGGCGTCCTTTCTCATGAGCCGGAACTGAGGCAGGCCAATGAGTCCGCGCGTCTCCGAGTTGAGCGGGATGTGCAGCGTCACCATGTCGACGTGCGGGAGCAGCTCGTCGAGACTGTGCACGCGCGCATGTTGGATATCCGGCCAAGCATCCGCGGGCGCAAAGGGGTCGTACGCAAATACCGGACAGGCGAACGCGGCCTGGAACATGCGCGCGACCAAGGTGCCAATGGCGCCCATGCCGAGAACGCCAATCGGCTTCCCCGTCATCATGCTGCCCGAGCAGTGCTCCTTGCGCACCTCGAGCCCCGCGGCCTGTCTGGTGCTTATCGGCCGCAGCTGGCGCTTGACGGCCATGACCAGCGACAAGACGAGCTCGGCGACGGACAGAGCATTGACCCCGGGCGTGTTCAAGATTGGAATCGACCGCTCGTCGCATGCCGCCTTGTCGATGATGTCAATGCCCGTTCCTTGCTTGCCAACAGCGCGGAGTTTGCGTGCGGAGGCTATGTCGTGCGCGGTAATGGTCAGTTCTCGTACCAGGATGGATTCTGCATTCTCGCGCCAGTTGTGCACTTCGGGATCGGTGGGCAGGACGGTGCGGAACCTCTCCTGGCAGTATCGTACCGCTTCTGCAGGGAACTCTTCCAATAGATAGATGTTGGGTTTCTCTTCAGGTGTTGCAGTGTCTTTTCCATTTGTTGAGTCCAGATATGGCGCCATGTTGGAGACTAGAAATGAATAAAAGAGAAGTGTATTTCCGAAGCAGAGTCATCAACTTTTATTCAAGGTGTCGCACGAAACCACATTACAATAGAGACGGCGTCACGGAGGCCTTGATTTATATTGATTTCCATGGTTATACTAATTCCAAGTACAAATGTACATGGGCGGTTTAGTCTCACTTAGTCGTCAATCTCAAGTTCGGCTTTCACATCCGGCGGTCATTGAATAGGGGTGATCAGTTGTATCGCGGCCAAGGACTCCCCACAAAGTCTAGTTCCCGGTCCCAAAGCTGGGGAAGAAACCCCATGGGGTTGTGGCACTCGATGTCTATAAATGAACAATGTTAGCCCTCATGTTGAGTCACTTTGTTTGCCAATGGACCCAGTACTTTCATCTTCATTCCTCGAATCACGATTTGCGGGTCTGGGTAATCCTTCCTTTTTTTTTTCCCCCCAGCATGTCTGCCACAAACCCTGATAAGTGTATTGGCGAGCATGTCGAAAAGACTGAACCGATAGTCAAGGACGACACTATCCCCTTGCGCCATGGAATCGACTCAGATGAGGAGAGAGCCGTGGTCAAGAAACTCGACAGAGTCATCATGCCTCTCATGGCGCTGGTGTATTTTTTCCAGTATCTCGATAAGCAGAGCATCAACTACGCGTCCGTTTTTGGAATTTCGCAAGATTTGGATCTCATCAGTGGCGAGTTTTCATGGGCCATTTCCCTCTTCTATTTTGGGCAGCTGGTCTCGGAATATCCGGCTGCCTACCTGATGAGCCGATTTCCCGTGGTCAGATTCGTCGGTATCTGCATGTAAGTAGTTTTAATCCTCATGTTCACCGAAATTCTTCGTGGCTAAATGACGTAGAATTCTTTTGGGCATTGTGGCTGGATGTCTCGGCGCAACTCAAAATTTTACTGGTCTTGGAGCAGTTCGCTTCTTACTCGGATTTACAGAAGGAGCCGTTGCACCTTCTTTCATGATCATCACAAGCACTTGGTATAAACGGGAAGAGAACCCAATTCGTGTAGCGTAAGTGAAAAGTAGCCATCCCAGACACTAGGCTCTACTTTCCCCCGTCTACCTGAATGATAATACCATGCTGATTTCAACAGGGTTTGGGTCTGTATGTTTGGTGTCTCTCAGGTGGCAGGCGGGCTACTGATGTATGGCATTGGTTTATCCCACATGTCAATTTCTACATGGCGCGTCATGTTCATCGTGTGTGGCGGCTTGACTGTGGTCTCTGGTATACTATTCCTTGTCTTTATGCCACTTGGGCCATCAACTGCATGGTTTCTAAAAGAACACGAACGGAAGCTCGCAGTTGAGCGTCTGGCATGGGATCGAGCCACCAGGGACAGGTCAGAAATCAATTGGAACCAAGTAAAGGAGGCGCTCACAGATCCTCGGACTTTATTATATGGCTTCATGGCCTTATTTATTACGATCCCGACACCCATAGTCAAGGTTCGTGAAAAGTATTCACGAGGATGTTTGGCCGTCTTTTAGCTGACCAAATTCTAGTTCTCTTCAAAAGTCATTAGCGGTTTTGGATACACGCCCCTTCAAACTATGCTCATCGGTCTACCGTCTGGTGGTGTCTCGTTCATTCTTATCTGGATCGGAGCACTTGGCCCTCTTTACATCAAAAACTCACGATGCCTTTTTGGCACTTTCCTTGCCATGATGCCCATGATTGGAAGCATCCTGTTGTTGGTTATTCCCAGCAGTCATCCTTGGGGTATAGTCGCTGGTACCTGGCTGGCAGGATCGACGGCACCACCGGTGGGCCAAGCCATTGCTCTAATGGGCGCAAATGTCAAAGGAAATACAAAGAAATCCGTCGTGGGCGCAGTGTTCTTCATCTTCTACTCGGCCGGATGTATTGCAGGTCCGCAATTGTGGCAGGATAAAGATGCTCCACGATATACAAAAGGGTGTACCAGCAGCATCGCTAGCTGGACTTGCCTCATCGTCACTATGGTGATCTTCTACCTAAGTGGTAAAAATAGCAACCGCAAGAGGGAGGCAGTATTTCGAGCACAAGGAGCTGCTGGCGTAGCCGTCGATCTGGCCAGTGTTCCTGTTGATTCAGATGAAACTGAACGCGAGGATCTGCACTTTAGATACTCCTTATAAATGCGTGGGAATGACTTTGGACAGAGAGCCACCATGGAGCATTATAGTTCACAAGTTGAGACCCTACAACCATAATAGTATACTGATCTACCCTATGTAAGTAGTCGTGTGAAGGTAAACCTGGGCCAAAAAATATATATATATATATATATATATAAATAAAATAAAACGAATAAATCTCTGCATCAGTTTGATCTCGGTAACCTCATCAGGCCCTGTGCTTATCAATGGTCATTCAGATATTGGGGCTCGTTATAATGGCAACACTAGCTGAACTGGGCCAGCTGGGAAACTGCTAGCCAATGGTGGAGCTTACAATAATCCAGCCAGATTAGAACGTCACTAAGAGATCGGCTCCCCACCACGCTACTTGCAGCGTCTCCATTTCCGCCGACGAAAAAGGATACACGCGACCTGGTAATCCCCCATCCTTCATTCTCGACCCTCAACTCATCGCCGGGAATGGCGTTGTTGGGTCTAACACTCGTTCTTGCTTTTGTGGTTTGGATGGTCCTTGGGAAACCCCCACCCGTCATGGAAACACTTCTCGCACTATGGCGAGGCAAGCCTCAGATCGAGCAGTCCCAGAATACAACGTCGGAGGAGTCCGCCAGCGATGAGAGCTCGTCGCCGACGACGAAAACGACGCCCTCTTCGGGCAGTACACAGTCGGAAGCCAAACCTATGGTGGCATCCTCACCGCCGTCCATAGTGGCACATGCCAGCGACACTTCAGATGCGACGAGCAGTAGCTCACCACAAACGACACCAAAGGCGCGCGCCTCTTCCGCCGCCTCATCCACATCCTCCGGATCCATTCCTTCATTCTCCCTCTCGCCACAACCTCCCGCCTCCGCGGCGGCTGTAGCACGCGCAAGTGGCGCCGCGGCACCCCCGGCCATACCCTCGCTCTCGGCTGCACCCGTCCCAACACCAGCAACTGCACCTTCGTCACTCATGCCACCACCGCCACGGCCTCCGCGACTCAACGGCGTCAACAACAGCTCGTCTCTCCTCTCGCCCACCCCATCCCGAGGTGGCGGCGGTCTCGCCCCTCCCAACAGCTTGGCCTCGTCCGCCCGGCAGCCAGGCACTTCGACCCTGGCGCCGCCGCCGACACACTCCACCAAGCCCGCCAAGCCGTCGCGCAAGGTGATCCTCGAGCCGGGCCACTCGCCGCTCGACTGGGCGCGGCTCGCCAACTCGCCGACCTCGGACCTGCGGAACCTGCCGCCCGGCACGCCGTACCTCAAGGTGACGCCGTCCATGCTCAAGAAGATGACGGGCCGCAAGGGCAAGGACGCCTGGACGGCGCTGGGCGGTCGCGTGTACAACCTCACGCCCTACCTGCCCTTTCATCCCGGCGGCGAGCCCGAGCTCATGCGCTGCGCCGGCCGAGACGGCACCAAGCTTTTTGGCGAGATTCATCCCTGGGTCAACTACGAGGGCATGCTGGCCACCAGCCTGATTGGCATGTTGGTCGAGGAAGGAGAGGAAGCCGGCAATGGAAAGATGGATGAGATGGACTGAAATTAATTGTCCATCTCACATGTAAACCACCAGAATCCTCCCTGGATGTCTGCGGCGTCAACTTTTGCGCTTGCCGCGACTCTCCAGTGACACATGACTGTCTTGTGCAAGTTGACCGTTACGGATCACAAGTACAGCACCTGAAGAAATGCCGCTCGCCTTCAAAACCTCGGGCTGACAAATCATGCTTTGATTTTCATGAATTGCTTCATTGCATGATCAGCCGATGATGTGAATTAGGACTCGCGTACAATTAAGCATCCAAAAGCACATGCGAGGCAGTTTGGCATGTGATGTTTCGGTCTTGGGCAGAATAGAACGTGTTTGATAGAAAGATACCCGCCTTCGGAATTGATGTCATAGAGGCACAGCAGCTGTAATCTAGGTCAAATGAGGTATGTCAACATGGTTCAAGGGACACTTGACATCAAACTTTAGACTTTGGGCGCATTGTATATGCTAGGTATAGCTAGGTACTAGTTCGAGAGCATACATCCCAATGTTTGGATTTATATCTCTGACTGCGATGTTGCTCGCAGGACCCATAGGCGCCAGTACAATGAGTGGACGCGATCGATTATCACCGAGTCCAATAATCCCTGTTTTGCCCTATCGCTTTCTGAATCTAAATCTGAGCTCGTCCTCACTATCATCGTCGTCGCTGTCTGGAATATTGTCTCTCCTTGATCTCTTGGCTGGTTGCTCTTTAGCTGGCGGGGCTGGTGCTGGTCGCTTTGCTGCGCCCCTGGGAATTGTCGATCTCTGCGTTGTTCGCTGGGATCGAAGCGATTCCTGAGGCGTAAACGTGTCTCTTGTACCACGTCGTCTAACCGCAGAGGAGACTGGCTCCTCGTCGTCATCTACATTCTCTGTTTGGTTGCTTGCGTCGAGGTCTTCCATCAATGTGTTTCCAGCATCAGACTCGCCTTCGCCGTTTTGTACCGAAGCAGATTTTCGACTTTGCCGAGTAGACTTGTTGGTGCTGAGAATGCCAGATGCTTGGCTCTGTGATTCCCGCTGGGTGTTCCTTTTTCGTTTTTGCGTTGCTTCATCCTCGAGCCAATAGTCATCACCGATTCCGCCAGTGTTGGACTTTGCCTCTTCTAGCTCGATAATAATTCTCTGCGGTGGACGTGCAGCCTCGACCGCACCCCTTTGTCGGAACTTTTTGAAATTCTTACGGCCATTCCAGGCAGGGTTCCAACGACCATCCGCGATGTCCTGATCCCGCGTTCGTGTTGGCCCAAGGTCCCTTCGAAGCTCCATCGTCTCTACAATTTGTAAGCGGCCAATTTCAGCCAAATCAAGGTCCTCTGCATTGGCTTCCAGTTCATCGCGTTCTGCTCGTGCTTTGGCTTCAGCCTCTTCGCGGTTCCGCCCCGCAATCTCAAGGACGTCAAATTCCTTCTTGACCTTGACATCCTTTGCTTTGGTTCCCTTTCGGCCCTTCGTTGTTTCCAAGTCAGTCTCTGGCTGAGCCGAGGTTTCCGGTGTAGATTGGCGTGGGATGGGGTCTTGTCCAAGCTCTAATCTGCGGCGTTTGAGCTGGGCTGCAGTTGGGGCGAAATCTTCATCTAGGCTTCTGGGGGCAGGCCGTTTCCTCTGAGATCTTTGAGCTGTTTCGACTACTGCTTCTGGCTCTTGAGAATCCACTTCTTGCGATACGAAAAGTCCCTCCTGGGATGATTCGACAGCATCAGGCGGTTGCGACGGTGCAGTCAGGACTTCTTCCGCCAGGACATCAGCCTTACTGTCGCCGTCCGAGTCGCTGTCGGATACGAAACCCTTGAATTTCTTCCTAGTAGTGAGAGCTGGCCGGCGCGTCATGACTCGCGGTGCAGGAGATGCTGGCGGCTGCTCAATATCCACGTCCATAGGCTGCTCAGGGACGTTTGGCTCGTTCTGGGTAGGACCAGGTGTTTCAACCTCCAAAGGTCGCCTCAATCCACTTGCATCGCAGGCCAGAATTGCGTCAAGAAAATCCTTTTGGTCAATGAGTCTGTGATCAAGACGCAGTGACACGGCCGTGTAGAATTCCTGATACCAGGCCGGTTCGGCAGGCACATACCTCACCACAACAACGCCCTTGCCTTCGCTGCCATCCTCGAATTCGCCCAAGCCCTTCTCACCAGCGACCGACTTGACATAGCGAATGAAATCGTCGATTTGCGTTTCGTTGGGCACAACCTCTCTCCACAAGGCTTTCCCTTTGCCATCTGTGATTGGACCAATCAGACTGTTGTGTTGCTTGGAGTCATAGAAGATGAAGGTATAGCCATCGAATATCTCGCGTCTTTCTGGATTTGGTGCAAAGGCTTCCGCAGGCCTCTGCACTGGCTCGTTGCCTGGCGCTGGAAGAAAATCCATGGCATCCGGCCAGTGCGCATCAAAGTCGGCCTCCAGCGCGCTTCGTGTGACACCTCCGCCCAGGTCGTCAGCCCGTGTCGCTTCGAGTAATGCGTTCATGAAACCGTCATCCACAAGATATGTGCCATTGATTAGAGCCTGGAGTCCTTTGGCAGTATTGCGTTTCTTGTTGACCACATGCGTGGTGAATTTGGAGTCAATCTCGGCCAGCAACTTGACGTCGAGCTGCTCAAAGTTGCTTTGCAGTCGTGTCTGGGCGCCGGCCTCCAATTCTCGGGCAGAAAATGAGAAGCTCAGGACAACGGGGAACCATGTTATCTTGAATCCGGACATGTTGCCCAACTTGAGGTCGTTTTCCTCCTGGTCGACAACATACTTTTCGCCCTTGATCTTGTTCTCATTGACAGTAGTACCGAGTTTTGATCCGAGATCTTCGACTGTGACTTTGGACCGGGTTGATAAGTTTTGCTGCACTCGGTCAGCTTAAAGATGTCGTGTCTCCCATGTGCAACCAAGCTAGCCTACCGAGTCGCCTTTTCTGACTGCATCAACTTCGATTGTGACATGTTTGCGGGAAACGGACGTTGCTTTATGGCCATGAATCGCAAGCATGCCAGCTGCCAAGGAGTGAGTATTTTGGAAGCGACGCAACGCGATGCATCACGGTATCAGCTTACGCTCTGCAATGGTTCGTCCGAAGAGATAGCGCTTGCCCGGGCGCAACCAGAGTCGCTTGCCTGCAGCAAAAAGTTGGTCAGCCAGCTGAAGATTACCACGGGCAAAGGAAGCAAACAATCGCCTCTGGTTTCATACCTTGGAGGGCATCGCCCTCATGCTCCAACACCCACATGCTGATTGTCTTTCAGCGGGCCAGGCGAGACACGGTCATGCTGCACGGCCGGCAAGCTCGTGGTCGTCAAATGTCGGACGGGTAGATGGGACGTGTCGCTGATCTGGGGAATTTGAGTTGCTACAACGCGCTAAGGCGCCAGCTCACGTGGGGCCTCTTACGTAGGTACCTAGAGCGAGTCCAGGGTCCAGGCAGTGATTGTACCTACCTACTAGTACCTATGTATGCAGTATCTAATGTTGCGATGGATGCATCGCCAGGTAGGTGCCTGCCTACTGTAATGCAGGTCCTGTGCAGGTGCCTACCTACCAAGACATGCATAATGTACGGGAATTAGGCATCTCTGTTTCTGTTTTCTTTTTTCTTCTTCCATCAATTTCTCCTTCTATTTCAGAAGACGGGACTGTTTGTACCTGCTTTTTTCAATCAAAGTCTTGACTTCTTCTATATACCCGATTCCATCGATGCTTTGAGCTTTGCTTGACTTGAGGTAGCTGCCAGGCGAAAGGTCGCTACATGATATACCTAGTAACGATATTATACGCTGGAAGCTGCATATGTTGCCCAAACATCATTTAAACATGAGAATTGCATGTGCCTATAATCTATCATCACTCTACAGTGCAAGAGGCTTTAAATTTTTATTTTAAAAACATGTATATTAAAATCGGCGCTGTGTTTGTTATTCCATTGTTTGCACTTCACAGCTAGGGTTCTCAAGATAGGAACAAGTTGTCAGCCACAACGATGTACTATCAGTCGTCTTCCAACTACAGTCATTATGGAGTGGACATCAATATATGTACTACTTCTTGTACATGCAGTAATTGCTACCTCAAATATGAGCTCAAAATTCGAGTATCCGTATCACATACATTGATTACATTCCCAAGTATCTAATCATTCATTCATGAACCTAATCGTCATAAAACCATCATCTATGAGCCTATGATGGTCCATTATATTGTGGCCGAAATTCCTGCTCATCTCCAACCATCCTTGGATGCACAGGTTGTCCTCATCTTCCTAAACTCGTATATAACTGCGGTGCAATATGGTCTACACACGAGACATCTGCCACGCAGTTCTGACAGTAATGTTTGAGTGCTTCCATCTCTCTCGTGTGACGAGAGACTTAGCCATAATATGATCTACCATCTCTCTTCGATCGACGGACATCCCTGGCATAATAGACGGGCTGCGGCGACCTCGGACTGCGGCCTCTGGTCTCGACATAAACGGGACGGACCTCGGAATTCCGCCTTGAGTGGTGGTGATGGTGGTGATGACGATGACGACTACGGCTAGGCGAACGAGTATACACTGTATCCTTCTCGCCAAACGTCTCGCCCCAGTTTCGGGGTCGGCTCAGGTTGAAGCACGAATAGAGCAACCAAGAGAGCAGCAGGAAGCCAGCGACGGAGCCAATGACAATCCCGGCGATTGCTCCGCCCGAAAGGTTGTTGTTATTGTTGTTGTTATTGGGCGCCGGGGCGACGACGGTAGTCGTGGCTGTCTGACGAGCGATGATCTTGGTTGCCAGCTCCGGGATCGACCGAGTAGGAAGCCAATTGCTTAGTTCTTTGACGGGCGCCATCTTGGCCGGATATGAGCAGAGGTGATTAAAGGGTAGATCGACAAGCCGGGCTTATAGTCGACTAGGTTGCAACAAAGTCGACCTCCGTGAGTTGAATCTGGCGGTTGGCCATCTTATAAGAATCCCACAGAATTAATTCGGTCTCTGGGCAATCCTCCTTACCTTTCCAGAAGCACATGGCAAGAATAAACTACATGACGACATCTCCGTGCTGCCCGATTAGCTGCATATAACAAGCAAGGTAGGAGTCAAGATTACCCTCGTTGGTCTGGAACCGTTGGTAGTCCTCGGAACTCTCTACCAAGTCTTGCGAGCGGTTGTCGCTGGGAGGTCGTGCCATGTCTAGCAGTCGAATGTGCAGCTAAACATGTTAGTGGGAGGTCGGCTCCGAGTAGTGACAACCCTGATCCATGCCTGCTATAGCTAATATATAGTATAGAGGTAGCTACCCCTCACGCCAGGACATTCTAGTGATATAAAAATGATGTCAAATCGCCGTCAGGAGTTCCATCATCGACATAGAAATTCGCATGTCTAGAGACACATGGATTTCTTGAAGTCTTGTTTTGTTGATCTGAATGGCGGAAGGGTCGGAACCATGATGCTGGGTCGTATTGGTTGGGGAGTCTTCAAAGTTGCAAAGACGGGGAATATCTCTGCAGCCAGTAATGCAAGGGCGGACTTGGGCAAGGCAATCACATCAAACGGAATGATGGGAGGCAGCAAAAATTAGAGAAGTGTACCACATCATGAAAAGACTGGTTCCCAATGTCAGATGGAGATGGCACCTAGCTTCGGCAATTATAGTGCACTAGGAGCTTTTCATCTTTCTACTGCTAGTGGCACGCGACTAATGCAATTGTTTTTGTTCGTCTACAGTTGGCCGTACCAGCGTCTCGGTGGCATTTTATATCAGGTCAGGGTTCCAACCCTCGCATTGGTTAACAGATTAGTCCTATTCACTACCTGGAAACTAATTATTTGTATGTTTTGATGCCCTCAAAATCATGTCCGTATTCTACTTGGATATTCATATCGTTCATGTTCCATGTTACCAAAGATGGTGACGTCCGAGATTGTCCCTTAACCCTAAGTACGCCAAACTCCTCTCTACTCTAAGTGCGCCACACTATTCAGGGTCGGGAATAAGAACGCCCCACTATACCTTAACTCCCATTGATCCAATACTCGAAATGGAAGATTTCGAAGAAGAAGATGATGCTGTTGAAACTATAAAGCCACAATAGTTTGTTTGACAACTTTAAAAGCCAAATTCGGAAGCCGGCATTTCAATAGGATTCGAAATTTGAACTCTGACAAACTGAGAAGCTTGAGCAGTATCAGTATCAGTGTGTTTAGTAAGCAGTGCTGCCCATTTAGTCAAGCAACGCTGGGCCAGCTGCATTCTAGCCACTCGGGCTTCCCTGAAGTCAATGGATTCTATCACCTTGTAGATAAGAAGCCCCATACCACCCTCCCTCCAGCACACAAATATCACATTCAGTAGGTTTCGGCGGAGGCTTGTGCGACCTAGTCGGGCCTCATGTCCCGCGTCTCGCCGACGCGGCCTCTATCGTGGTCAGCGACTTTGGCACAGACCTGACCATAATGGGCACAACCGGCGCATGGATGCTCTCACGCAAGCCCCAGCACCAATATGGTAAAATTCGCCATTAATCAAACTGCATTGGTCTTCCGATGTAGCAGATACTTGACGCGCGGTTGCGGCCATGAAGGAGGCTTTGGGGGTTCTGAGCAAACTGACGCTAGAAGTGCATCCAAAATTGGACCAGAGGCGCATTCTTGCATTGGATTTCAGAGTAATTATGGTGAGATACTCGAGTATAATCCGTTCAAACGTGAGCCGTCTGGTATCTTCTAGGTACCTGTTCCATGGGTACGCAAATTGCAGGCGGGGTCGTACTCAGCGAGGGCTGAGTTTTTGGTGTTTGGTCTCAGAGCCGTCGATACGAGCATTCTACCGATTACGGTGCTGTCTCATCCTCAAGGTAACCTGTACGCTTTCGCGAAGAAGATAGCGGTTGAGAGGGAGGGAGGAAACTGAGCTATTTAGTCATCAAGCTAGTATTCATCGATGTTGTTGAATTGGAACAGTTGGTAGAGAAACGAGTCGGGATGAGGATATCTTGCACACTTGCAAATTGTATTCGCAAGTTCTTGAAAGCCTTGGGAGAGCAGGGTTTGAACAAGATGCATATCCTCGATCTTGACCAGATCAGTCTTTCAGGCATAGGCCTACGTTTGAGTACGAGTTCATTTACTTGAAATTGAGACAAAGTCTAACGCAGGCACAGCGTTATAATACCAATTGCAAGCATCAAAGAAAATGAGAGAAAATAATTCCAACATGCACCTAGCCGAGCCGTAGGTACAACTCTTCAGTTTGAGACAGTACACAGTTAATGACCAGCTCCAAACGCGATCGGGAGTCTGCAAAGATGGCTACGTACACCGGACATGTGCAATGCCATGCCGTTACCCACTCGGGTAACCACCGAATGGTGAATGCTTTTGGTAGTCAAGGAGGTAATCTAGTACGTTTGTTGGCCATCAACCTTTGGAATGTTTTCAAAGACTTCATTCATAGAATCTCAAGGAGGGCAGTCATTGCATTGCAATTTCTAAGCAATTTTAGCATTAGTGAGTGCATAAATTGCAAATTCACTCTTGATATTTTGTGGCTGGGCGAAAGCAGTCCTTCGGTGCCGTGAGGCCTTATAGCCGCAGATGACGCGGTATTTCAGACCCTGTACGATACAGAAGGTACAATATGATGAGCATGGATAACATTGTGACTTCCTCGCGTATTTGTTGTTCTTCAAATTGCTGTCACACCAAAGTAGTCGCATCTCGTGTACATATACTAGGCTCACATTGGAGTCTTGTACACAGTATGATGGTCGTTCTTACCAAGCATAACGTATAAAGATACATCATTGGTGTTTTTAATTTACTCATCAGCTATGTTATTGACTGGAGTAATCTAGGCACAGAATCCCTATTTACCGTTAATTCGCACCTATTCGAGCACACTTATTGGACTCTTTTCTTTCTCGAATAAGAGCATTGGCCTAATCTGGTCCGTCAAGACTGACAGAATGTTGTTCAACGTGGATTGGTTCCTTTGGCTCACTCTACCCAGCCAAGCTCAGCAAAGCCAAGGAGTCGGCAAGAGGGAAGGTCCATACTGGTTGCATATCACCAGCGACAAGAACATTTCAGTTGACGGTACTTGATCCTACATACATCCCCTGCTCTTATCATTAATAGCTGACGACGCCCAATAGGATACGCATACCGAGACCCCAACAGCAGGACGGGCTTCTTCACCTATGACCCCGCGAAAAGCGGACACGATGCCAGAATCAGTGAGGATAGTCACTTCATGCTCTATCGACCCTCGAATTCCACCGACAACCGCGCCGACCTCATATCGTACTCAAATCCCGGCCTCAAGACGCCAGACCCCGACGATCCTGTACCTGGTGCTGCACACCTTCGACTTGCATACACTCCCAGTACACCTTTAGCACAGGCGTACTTTGCGCACCCTGAAGACAACTATACCTGGCCCATTCAATACGTTTCTGTTCAGGAGAGCAGCGGCCGGCTAGGTATCAATGGGTCATCCAATATCTTTGGCGTTGATGCAGAAGTAGGAGAATTTCTGTCGCAATGGTTCATCTGCTGGGGCATGTTCACAACTTTTTTCTGGTCTGTTGCGCCCTATGAGACCTCCAATTATTGTACTGCAGTACAAATTACTCTAGAAAAGATTGTAAAGTAAAATGGAGCCAACGCGAGACCTCTCACTGGTACAGCAGGATACCCATGAGAAAAGGAGGGTGCACTCAAAACGAATAATTTGATTCAATTTGTCATCCTGCAGCCATGGCATGTTGTCGTTCGCCAATTGAATCCAAGCTATCTCGGAGAAAGTCGAATTAAGAACACACTTAGTCACCCAGTAGGTACAGCCTAAACATGTGTCCAGTGAAGGATCCCTGCATTGGTGCTCCTGAAGTATTCTTGTAGCCATATAGGAAAGCCTCTGAGACTTGCCAGGTATGAGATGTCCCAAGGCAGCATCAGCTGGCCGCCGCGACCACTAATGACTTGCTTCACGACAGCCGACGCCACGGTATCGGGCTCTATCATTGGGCCTTTGATCGTTGCGTGCCTGGCGATCTCGGCGGTCATGGGAGTCCTCACCCACGATGGATTTACGACACTACATGAATGTCAGACGATTGATGATGAGTAATACCACGATCTAGAATTGTGGTGACTCACGTAGTTCTGATCCTAGGGGCATCGTATCTGTGTTTCAGTTCCTGTGTAAGGCCCTCGTGGAAGGCGAGAGCCGCTGCCTTGGATGCGGCGTAGTCGACCATGCCAGCAATGGCAACATAGCTCGCCATACTCGCAATGGTCACGACGTGACCGTGGTTGCGCTCAACCATGGCCGGCAGAAATTCCTTGGATACCAGAAAGAGAGCCGTGACATTGACGTTGAGCAGGCGCTGAACTTTGGCCGGATCAATATTGATGATGCTGCCAAGGTTGAGAAGGCCGGCATTGTTGATGATGACCGACGGATGTCCCAAGTCGTAGCGAATCGACTCTGCCGCTTTATGCAGGGACTCGGGCGAGGTCACATCGCCCTGGTAGAACTTGACTCCGGCGGGCAGTGTGCCCTTGGGGCCGTTGATGTCAATGACTGCCACCTTGATGCCCTGCTTAGCAAACATTTCAGCCATGACCAGTCCCATGCCGCTACTGCCGCCGGTGATGAGAATGATCTCTTCGCCCCGCTTGAAGGCATTTTTGGCATCTCTGCCGCCCACCACACGATGAGTGAGTGCCTTGTTTAGTGTGTAAATGGCCGAGAAGGCGACAAGAACCTTGGTCAAGCCCAAAGCGCCTGGGATCCTTGGAAATTTCGCCATGGCCTTTTGTAATCTCTCAAGCACTAGAGAAACGAGAGTTTTCATGCTGCCAGCCTGGTCTCCCAGCTTTTTGAGGACATTCGAGGCTATCGAATTGTTCAAAGACATGTTTTCTGGCTGTGATATATCGGTTCTTCAAGCGTTTCGAAACGAATCCCCTCTCCAAAACTTGCTTGAACGAACTCGGATGTGGGGTAGACAAAGAGGTACAACAATTCTTGGGCACTGAGAATTGACATGATGGCGATACCCCCTGTTAATATACGGATTTCGAATCTTGACGGATTGCGGGGGTTGTTTCTGTGGATTGGCTGCAACTGCATTGTATCACTCGGATTGGCTGTTGATGCACTCAGTCCTCCTCCCTATGCATCTCCAAATACTACCGAGGTCTCCATCCCCAGGCCCACGGATGTGCAGAACCGAACCTGGCGCAAATGTGGCTGCGCCTGGATTTAGAGACTCATGAATAGTGGCGAGCTCAAATATTGAGCGTGATCCAATGCGTGGAATGGCAAACACTGCATCTCGCCCGCAGACGAAACGTGCGATAGGACTCGCCACAAACAATACTATTGGCAACCTTGCTCTTGTGCAGACACCTGATTTATACCTATATAGTGCTGTGCCAAGATATACCACAGGTTAGCATATGAAAGAGTTGTCCTACCAAATTGGATATGCGCTGACATTACGACCAACCTTGCTTGTGATGTTAATTTGGCATTTTGCGTCGTCACATTTAGTATCACCACTGATTCTATCCTTTCTACCTCTAGAGAGATAACAAGAACATGGAACAACCAGAGAGGCCAAGGGCTATGCATTGGAGGAGGGAGGTGTGGAGGGCAAGTCCAAGGCGGCTGCCCATCAATATAAACATCCCTGCGCCGGCCAACCATGGTGGTGCTGGAAGCGGCAAGCTCGCCAAGTACCAAACATAGTCATCTTACGGAACCACTACAATGTCAACTCCATTAAACATATCGTGGAGATTGTGCTTTGATTCTAACAGTTCGAAAACATGAGTACCAACTGCCCGAAAGAATGAAACTATGTTACTTTTATGACTTTTGGATTGCAATAGCGGTTAAACCAATCAATTCACCGCTGCCCGAGTTAAGCAGTAAAATCAACCGTGGTACAGCAAATAAGAGGGTTATCACGGACCACGCCTCCCTTATAAGCTCGATCCAGCTCTGCGTACCGAGCATCGTCAAGCATCTTGGCGAAATGCAAGAGGCTCGGATACCCAATGACGGCAACGTTCTCCCACACGCCCGGGTCTGCCGCATCCTCGGGTCTAGAGGTCCACCCCGAAACGCCAAAGCCGTAAATAACAGGCCGTGCCCCGTACTTTGGCCCAATCTCTTGGACAAATGCCGAAACATAATTCAGATACTGCGCTTGTTGATTGGGAAAGAAAGATAGCAGGTTGAACATGAAGATAGGGCCAGGGTTTTCAAGGACATGGGACTCGACAAAGGTTTTCAAATCCATCAAGCTCGCAGACTTGTCCTTGCCAAAGACGGGTGACCGTGTACCCAAGGATGTGACAAGATCCGCTGGAGGGGCTGACTTGCGAAGGCCACTGAGATCTTCGGGGGACCAGCCTGCCGGTAGCGCCGGAGGCGACTTTGAGATGACGTCCCTCATCGAGTCCTCGACCCCGTTGATCAGTTCGTCCGCAGCATCGAAAGTTATGGACCAGTGATCTGAAACGAGGTTTAGAAGCGCGACAGGTAGGCCCTGTGCGTTGGGGATGGTTTGATCCGTGACCAGCACGAAATCCCACTGCTTCAGAATGGAACCAATTCCAGTAAGAGCTGGACGGGAAAGTTGCGGTTCATGTATCCAGTGGTGACAATATCCAGCCCAAAGCAGGCTTGAACCGTTGGCTTGTGAACGGAAAGTCTTGAGGGCGTGCTCGAAAGATTTTGCGTCACTAGATGGTGACAGTGCGATCAGATGGGCGGTGACAGGAGCCATGTTGAACGATCTAGAGCGAATGAGTAAGTCTAAATGCTCTAGAGATTGCCTTGCTGACCAAAAATGGGCAAGTCTGACCTGAGCCAATGTGCGAAGGGGAAGACAAACACGATATAATCAAGGAATAATAGAAAATTGTCCGAGTTAATCTAATTAATCTACAAAAGAGAGGTGCTAAATAGCGAACTATATACCCGAGTAGGTGATTTACGGTAGGTACTGACTACGTCAGTGCAACAACAGGATATGGAAAACGGACTCTGAATTATCTTACAGTTCAAAGATCATAAAACCCAGGATTGGCTTGATGGGAGCGGCCGCTCAAGTGAAGATAACGGACTTACCCCTGCAAATTCCGTGAAGCTCCTCCGGTGTGACTCATACACGCTTTGTTACCAGCATCAGCGAAATGATATGATGTTCACGGAATCGCTTGAAACTCTTGGTATTTGTTGTCGTACTCTAGCGGCCCACTCGTGCGTGACCAGCACGCATTTTCGAATGAAAGATGCCTGCGATTCCATGCCGTTGAACTTTCGGGTTCGAAAGTCGAGCATTTCCCTCTTACTTCTTGGCGAACAATCAGGCTCGTTGGAGTTAGGCCTTATGTCCGTCCTACCACTTCGAATCTGGGCATGCTTCTCCATTTCTGATGAGAGATGCACATGATTGATCATGTGGCAGGAAAGAATTAAAGGTTGCCACTCTGTTCGTAAAGATCCTGGTAGGGGTAGTACCTGTGCCAGTCCTTTCTGTCCGCCAACTGGTACACCCCAGCATCACCAACAAGCACCAGTCCTTCTCGCTCGGCTAGGGATTGCCATAACAGCTGCTGGCGGACCAGGTCCTCTTGGCTCGAGTACTCTAATTCTGTGTGTTGTGCAAAATCGAGGTTGTAAAAAGCGCCTGCTTCCAAATGATCTGGGCCAATTCCCAATCCCGAAATTGTGTCATGTGCACCATCGTCTCTCCTGCTGGAGAAAATGCGCCTCCCTCTGAAAAGTGAACACAGAAATGACAAGCATTCTGAACTGACTTGCACTTCATATTGGCCGCCAAAACTCAGGAGGCACAGACTCCAGGCGCCGTCTTTCAACTTCTTCAGGTCGACCGTTCGGTTTGACATGGGACTTGACCACCATGTGCCCTGCTCCAGGACGATGAAGAGGAAAGCGCACCAGACACAGTCTGGAGACATCTGTCTCGTCTTGCGGTTGAAGAGCGAGCTCTCTACGAGGAAATCCATAGATTGTGCAGACTGGACTTCAAGAAACTGGTCCTCGGATAAATGTGGCTGGTAATCCGCGAATCGGTCCCGCATTGTCTGAAGCCAATTCTTGACCTCGGCCATATCTGGATGCTCGGGGAAGGGTTCGAGAACAGAATTGACAATTTTGAGTCTGCCGAATGTATTTTTCTTCCGTGGACGAACAAATTCTCGATGCATTTCAAATGTGTCTCTGGGCGTATTTGCCTCTTTCAGCAACTGGAATATCGGTTCCCTTCTTTTGGGCAGGCGCCAGTCAGGGAGCCAGGCCATGAAGTTCCGATTTGAACCATCACAACGCTCCACAACAGCACGAAGTACTTCCAGATAGCGCTGATCGTGGTCAACACCAAATGCTTGGTCTGTAAGGACCTTCTCCACGACTCCTTCGGCATTTACTTTGAGACCGAGAAGAGGCTCGACAATCGATCGATAGAGGCATTCTGCCGTCTGACTGTAGTCCACCACGACTGAGATTTTGTTTTCATGGGCTTGACCTTGCTTCTCGACAACTACACAATCTGACGCTAGATTGCAGAGCGCATATATTATATCAAGATCGACCTGGCAACTCGACTCGTGAAACAGTGATAGAAGCTCGAGGAGTCGCAAGCCACCCTCCGGTTTGGAATCGAAGACCCATGTTTTCCAGAGCTTCGAGATTGTATCCAGTGGGACAAGTGCTGGCGGAAGCTTGCTCTTCCTCACCAAACCATGCATCACACGAAAAAGATGAATCAGATCAATCTCCTCGGCGCCGCACATCATGACAGCATCGGCGGCCAGCACGACTTCTTGAATGATCCATCGACGGCTGAACCAAGGCAGTTTTACCAGGTTGCTGAATGAGCTTTCCAGATTTGACAAGTGAGCCTCAATCCTTTGACTGTCTCGGCTTGAAAACCGCAGCGCCTTCTTGATGTCTACTAGAGATCGCTGTCCTTCAAGCGATGTCCCAAGCCAGACAAGAACACGAGACGCGGCGGAAAAAATCTGTGCCATGACCGGAATTTGCTTGCTCTTATCAGAAATATCCTGCTGGTTAATGCAGACAGCATCAACCCAGAGCAGACGCTTCTGATGTCTCAATCGGACGCGGTGCAGAGCGTCTCTGAGGTTTGTTGTAATCTTAATAACGCTCGTCTTGTCCTCTTCTTCAATGACGTACAGCGTCTCCGTGAACTCGGATGCCCCCCAGGTATACGAGAGCGCCTCGTATTCGATCAGGTCCTCAGATGACAGACAAAGCTCTGTAATTCGACACTGCAGTGGAAATGATGCATCAGGCGCCGGTTCCAACTCGACGAGGCGTGTGTCCGCATCTGCCGAGAGTGGCTTGTAGGCGAAATCCGCATCACCGGGGGACGTTCGCGATCGAGGGAGTGCAGACATTGCAGCGCTCATCTTGAGTCTCGTCAAAGGTATATGAGTGTTGTTGTTGTTGTTGTTTAGGTCGAAATGCATTTCGGACTGGAGTGGCAGAACTAGTATACACTGCCTTCAGTCGAAGGAACTTCACGATGGAAGAGGTGCATACATCGCAGTATCCATTTGACTTCTGTCAGAGATGTTGTGAATGTTGTCATTTTGGTTGAATTACATTTCGGATCAGGCTGGAAGGATTTGTTTGTCGCCTTCTTTTCAGGCTGTGCAGTCACGTGTGGGAACGCCCAAAGGCTGGGTATGCATGCGTGCCTGAGATGTACCTAAGCAGATCGTTGGAGCAGGTTCGTGTCTGAAATAAATCAATGGAGTTGTCTCGTACAATTACTTTATCGTTGATTCATTGTTGAATAAACACTCGAGTTCCTTCCATGGTATGCGACAAGATGTATTTAGAAAAATATTTTTTGAGCTGCATATCTGGATGCAAGGGTGAATGGAATACCTACGCCCGGAGCGCATCCGAAAGAGGTCCACTTGTCCCAGGATTGTCAGCAGAAAAGACCATGGTCGTTGGCAAGGTATATTGGCCGACTGCATTGCCGGAATTTGCAATCATTTGCTCGTACATCCTGTCCATTCTTTTACCGCAAATATTGCCCAAATTTCATACCAGCGATCAAAATGTCTACATCCCGAGCCGACCTCTTCTCAAGCCTCGTCATTTTACCCACTGCGAATGCTCTTGGCCATCTGATGCCCGCGGTTGGCGCGAGCTGGGCAACTACTGGGGCACTAGTCTGGGACTATCCTATCCTCATTCTCTTGTTTTCCGTACATACACTACTCGACAGTCAGTTGCTCATTCAATCTACATGTTATTTCCAGTTGATGCTGATACAATAACGATCTAGGCTTTGACAAGTACCGAGATATACCCTCGGAGAAGAAGCCCAGTACAATAATAACCTTAATATGGGCTGGCACTTTGATGCTTTCAATCTCAGGGTCGTCATATGTCAGCGGATTCTCGAGTGCCATCCGCATCGTTTGGTTCTTGTGTCTTGAAATCTTCTGGGCTGTACCTCTGATACCACTTTACTCGCGCAGACGAGGGTTCTACCTCGTCAAGTTGCGACAGCTCGTATGGAGTCTGAAAGAGACCTTTTTGAGCTTGGTTTCTAACAAAAGAAACAGTTTGGGCCTCTCAAGTCTGCCTTTTGCGGCGTCATGGCTGGTCTTATGGACGCCGACCCGGCATCGCATCATGCGTGCATCATTCTCACTGCGGACTGCGGCGCCGGCCCGCAACGCGTGCAAGCTCTCGCCTACAGCATACTATATAACTTTCTCCGCGAATCATTTTACGACGCGAGGGACATTGAAGAAGACAAACAAGATCATGTCTCCACTATGGCCACGTTCCTCGGCATGCCCAACACGATCGCGTTGCTCTTGGCAGGGGCGGTGGCGGGCGAGGCATGGATCAGTGGTGCGATAACACTAGAGGGCAATACTCGAGCCGTGGGCGTGGTTGGCCTGTCGAGCTGGATTGTTGCGACGCAGACCAGGGAGAAGCGATTGGCGTGGGTTTTCTTTTCGCTTGTTTCGCTATTGCCGGCGTGGCATGCCCAAGCCCATCTCTAAGCCGGTGTTCAAGTGTAGATACCAAAAACATGGGGTTACTTGGCACGACTGAGAGCTTGAAGATAACAAAGACATAGCTAACAAAGGTAACGGTGGTGGTATCATCGGCCAACTCTCTGAATGCTTGCTTTTGCCATGGACCCTCCCTTATGCTCTGAATACGACATGATGAAGGCTAGATGCTGTGCCGCAAACTAACCTTTGTGAACCCACTAATGATACTGTACATCTACTGGACCTAGAAGCATCGATTACAAGGGAAGGATCAATATCATCGGCAAGCATATAACCCATGTTAGTACTTTGGGCATGATTGAGATCTTGCTAGCACTGAAGCCAGATAGTGAGATATTCAAGTGATGGATACAATGATAGGAGGGGAGGATCAAGATAGAGTTAGTACAACTTGCATTAACAATCTAATGTATAATCTGGGCAGATCCAAGGTGAAGATTGGATATCGCGGACAATCTGCGGTACTTTCAGTAGAGGCGACAAAAGGGGCACCAGAGAGGTTGTAGAAAGACATCTGCAATAAGAGTTAGGGTAAAATACGTCAGATAGAAATCATGAAGACTTGTAGTGTTGGCACATACCTGTGTTGTATCATATAAGAGGGCTGTGCATGTGTGGAGACGGGCAGAAGTCAAAGCCAAGGCTTGTTCTGGTTTGGGCCGATGAAGAAAAGAGATGCCCCAGACTGTTGTCCATCTTGGACTGAAACCCGCTTCCCGGTAACCGTCTGGTGATCGTATTCTATCGTACTCGGAGAATTTGCGATCGGTCCCATTGCCAAGTCCCCGACTCAACGGCCAGAATCCAGATCAGGTCGAGGTAGTACTGGATTGACTTCATCAGGGACGTAAGTGTGTGAGATCCGAAAACTGCCAGGGGTCTGTGACGAGACGGGAGCCCCTGTCGTTTTGGGGGCCCCGCCAACGACGCCAACTACCGCCAACTAAAAGAGCCGCTGCCACTATTCTACTACACCTAACCTTAGTACGATAGCCTAATTGGACTTCAAATTCAACATTCTATACTTTTGGCCGTGACAATTCCCTGATACAAATCATCATCACTGTCAATTATACGATGAAATCCATGCACAAATCATGTTAATAGATATGCACCCAACATACAAAAACTCCAGTTATTCACAATTTTCCGTGGCCAACAGCATCTGGACCAACTGCTCGAAACCCCACTGAAGCTCACTACTGCTTCGTCTGATCTGATGTCGAAGAGCGAGTGAGTGAAATCTTCAGACCGCATTTGGCATCCTGGTGCGACAGCTACAACACTGCTCAGCCGCCATTCGGTAGGTTTCCGGTCTTGACTTTCTATGCTGGCACATCACCAGCAAGGGTAGGGTAGATTAGGGTAGGGTTCGGTTGATCAGTTCCGCCCAAGACTATCCCCATCAATCTCCCCATTACCAGAACAAGGTCCGATCTGGTCAGGATGTCATCCCAGGATCACGGAGCATCACTCGATGCTCGTCGATATGCTTATCCCCTATGTGCGAGGATCGACGGCTAGGATATGGGAGTGGAGCTCCGTTCCCATAGGTGGGTTCAATGTGCGGATGCTTCTAGTGCTCAAACCTAGACGTTTGTCGTTTGAGATGCCAATTCAGATGGGCCGAGTCAGTCTGGCGAGTGGTTGATCCTGATCTTGGATCGCCTCAGCTCCCGCTTGCCTACAATTGACCCAGAGCCTGGATCTTCAGGTCCCAAGCGCTCAGCAAGAGGACCCCTGAGTCGATCAGAAGCTTCAGCCACGATAACTCTCCACGCTGCTGCCGACCAAGTCATCCTAGGTTGGTTTTGAGATTCACAGGTTACACTGACCTCTGAATGGATACATATATATGACAAGAAGACTCGGAGTTCCATCAATGTTAGATTTTACTCTGCTCAGGTCTCCATGAGTCTTCATTCTTTTCATCATCAGAGTTGATCTCACCTTCATTTCTTCGTCAAACGTATTATTATCATTCACTAGTCGGCTTGGACCGCTTTCATTTCTATATCAAAATGACCTTCACTCTTTCATTGCGGCAGGCCGCCTTTGGCTTTCTGCTATTGAACTCGGTCGCTACCGCACAATTCAGTAACGGTCACAACGGTGAGCTTGTTCAGAGGGAGTCGGCTGAGGACAAGCGGGGCCTTTTCGATTATGTCAATGGCATCGTCGAGCGCGTCAATGCTGTCGCGGCAAGTGGCACTGCAGGTGAGCATGACAGACAATGAAGAGTCAGATTATCAATCGTCCCTAACTCATGACTACAGTGGCTGCCACCGAAACCGTACCTGCTCCTGCGCCTCCAACAGGCACTCCACCAGCACCTCCGGCCCCTCCAGCTAATGGTGAGTATATTGTTCCGTATAAAATCAACATGAAGTCACCCTATGTCTACATCAAGTAATATCATATTCGTCAAATTTCCACTAATATCATTGTCTTCCAGGCACCGAAGCTGCACCGCCGCCACCTGCTGCCACTGATGCTGCCGCTCCACCACCGCCTCCTGCAGCGTAGGTCTTGATTACCACCATTCACGACAATTACATATGACTGATAATCTTTACAGTAATGGCACAGCCCCAGCACCTCCTGCCTTGATTGCTGCTGACCCAGCCGCCAACGGCACGGCGCCTCCCCCTCCGCCGGCCAAGTCCGATGCTCCTGCTTTGGCAGCTGTGCCACCGGCTCCCGATGCCAACGGTACAGCACCGGCACCGCCTCCGGCCCCGGCTGCGGCCGACGTAAATGGAACTGCACCAGCACCCCCGGCACCCCCCGCTGCTGCTGATGTAAATGGCACTGCTCCTGTCCCACCAGCCAAGGCGGATGCAGGCCCAGCAGCCGCAACACCGCCAACGCCTCCTGCCGCGGCCGCCGCCAATGGAACTGCTCCGGTTCCACCAGCAAAGGCAGACGTCGCTCCAGGTGCCTCGGCAGCAGCACCACCACCTCCTCCCGCCGCTGGGTAAGTGAACTGACAGGCCTGTCTCCTATTAGATCTAGTACAATGGCTAACAAAAGTATCAAGAAACGCTACTGCCGCCGCGCTACCAGATCCCGCAAAGAAGGCCAAGGCCGATGGCAAGTCTGCAGCTGCCGCTCCGCCAGCAGCATCAGCCCCATCTGCTGCTACTCCTGCCGCCGGTACTCCTGCGGCGGCTGCTACCGTAGCTGCCCTCGCTGCTCCGGTGCCTCCAGCTGCGAAGAAAACCACGGGCAAGCGATTCTTGCGCTATTACCAGGCTTAGGCGGCTGGTAAATGGATTCCACCTCGAGTTTGACACTTGAGAGACCCTTGATGGATGACATTGAAACTGGGTCAGGACGGGATTCTGATACCTTTAACGCGATTATACGACTGAATGTTGGGGCAATAAAACAACCCATTTGTAACAGGACCACAGCTGACACTTGACAAAACAAACACAAGGAAAGGAGTGGGCAGTGGCGTTCTTCATTTTATTGGGATAAATACATCCAATTTCAAGTAGGAGTATACAATAAAATCAGATATCCCAATTCTTTCCGAGGTAAAGAGGGAGAAGGTCCTTTGTTATCTTGATATGTTACGGGCAAGCGAATCACAAGTGAAATGCAAAAGCTTTGGTAAATGTCAATGCGAGTTTGAAACAAGCAACCTGACTATAGGGGATGATGAAAAATCAGTCTATGGTAGAAGCGCTGCTATAGGTGATGACCCGTCTTTGCCGTCGTTGTCCGTCGGTCAGCCCATTCACGGGGTGCCGGGCGTGCAACTTGTGGCTGGTCCGTCTCCATACAACAAGTAGACCCAAGAGAGCCTGAGCTTTGATATATGCTTCAATACAATGGTCAACATGGACCGTTTGCAGCCTGACCAACAAGAATTAGGTATCGCGGTGATGATGCTTGTTGTGGTTTCCAGGCGGCTTCGATGGTTCGGACTACGTCGGCGCAAATCTGGGGTTCGCCTAGGGGACCCAAGGCCCCTAAAGAGCCGCCCGCCCGCAATACTCAAAGTGCGGGGGAAGCGCCTTGACAAGACCTTACCTTGAGCAGGGCCGTAAACCGCAGAACACCGAACCCCGGGCTCGTCGCTTACCGCCGCCTACAGTCCCAATTCTCCGTCTTCGTCCGGACTTTTTACCTTTTGTACAAATAATCGCAGGCGCCTTTTTCTACCCTATTTCCATCAGCGCCTTATAAAATCTAAGGCAGGTGGACTCTCACTACTTGGAAAGACCTTGATTACCCGAGCTCGAGACAATGACGTTCTCCAGTGAGGAATGGGAGGAGATATCCCAAACTATCCCGAGCACTGAGGAGCCCTTTTTCCAAAAGTATATAGAGGGGCGTGATGCCTTGATCGCCCAAGAAGCCAAGCAACGCAGCGGTAAGTACAAAGTTACAAAACAAGGAGTCGTTCTTGACTGCCCGTATATCTGACCTGCCTGTTCTTTACTCACGCTTTTGCCAGATGCCTCATTTCGTCAAAACCTCTCTCCCATTGCCAAAAAGGCTTGCGATATAGTCGCACGCATCCGCGATGAAGAGAAAAAGACCCACTGGACCTCTCAGTTTGAGGACTCTCTCGCGCTCAAGGAAGAGAACATCACCGTGCATCCGGGCATGATGTTCTCGCTTTCCAAGGAACGCATGGAGTCGACCAAGCTGTGGAAGATAATCCGGCAGATGCCCAAGGGCGCGCTCCTGCACGCGCACCTCGACGCCATGGTGGACTTTACCTTTTTGATCGACCTGCTGCTCAACGAGCCCGGCATGCACATCATGGCCGACCAGCCGCTGACCTCGCCGGCGGCCCTGGCCGGCGCCAAGATCGTCTTCCGCTTCCGCAAGACGGCTCTCACCGAGGGCAACATTTGGAGCAGCGGCGACTACGAGCCCGGCACGCCGATCCTGCTGACGCAGGCCGCCGACGCCTTTCCCAACGGCGGCAAGGAGGGCTTCTTCAAGTGGCTCTACAGCCGGTGCAGCCTCTCGCGGACCGACGCCGTGGCGCAGCACCACGGCGTCGACGAGATCTGGCAAAAGTTCTTCAGCTGCTTCCGCGTCGTCGAGACCATAATCCACTACGAGCCCATCTTCCGGGCCTTTTTGCGGCGGCTGATGCGCCAGCTCAAGGACGACGGCGTAAACTATGCCGAGCTCCGCTTCTCGTGGGGCCTCGACTACTTTCTCCTCAACAGCGAGGTGCCCGAGCCCGACTACGTCGCCATGATGGACACGATTGACGAGGAGGTCGAGGCCTTCAAGGCCACGCCCGAGGGGCAAGGGTTTTGGGGCCTGCGCTTGATTTGGGCCACGATCCGCATCAACCCGCTCCGCAACATTGTGCAGAGCATGGACCACTGCATCACGTCCAAGATTACTCACCCGCATCTCATTGCGGGCTACGACCTGGTGGGCCAGGAAGACCTGGGCCGTCCACTCAAGGACATCCTGCCCGAGCTGTTCTGGTTCCGCAAGCAGTGTGCCGAAGAGGGCGTAAACATACCCTTCTTCTTTCATGCCGGCGAGTGTCTTGGCTCAGGCAGCGACACGGATCTGAACCTGTACGACGCCATCCTGCTCGGGACGCGCCGCATCGGCCACGGCTTCAGCCTGTACAAGCACCCTCTGCTCATTGACCTGGTCAAGGACAAGAAGATCCTGATCGAGAGCTGCCCCATCAGCAACGAGGTGCTGCGTCTCTGCGGGTCCGTCATGAGTCACCCGCTGCCCGCGCTGCTGGCCAGGGGCGTCGCGTGCTCCCTCTGCAACGATGACCCGGCCATGCTGGGCCAGGACACGGCCGGCAGCACCCACGACTTTTGGCAGGCACTCCAGGGGTGGGATAATCTGGGTCTGGCCGGCCTGGGCTCGCTGGCCGAGAACAGCGTCCGCTGGGCGGCCTTTGAGGATCAGACGCCAGACGAGTGGAGCCGGGACATTAGGGAGGCCACCGTCGGCAGCGGGCTCAAGGCCCAGAGGCTCAAGGAGTGGGCGGTCGAGTGGGAGAAGTTCTGCCTGTGGATCGTGACCGAGTTTGGCGATCCAGAGTAAGTGAATGCATGATAAGCCCCGAGTCGAGTCAGACCGGCTTTTTTTTTTTCTCCTGCTGTCAAAGCGGGACTCCACTAGTGAGCCGTTCTCTGATTTCATATTTCTTTCTTTTCTACCAAAGCCATGTTTCCATGACCAGAAGCTGGAGCATTTTGCGAGTCTAACGTGGTCGGGAGACGATTATTGGTTCTCGGGAGCATGGCAGGGTAAGGCGTTGTGAAGAGGCATCAAGGCAATTAAAGTTCAACCTGGCAGGCAGACAAAAATAAACTGGGAGGGTAAATCAGGCAGAAGACGTCAGAGCAACCATACAGGATGGTTTCTTTCAACATCTAGGACTGCCATTGTCATGGGAGGTGGAGCTGGAATATCTATATGGACACAAAGCAGAAATTTAGTATCGAAATCAAAGTCCAAAACAACTTGTGGCCAAGTCTGTGATCAAGTTCTAATGAAACAACCAATAAACCCCAGATACAAGTGTATCGCCATCACTTTAGTCAATATTCTAAGAAAAGCAGCACGCTGGTAAACGCAGTATTGGGGCGCGGACTGAGCAAGTGTAATATGTACGTACACTCAGGAAAGGCAAAGAGGCAGCAACGGCTTTTCCGCGCCGTTGCCCGTCAGCAAGGGTGGCAAAAGCATTGTGCCAATAAGGGGAGGTATAGTCGGTCTTGGAGCTGTGGGTCTTGACTGATCATACACAATTCAGATATATATGCAGCCCTAACTAGCGACATTGATTTTCCCCCAATCATTCCCTACATGCAGAGAGAAACCCATACCCGAGCGCCAATAATTTCAAGTGAGTTCTCCAATTTATTCCTCCCCACAATCACGAAGAGTCATGTTTATGGCTTCACGGAATAGTTCACATAGCAGTGTGATGCAGACTCAGCAAGCTGCCAGGATCTTTGAGCCCAATCGTTCACACAAAGATGGCATGAACCTTCCAATCGGATTTGAGATGTGTTGAATGATTCATAATTGAATGCCGAGTGACAGTCTGACCGGCCCATGCGCGTGAAAAGCTGTTGTGGAACTTCGCAGGTGCAAATAAGCATGTGTTCAAACCAATGTGAGTGGTGCGAAGTGCTGATTGCATGTGCACTGCCAACCTTTCCATCAGAAAATACCCTCTGCACGTTCAGTCCACCGTGGAAGAGGAAAATAAAGAATATCCTCCAAAGAACCCCCATATGTGTGCTCCATTCTGGTGTCTAAGGTGTCTTCACTGGTACGGACATTTGTAGTCAATGTCTGTGACGGATGATTATGACCAGCAATCGCGCTGATAATCAAGATCGCCCCCAAGTAGATTGGAGCCAGTCTCTAAGTCCGAGAGGTCTGAAATCAACGAGTTCATTGAGGTTTGCGTCGGTGAATGCATAACGACCATCGGCCACTTGTATCAGGTGTATCATTTTGCGTGCGTTGGCATCGTCTTGCATGTCGCTGTGATAGCGAAGCCAGTCATGAAGTTGTTGATAGGGCCTTGAGAAAACCTCAAGCTCGGCTACAATCTGTTAGTTGATAGTTACAATACAAAAGAAGAATTGAAAGTAGCAATGCTTACTCCTGGTGACCTCCTGACTGATTTCTACAAGGCGTTGGGTGGTGACATAGGCGCCTCGCATTCTGAACTCTCTTGGCCAATTCTGTACGCCCAGCTCGATGGCAGAGGCAACAAAGAGAGCGACATCGTAAACAGACGTCATCGTGACATGCACTTGGTTGCCATGAGAATTTGTTACTGGAATCTCAGCGATACCAGCCGTGAGGTCAAGCATGTCCCCAGAAGGTCTATGTGCACCAAAGCTCGCACCCATGTTGAGAGAAGATAGGCCTCCTGGACCGAATCTCTCGTAGAATAGGCCGCAGGAAAAGACGGTATACCGCATAGGACGCGATCGAGATGATGCGCAACGTTCGAGGAATTCCAATGCAGTCGAGGAACCACGTTCCATTGGATCATCGGTAGGCCGGCGGGACAGAGGGCCCTCGAACTCGGACGGAACGAAGCAGCTAACATGGGCCCGTCGGGCTGCATCGATCAAATTGATTTGCTCAGGGCCTGAGATTGTCGAGATGATCAGGTCCACGCCGCGCAGGGTGAACTGGAGATTGTCCAAGTCACTGTAGTCGACAGTAATGACTTGGCATCCGTAAGTCTCAAGTTCTGGGTGAGGCTGCGACTGTTAGTGATTGAAAATATAGGAACAGCATCATCAGTGGATCAAATTACCCTTCTCGATAAGACGATCATTGCATGAGCAGTTTCGGACAGCTGTCGTGCCAGTATATTGGCAAAGCCACCGCCGCCGGCAATTGCTATGCGCATCATGGCTGTGTTTGATCTTTTCGACATGATAAAGAACTTGAAGCGGAATTCCTTCGACTCTTTATGTTCGCTTCACTCTTCACACCGAGAGCCCGTCGATGACCGTAGTAAGGGTCAAAATTGCTTCTGCAGTCAACCTTTCTTCAAGGTTGCTCGGTAAGTGAGTCGTCGGGTTGATTCTTCGGTATGTCTTTCCCACAACTCAGTACTCCTTGCCTGAGTCAGGGATAGATCAATAGCCAGAAATCAAAGTATACCCGCGTGACTAGGATGTCCGTTTCTAATACCTTGTTGCTCAAAGTCCCAGATGTACAATGTTTGGCAGTGGGAGGGTGTATAAGGATAGACCAATGGTTTTGCAAACGAAAAGCGCCGAGGATGTCAGAAAACCTGTCTAGAGAATACCAAGGTATGGTCCTGAGGGAGAAAAAGGATAATATCAGATGTGACAATAGAGGTGTTTTCAAATTTCCGCAGGAAGCCGGTGGTGACAATGAACCTAGGTGTCCATACATTAGTCAAAAAGTCGAGACCCTAGGGTAAGAGCATGACATGAAGTTGACTAGATCATATTTCTAGAGTCATCTCATTCCTCATGCTTCTTGGATACCTACCTGGACAGTGAGAGACCGGCCGGTTGAAAGATGGAAACCATATCTCCTAGCAGGGATCTTGAACTGACTGATGATGGAAACCCTGCTTCCTCAGCCGCTCAGTGGCCGTCTGGAAGTCACAGTTGAGTCCTCGTGGCACCTTAGACTAAAGAATGACGATGCTGCCTGGTATCTCCTGGAGATGTGTAGACCCTGTGAGGTATGGTGGGCCATGTTGTTCGGCGTCGTCCGCGTGAGAAGCGCCGAGGCGGCCCAGAGCCCACCATTGTTCCCAGCAGATGCGAGATTTCGACCTGCATGGTAGGTTTCACGACGTCCCGAAGACTGGATGACCCGGCAAGGTTTCAGGAACAGCAAGAGTCTTTGCCGGTGGATGACGTGGGGGTGGGTAGCAAGTGAGTGTTGATGGTCAAGCCAGTCTACCCCGAGATATGAAATGTGCTTGAAGGTAGGCACAAGGGGCAGGGAAAGGAACGCTGAACACAATCAACAAGGATCAATTTCTCGATGCTCCAAGCTTGACTTTGACACCAATGTCAGCTTTAATTTCCATCAGGAATCCAGAAATTAGCGCATGTCTACAGGTCGTGGTTACTGCTGCAGCCTTATGGTCAATCGGGTGGCCAAAGAATGAATTTAACAGCCCAGATGATCTAGTTTTTTCTTTGCATGTTTCATTGTAAGAAGGCCGAGACGCTTATTCTGTAGAGACTGATGTGAGCTCTGGAGAACTGCCACATGGCAGAAGAATAATTCGCGTGTGGCGGCACGACATGTCAGTGTACCGGTATTATGACCCCGTGGAAGCTTTCACACTCGGGTGCTCGTTGCTACTATCCACTACCGCATGGTGAATTTTGTCTATCCTCTTTCAACACTAGCACGGGAACTTTTCGCTCCTCGAGAGAATGTGCCTCTGGTGGGTACCTGGGAAGTCGAGTTAGTATAGGACGTTGCTGGGAATGGGAATAACATTGATACCGCAGAGAGACAAAAGCTCGGAACTATACCTGTACGTACAGGGGTACGTCTCTAAAGGGTGGAGGTGAACTGGCTGCAAATGGTATGACCGCCATGCCGGGAGTCGCTTTGATGCATGATTGGGTCAAAATCGAACGGTTTTCTTGTAGATCCAAACAGTCTACTAGGTATGTAGGAGGTACCTATGTAGGTAAGTGTAGGGTGGGCTGCCTTGCAGCGTCTCAGCCCGCTGGGCTGGAGCCTGGGATTATCTCCCAAGAAGGTTCAAGTGAGACCTGGGGGAGGGAGATGTAGGTGGGAGCAGTGTGTGTAAGTGTGTGTGTGTGTGTGTGTGTGTGTGTGTACGGTAAAGGTAGGTAAGGCATCAAGTAGATGCGGTGATCATAAGGGTGAGGAAGCAAGGGTTTGGGGGCCAGATGGAGGGCGATGGATTAGTGATGGGATGGCAATTGAAGTCTGGAAGTCTGAACTTACATACGTACATTAGTGCTTGCCCCTAGAGTTGGAGAGACCTAACCTAGTAATGTAACTAACCCCAGCACAGTAGTAGTGGCACTATTATGAGAATTAGAGAGGAAAGCTCGCGGGAGCTCCACAAACAGGGCAGGCCCAAGGGTCTCCACAGGGGGACTTTGCCGGCGTACCTAGAGACTAGTAACACCTGATACATCGTACTGGGCCCAGTGAGAGAGCCGCATTTGACGAAATCCGCACCCGCCTCAGAGGTGGTTTCCCCAGGGATATGGATTGTATGGATGAGAGGCAAAGCTAGTGTAGGTACATAGTTAGGGTACTAGGTATGTATGTGTGGAATCTCGAGCGATCCCACCCTTGGCGTTTTTTTCTTCTTCTTCTTCTATCATCTATGTGCTTTGGTTGTAGGTACCTACATTTGCATGCACTCCCATCATGAGCAAGCAACGGATGCGGCTAAAGGTACCGCATAGGCACTGAAGGACACCCATCGGTCTTCGCCGCCAGCCTACACATGGCGCAAACGGTTAAAAGCAACTGCCCTTAGATGCCTAATGTAGCCATCATGGCAACGGCCGCGAAAGTTGTGATGGTGTGAAGCAAGACGGCCTTTGGTGGGCTTCACAAGGAGCACGTAAGCTGATCGGGGAGGGCAGCATGGCTGCTAAGAATTACTTTCTAGGTATTGAAGCGATGATACCGTCCGTCGTGGGGATGAAGCAGGCATGTCAACTTAGGGCCGAAATGCACGTCAAATGCCCTGGACACTTTGGCTGTGGAGATGAAAGCAAATTGCAAGGTTTTGTCTCCTCCATTGTTCGAGAAGTCTTCTTTCTTTCCTTCGATCATCATCTAATTTCATTCTCGACTTCTTCTTCTTCTTCTTCTTTTGTGTCCCCATTGGCAGGGTTGTAAGAAATAGGGGGTGGGAGAAGCCAAGCGCAGCCTCACCAAAAGTCCCAGTAGATATCCACATGGCAATTGTCCCATACCTGCATGCGCGGATGCATTAGCCGGCATACTTGGACAAATTCAGACTCCCTGTAAGAACTGGCTTGGTCACCACTGGGACCGTCTCGTGGTTGTTGTTTTCTGGATGACAAAACCCTTTCTCGACCAGGCAGACGATGCAAAAGGTGTGTTTATAATAACTCGAATGGGAAAGCTCCGCCCTAATTTGTGTCAGTATTCACTGGGCGTTGGAGACTGATTGGCTGAGAAAACTTGAAATTTATAGCCAATGAAAAAGCTACGTCCAACATTTACAGTATTATTATCCATCGGGATTGCGCCCGAACCTGCCCGCGACAGCTTTATAATCACTAAGCGAGTTTGTGTGCTGGGTCCTCCTGGCGTGTTCCGGTTCACCGGGAACGCCTCTATCACACCCACCCTTCTCTACAATCAACGAGTGCTGCTTGTGTTCTCAAGCTTGATGTTTCTGCAGCGAATGATTGGCGGAATACGTATCGTTGTGGGAAAACAAGATCAACAGTGTTCCGGGTACTCGGTGTGCTTACCACTTACATCACCGAGCCGAATGAACCCTTGCTTCCGTGTCGGCGGCGCCGATGGCCAGGGTCCTTTTGACAGTATAGGAAATTCCCCATGTCACGAATGCCATGCAGATTGAAATGCAAGCACACTCTAGTGTAGCATCGTCGGGGAAAACGTAATCATTTGGATGCAACTCTCCTCATGAAACTACTTGCAGAATCCTTGGCGCATTTATTGTGCCGAGTCCTGTCTTCGATTACTCAAGATGAACAGGGGTGTCAAGACGACATCTCTATCTATCTACATAGTATTGTTGCAATCAGGTAATGAATATACATGCAATCCTACAGCATCTATGCCGAGGCACGTTGTAGATTGTTATGCTCAAGCTCAAGGTCGGGCCAAGACTGTAATATTGCTTTGCATCTAGCAAGTTCCTAATATAGATGCTAGTGAGGGCGATCCAGAAGATATCTGGTCATGTGACGGAATATTTTGCCTTGACGTATCTCGATAGTATATCCTCAGTATCATTGATTTATATTCACAGGTTTATGCAATGAACTATCCAATTATACCTGAATAGAGCTGTTGTATGTTAATCACCACATTGTAACACGTCTCCGTTGCAGCGTGATATGAGGACGGGGACTATGTAGCCCCCGAATCATCTGGATAAAACTCTGAGAGTTCAGAGGTTCCTTGGAAACCTCTTTTGAAAAATTAGCTAGCAATCATACTTTGCACCATCTGATTTGATCAGAGCCTGGTAGATCCCTGGTATGTGTTCACCATGCGCTTCTAGATAAAGAGCAACGTTACAAGATGGATAATTTTGGCCACATGCCTGGGTTCCTGAGAGAGTCAGATGTTTTTCAGGCCGGTGAAGAAGTTGTGGTCAGCACGTAGTTATCGATATATTGATCTTCCGCATTGCTCCCTAGGTTCAGACTGATGCAGGATCGCTACGGCCGAGACTTGTCTTCATCCATGTGTACTTGGGTGGCAGAATATCATGGAAACAGGTAGTCCTGTACTTTCATAAAGTACATTTTTTGCTTTTGGAGTGAGAAGTCCTGTCAGCACTCGGTGGTTGGCCTCGGCGAGCTTTGCGGTTCTCCCACTGGGCATTCTTGGCCCCCAACGTTCAGCGAGTCGTCTTGTATCACGGCTTCGTGACAGCTGTAGCTCATTTACGCTTGATTTAACATGGATATGTATTAATAGAAAAAGGAACAGGCGCGGGTGGCGTTGTACCTAGGTATCCTTCGTGGGCCAGGCTTTGTAAGAATGGTGACACTCAGCTCCCACGTCGAGGCACTTCCCACAAACTCTCCAAGGCTCCAAGCATGATACCTGTCCCTATCGCATTAATTGAAGCAAGCCACGCCTATAGCAGTTCGTCTACCCAGTGTCCAACAACTTGGAAATTAAATCGAGAACTTGTAGCTTTATCCTACGATAAATCTATCGTCACCGACCCTGCTATTGCCAGCCCACCAAATTTAGCAGATGCATTTTTCAAGAAAAAAATTCTTACACTAATCAGAAGAGTTGACTATACTGGCATAGGGATGAAGATTGTTTATGTTGCGGCTTGCCTATGGTAGACAGACGTGAGATATGAGACCAAAAAAGGGGGTGGTGACAATAGAACCAGGGGTAAAAAAGAATCGGTCGGCCTATTTAGGACCGTATGATTGGTGGCAAGAATTGCTAATTCTTGCCCACTACTGGAGTCGAACCAATTGCCTCCTCATTACTAGTGAGGCGCTCTACCGATGAGCCAAGCGGGCTTCGAAAGACCTTGTAATGGATCTCTGCTGCTGTTGAAGGTTTATGAATCAATTACAATTCATATCAGACACTTTTCATTGAGCGGTGGTCGGAGAAATTGGTAGGTGGAGAATTCTATATTGAAAGTTGAGCCAAATTGGTGGGCTCGCTCCACTTGGAACGCAGCCCGGGTCGGTGCGGTGAAGCCACCTTACTCAGTCTCCAAATCAACAAGAATCGGTCACCACAGCTTACTCAAGAATGTACTACTCCCAGTGATTGCCAAGTATACACAGTCCCGTCAAGGGCAGGACGAAGCCTGTTGGAATATATTATGTTCATCATTAGATAAGTTCTACTCGGTGCTGGGAGAGCCGCAGCTTTTCATGACCATGTCTAATCAGGCGCCGTCCTGTTGAAGGGCATGTGCCATCAGTTTGGAGTCAAAGGCACCATTATCGTAAAGAAACGCTGGCTTGTCATCAGATCAGCCAGAAGAGGCCCGCTCTTGCTCCTTCTGTAATTGTTCCTCCTCCAAAATCTCCCTCTGTCTGGCCGCAGCTTCAATGCTAGCCTTGACTCCCTTCTTCCTCTGCCTCTCCTCATAGAGATCTCTACTCTTCATGATTCTTTGTACGATGGTGCCAGCATTCACATCACCAAAAGCATGGCTGGAGATCTTCTGGAAAATGCCCATCTCCTTGGGTGCCGCGTACGGATCGTACGAGAGCGGCATGAACGAAGTCGGTCCATGATAGACAGCATCTGGCGTTCCCCATGGCAGACTTGTCAGGTAAGACTTGGTTGGTGAAAATGGGGCCCCAAAAACGACAGCATCGACATGCTAGGAGATTGTTAGCCCAAAAGAAGTAGACGGAGGCGGTGTATATGATCAACTTACTCGGCATTGCAAAACACAAAGACCTCTCTCAAAAATGTTCATGATGGGGTAGTTGACTCCCTTCCAATGGTTGATCACCTCATCGTCGTGAACACCAGCAACCACAAACACGGGACCATAATCGCCGCCTTTGCCTTTCCGCTCATCCACAGCCTGCTGGTCAAACCATCCGTCTGCCCGGGCAAGCTTCTCCTCGGCCTCGACTACCAAGCGCAAAAACTCAATGTGGCCGCTGGAGAACAAGTCGAATCCACCATCAACGTAAACAACTCGTTGACCGAGTTGCGGGCCTGGGCCCTTGAGGTGGGATCGGAACGAGCCCTTTTCTTCCTCCGTAGCCTGCGACTTGGCGGCGTGAGAAGCAGACCAGAACCAGACATCAGCACCGGGGGCCTTGCCAGTTTCGTCAGTCGCATATTGAGCAATGCGTTCAGACATGGCTTCTCCGACGGCCTTCTTCTCAGCGTCCGTCCCGTGGCCCTCTTCACCAGCCAGAGTCTTCTCCAACGACTTGATAAAATGTGTTCTCGTGCAGAGAAGCATGCGGCCTACCAGGTCGGTTGTCGAGATGCTGGGCGTGCGCTTGACGACCTTGAACCGGCCAGCGGCCTTGACGAAGCGGTAGCAGTCCTCGCCGTTGCTGTCGCTCGTGATGTCGTCGCCGTGCACCACATATTTGCAGCCAAAGTGGCTGATAAAGTCCAGCTGTGTCACGTACGGAGCGTGAGGCACGGACTTGGTAACCCATCGGCATGCATCGACAGCAGCGAGCCTTTACACCAGAATGGGAAATCAGCACTCGGGTTCTCTCAAAGCATTATTTTGATTCGTTCTCCCCCCTCGTGCATTCACATTTGTCATTTTTATGGGAGGAGGAAATTTCAAAAAAGAAAACCGTACCGTTCCTGCAGTGTCATGACTGTGGGGCCCTTGTTCTCGAGAATAGACTCATCAGAGTGAACGCCGACGTAGAGCTCAGTGCCGAGCTGTCGGGCTTGCAGCATAGCGCCAGCGTGGCCATGGTGGAAAAAGTCCCAGCATCCATCGACCCAAATCCTGTCCTCCAAGATCTCAGGGGCAGCGGGGCCAGAGAGGACCTCTTCTTCTGACGACATGGTTCCGCTAAGATTCTGACGGCTGCAAAGGAGTGAATGTGTGGTCAGAAGTCTAGTGATCCTACAGAAAGATACGAAGCTCTTCCCTGTGGCGGTTTCTTGTCAACAACGAGGAGGACAATTAACTTGGGCCAATTGGCGAAAAGGGGTGACTATTATGATAGTGTTGGCTAGCGGCAATCAACACTGTTCCGTTTCGCGCTGCCAACCTCTGAGCAGACCGTCCGGCCACAGTCGCAAACTGTGTTGAGAACCCCTCAGTGGGGCAATATTGGTGGCAGCTCCCAGATGTCGGAACTGGAGAGAGCTTTGGGCTGGGTGGGAATTGCCCCACCATCTCAGCAAAGCACCGTCGTCATACGTCGGAGTATAGGTACGCGTTGACGCACCAAATAAGTCTGTACATATAATAATTGACTTGTCCCTACGTTCTTTTTTTGAATCTGCCCCGAGATACTCATTACGGAGACTTATCATACTTTCGCCATCATCATGACACCAGACGTCAAATTATCCGGTCCATACGGCGGCCTGAAGCCCGAGCAAATCGAGGCCTTCTGGCGGGATGGCTACCTTATCATCCCAAATGCCCTGCCGCCGACAACAACGCAGGCGCTTCTAGACGAGACGCACACAATGCTGGAGGACTTCTCACTCGACGACCACCCCATGACCAAATTCAGCACGGGAGAGACGTCGGCGCATGTGGGCGACGACTACTTCCTCGACTCGGGCGACAAGATCCGCTTCTTCTTTGAGGAGGACGCCTTTGACCCGGCAACGGGGTCTCTGAACAAGCCAAAGGCCCGCGCCATCAACAAGATCGGCCACTACCTGCACGCGCTTAGCCCCCCCTTTGCCTCTCTCCTGGACCCGGCTCTCAACCCGGACCTCCTTGGCGCCGGCACCACTGGTGGCTCCGTCGAGGCCGGCCATAAAGAGTCGCATCCCGCAGCTGTCGCCCGTGCCCTGGGCTTCCGAGATCCGCGTGTACTGCAGAGTATGGTCATCTGCAAGCAGCCCGAGATCGGTGGCGCCGTCCCGCCGCACCAAGATAGTACCTTTTTGTACACGGACCCTCCGAGCGCCGTTGGCTTCTGGTATGCGCTTGAGGACGCCACTGTAGAGAATGGATGTCTCAGCTTCTTGCCGGGAAGCCACCGATGGGCCTCCGTGAAGCAGAGATTTGTCCGGGCAGGCGAGGGCAAGGGCACAACCTTCATTGACACGGATGGGCCTAGATTCCCAAATGACAAGGAGTACGGTGAGGAAAAGTCCAATGGCACATCAGCGGAGACGGGAGAGTGGAAGCTCGGCGAAGTCAAGGCCGGCTCGCTAGTACTGATTCACGGCAACTTGCTTCACAAGAGCGAGAAAAACCTCAGTCAGAAGGGCAGGATCATTTATACTTTCCACGTGATCGAGGGTGAAGGTGCAAAGTACGACGAGAGGAATTGGCTGCAGCCGCCTGCGGGAGGGTTTACGAGTTTATATCGAGACTGATAGTTGCTATCAATCATTGTTCAAAACTGCCAGATACCGTGGAAACATCAAGTATAAACATGCAAGCTGCCCGTTCAACGATACTTGGGACACGGAATAAATCATGGCGCTAAATGTCATCACGAATACCAAGATAAATGGAACCCCAAGCAAGTGAAGTGCGGTTCCAAATATTGAATTATGAGTATGAGGTGACCTATGCTCATTTATGTGTCTGTCCACGTAATTACTGGTGCGGTTTAGAGCAAGCACACCCCCAAACGCCAGAAACACGTCCCCTTTTTTTTTCTCCCCCTTTTTGTTTGAGAATCAGAAACATTCGCTCCTTGTCGAAATGTCGGAAAGAACGCGGTGATCTGTTGTGTCCTTCCTAAAGATCGCGGATGAGATTCGTCCAGATACGATTTTCTTCCGTGATCCTGCCGGTCTGGTTCGATCTCAGGGACAACAGCGAGAAAACAAACGTATGGAGAGTAGTATACAAACAGCTGATGTCCGTTGGCAACAGCAAGTTGCCGAGTCATACAACTTCTTTCGAAGTCGCGGCGATGCTATACTCCGCCGGGCCTCGAGATCATTTCGCAACAGCCAATTGTTGACAGGACTGATTTGACCTTTTTCCAGTGTCGGCCCTTTCCAGTCATCACCGAAGGCATATCATTTCTTACCATTTCCCTAGCGCTGGTAAGGATGGTAGCCACGGTTGCCTCCCCGTCCACCACCACGGTAGTTGGCGCCAGGCTTACCAGCATTCTTTGGACCAGTTGGAGCGTTCGGCGGAGGGGCAGCGTTGGGGTCGGCAGGCGAAGGGCTTTGATGTCCTCCACCTCTATTGCGGTTGAAGCCTCCGCGGCCGCCTTGGTTATAGTTCGGCTGGGGGACATCGTCATACATGCCCTCCCAAGACGTTGGATCACCACCGGCGTGGCCACCGCCGCCGCCGCCGCCGCCACCACCACCACCACCACCCATGCCGTAGCCGCCTCCCTGATATCCACCGCGGCCACCTCGTCTGCCACCACGACCTCCAAACATCTGTTGCTGATTACCGAATTGCTGCTGTTGGTCGTTGCCCTGGCCACCTTGACCCATCTGGTTGCCCATCTGGTTCATTTGGTTTTGCATTTGTTGCATCATTGCCGGGTTCATGCCTTGGCCGCCGTTCTGGGCCATCATCTGCATTTGCATCATTTGCTGCATCATTGCTGGGTTCATCATGCCCATTCCCATGCCTCTACTCATGGCAGCCTGCTGCTGCATCATGGACATGTATTGTTGCATCCTTTGCATGTACTGAGCCATGACCTGGGGCGTCATGCCACTTTGGTTCATCTGATTTTGCATCTGGTTCTGGTTGCTGTTCTGGTCATCGAAGCCAGGCTTTTTGCCGAATTTGCCGCGGCCGCGTGAGGCCTCCTCCTCCTGCATGTTGTTCCTGGGCTGAGCCTTCTTGACTTCGATAGGCTTGCCATTGATGGACAAGACTTGGCCAGGCAGTGTACAATTGTCTACACCAGCTTCACTCTCAAACGTGACGAATCCAAAGCCTCTAGGTCTGCCGGTATCTTTGTCCATCATGAGGGTAGCATCGACAACGCGACCAAACTGGGCAAAATAATCCTTGAACTCAGCCTCTGTTGTGTCTTGGCTGACGCCGCCAACAAAGATCTTGCTCGTCTTCTCTTGCTCATCACGTGGGATAGCTCTCTTGGGATCAATCTACACAACCAGTTAGTTTGTTTGTTCTCAAACATTTGGATACAAATGCCACGGTGAGCCATACAATTTTTCCATCCAAGTAATGTTCTTTGACCATGACTGTATTCACGTTCTTGGGGTCCTTGAAAGTCAAGAAACCAAAACCTCGTGATCTGCCGGTAGCACCATCGCGCATGACGGTACATTCAGTGACTTCACCGAATTGGGAAAAGTAGTCACGGAGAGATTCTAGACAAGTCAGCAACCCCTTTTGCTCAAATCTGTAATTAATAGGTTTGCGCTTACGATCAGTCGTCTCCCAATTCAGGCCACCAATGAACATCTTTCTGTGAACGTTACATCGTCAGTTATACATCACACGCTCGTCAATCTGTGCTAATTGAGTCTGCAGAAAGCATGGAAGAATCCAGAAAGCCAAATAACTTTATCCAGCACTCGCGCCTCAAAAGATTTTCTTGCATCCGCGTTCTTGGTGAATGATCCAATCAAGATCCGTCTCCTTGGCACATAGCACGGCCAAAGATCACAAGAGTCCGTGTATCCAGACAGCTCTCTTGAGCGCGCTTTCGTGTGATATCCGCCAGGTTGAAGATAAAAATCAAAGCTTGTAGCCATATCGTCATCTTCGAATCCAATCTGGCCTTCATGCCGAACCAAGCACGGGCTCCTCCACTTGTGATGAAGCCTTTCATCCCAGTTTTTGAGGGAAGCTTGCTCCATGGATGGAAGGTTCAGGGTACGATTGGGGCGGCTGCGGCTGACAATGGATGTACCGCCAGGCACAGCGAGGGCGGGCCACAAACAGCAATTCCCACTGGAAGGCGGCTACTGCAGCGAAAGCCACGATGATGAAGTTGTCGAATTTTCTTGTTCTTTCCTCGTCATCTTGCTATCGTCAAGCTAGATCATGGCCTCGAGCGCTATTCGCAGCCAATCCTTGTTACAACCAACGAAGAAGTCTGACTTCCCCATGGTCCTTTATGAGCCTATGATCTGACGATGGCTATGGAGGCAGTAGAGTATCATGTACTGACTATAGTCGAAGCCTTTTTCTTTCTTCTTGGGAAGCTTTTCAGGCACCCTGAACCTTCATCGATTTGTGTGTGTTGGCTCCTCTCCAATTTTGGGAGTTTGATATTGTGTGTATGAACAAGTGAAGTAGATCGTGTCAAGACGTTGAGATATGGTCTCATCCGGCAGAATATCTCCTCGCACATCCTCCTCTTGGTATGGACAGCTAATCGATGCGTAATTTTGTGTCCAGAGCAACTGTCTTCGACCAAAGCCTGACTGCCGAGTGGAAACACCATGACCCCGACCGATCTTGACTACAGCACCACCCATAAAAGTACCAATAATGATGACACGATGTCTTTATTCTTCGGTCACCCAGATGCAAGGGTACCTCCCGAGGCTGACGAATCGCGACTTACCCACAGAATATTGCTACAGGGAAGAAAAAACGACTTGGACTTACCCATCTTCTTTGGCACCAGGGCCCTTGGCAGAATGAAAAGTTGGAGCAGCGACAGACTCTTCTTGCTTGGGCGCAACATTATGAGATGAACCATTTCCAAGGTTGAAATCAACTTCATCATCATCATCATATGCTTCCTCATTATCGTGGTAATCACCACCCTGACCATGAATATCTCCACTGAAAGCGTTGTTATCATAAGAAGCATTCACTTCGGCCACGGCGGTGGCAACTGGAGCAGGCTCGTGCGATGGCTCTACTTTCTGAGTCGGGGGAGCGGCGGGTGCGGCAGCGGGTGCTGAGGGCGCGTCGTTATCATCGTAACTGTTCCCGGATTAGATGAGGTTCATCCTGGATGGGATATTTCCGAAAACGCTTAGAAGGGAAGAACTTACAGATCAGCGAAAAGATCATCCTCGAAATTCTCGTTTTCTGCCATGGCGGCGGCTGGGTCGACTGGAAAGGACAGGAGAGGTTGCAGTCGAGTAGAACACCCGTGTTTTCACCTTATCAGCGACGGCAAAGTCGGCGCTGGCAGACGCGCAAATGACCGTGTCGCACACGAATAGACGATACTATGTGTGCAGAACAGACAATTGGGAAAGTGGCCGGAAGCAAGAATTGACAGAGAAGGTGCTCAAGTTTGGGGCCGCCTGTACGTGAGGAGGTTGAGGTCGCTGGCGAGCTTGTGGTGAAGGGAAATCGCAGCCTTAGGCCTAGTCGGCAATGAAAACCTGGGGCAACAAGGATGTGATTGGCTGCTGATCTCACAGCTCAACTGTGGCTTCCAAGATTCGCGCTGGTTTTGCCAGCTGGTGGGACGCTAGCGGCAGCTGCTTCGGTGAACGTTACAAACTGGCTCATCAATGAGCGTGGCTCAACTTGTCTCAAAGATAACCTGAAGTAGTACTTTCACATTTGTGTCCTGTTCAGTACTTGGGAATTCACAGCATTACTGCACTCAACATGTTACGAACAGCGCGTATAGTAAAAAGAAGAGAATCCCCACGTACTTATATCAAGGCAAGCACATGGGCATGACAAGGCACTGCTCAATCGCGCTACGTGTGTACTCTGTACTCCGTACATGAAAGAAGAGTGGGGCTCTACCTAGACAGGTCCCCAGCAGCATTAATCGAACTGAGATATTGCCCCGCCTGGTCGTGAGAGCAGCTGAGTGTGCAAACCGACGTCGCCAGGAGGTGGTTAACGTTTCGTTGAGCATCACGAGCTGTGCTTCAACATTATCATACCAGTGACTCCAGACAATATCAGCGTCGCATATTGTGCACTTCGGAATTTGGTATCTGAACCATATCGGCCTCCTGGCTCCCATCGGCAAGGTTGTCCAGGTCTCAAAGAACGGGCTGGTCGCTCGCTACCTTGTAGCGGGGCTTCCTAGACAGCTGGCTCGTGTGCTCTGTACAGTACCTTGGGCCTTGGCTTTCCACCAGCCATTGCTGCTGCGACTACCGCTGACACCAGTCCATCCTGGAGTTCAGCATGAAATGAGGAGATAGTGTGTTCTCGGCCGTCACATAATTGCGACCTGGTCGCACAACTCCCACTCTCAACATGTTCTCTTCCTCAGGCAGTGGCAAGAAGCCACCCCAGCAAGTGAGTTTATGGTTTTCCCCTGAACACGTTGTGTTTGGTCGCTGCTAACACGAGTGGATGACGTAGGAAATGGTCCAAGTCGGTATGTCTTCCAAACGAATGCTCGATCCCATGTTACCAAATCTATACGTTCAATGTTGCGCATTGGTACAAAATGGTTCCCCTTGCTGATCACATCTTCGCCTGCTTATAGATCGGTCTGAGTGAGTAATACTTCTTTGTCGGCTGAAAGATGGTAGCGCTAAGATTGCGATCAGGTCGACCTCGCCTTTCTGGAAACTCCAGCGAGAGGCAACCCCCAAGAAGACAGGTCGCGAATCCAATTTAGTGGTTGGCGCGTCGTATTCTCACGCAGATATGCTCAAGTTTGACTCTCTGTAAGCTGCCATCCCATCAACGTACTTGGGCAAAGTGTTTGCAGCTCATTATTGTCCCCGGCAGCAATGTGTCTGGCTCATCCTCGCGACCCTCCTCTTCACGGCCCTCTTCGTCGCGACCACGCACACCCCCATCTTCGACTTCGCTCAAGGGCAGAAGCAGCGACGTCAGCTCTCCGCCTCTGCACAAGAAGGGTGGTGCTTCCTCTCCACCAATCAAGTCCTACATCAGTTTCTTGTCCAACACAAACCAAGACTGGACCGCAGACGATCCCGAGGGTGACGATATGTATGGTTACGATGACGATGACGGCGACGACTTTGGCCTACCGAGTTTGTCCAACATGAAAAGGAAGAATCGACGCATAGCAGCTGCACAGGGCAAGGCCACCGATCCAGGTGCCTCCTCTCCTGGCTTTGAGTCGTCGTTTGGGTTTCCCACGCGGCGTTACTCCAACAGTGCTGATATAGCAATTGAGAGGCCCATGCCGGCATACCCAATGCCCAAAAAGAGCGAGGGGAAGATATTGCGACCCCAATACAAGGATATACTCAAAGGTAGGGCTTGTCTTGCATGGGCGCAGTTGTTCACTCTGACGTAACTTATAGATCCGGCAAACGCTCTCCATTTGATCAACCACCCCGCAATCCCAGCCAATGCATCGCAGAAAGAGATTGATGCTCTCAACTCGCGGGTGACAAGAATAAACAAGTTCAAGAAGATTTTACAAGCCACCACCATATCCCTTCCCGACTTGCGGGCTTTGGCATGGGGAGGTGTTCCGGAGGAGGTCCGGGCCATGACATGGCAGCTGCTGTTGAGTTACTTGCCCACCAGCAGCGAGAGACGTGTCGCCACTTTGGAAAGAAAACGAAAAGAATACTTGGATGGAGTGAAGCAAGCATTCGAGCGTGGCGCCAGTGCGCCCGCAACAGGGGGTCGAGCTAGAGGCTTAGACGAAGCAATTTGGCATCAAATCAGTATCGATGTTCCTCGCACCAACCCCCACATTGAACTTTACGGATATGAAGCGACACAGCGATCATTGGAACGAATTCTTTACCTTTGGGCAATCCGGCACCCGGCAAGTGGCTACGTTCAGGGCATCAACGACCTGGTGACTCCTTTCTGGCAGGTCTTTCTTGGTACCTACATCACGGACTATAACATCGAGAGCGGCATGGATCCTGGGCAATTACCCAAACCGGTCCTTGATGCTGTAGAAGCTGATTCATTCTGGTGTCTGACGAAACTTTTAGACGGCATCCAAGATCATTATATCGTCGCGCAGCCCGGCATTCAACGACAGGTGGCTGCTCTACGTGATCTGACGGCAAGAATTGACGCCGATCTTGCAAAACATTTAGAGAATGAGCATGTCGAATTTATACAATTCAGCTTCAGATGGATGAATTGTCTGCTCATGAGAGAAATCAGTGTTCAGAATACGATCAGAATGTGGGATACATATTTGGTAAGTTCTTGGTCTCCTTTACCGCTGTGTAACAGTCCTAACTCTCGATAGGCCGAGGAACAGGGGTTCTCCGAATTTCATCTCTATGTGTGCGCAGCTTTCCTGGTTAAATGGTCAGCGAAACTTGTCAAGATGGACTTTCAGGAAATCATGATGTTCCTCCAGGCACTGCCAACGCGCGACTGGACTGAGAAGGACATTGAACTGCTGCTTAGCGAGGCCTATATATGGCAGAGCCTTTTCAAGAATTCTTCGGCGCATTTGCGAGGAGGACCAAGCCGGGCGCCTTCGGGAAGTCTGCAGCTATAACTTGGAGCCCCAACCATTGAACACAATCCCACTAAGTTGAATGGGCATATACGGAGCACATCGATCTACACAGTCCGGCAGCAACAACCCGTGCTTAGGAAGATTTCTGACGGGACTTCAATTTGGCATTTGGAAAGATGCTTTAACGAAAAGAAAGCCAAGTCAGCAAGATTTGTCTTGCCAGCCAACCCCCGAGTCGAGCCGCGACTCGGTCATACTCTATGATTTTGGTCAGCACATATCCTTGCAACGCAGTTTCGATACAGTGTCTGTATAAAGACAGTCAGGAGACTAAACAACCACATTCGGCCAGTCACTCTATGATGCTCATTTTGGGTGCTAGGATGGACAATAGCAGATTGCCGGCTTCTTTCGGTAAACACCAATATTGGGGTAAGGTGCCAACCCCGGACTGTGGTCCTTATCAATCAATATTGTCCAACCGGTCATGCAGTGCAGGCGCCCGCAATGCGACGCCAGGAACGCGGAGGTCGGAAGCGAACCCGGCCGGAGAAGCAGGACAATTGGAACGCCGGAAGCCGCTCGCAGTGGAGAGCACATTGAAAAGACGCCACCTGCCATCAGGAACGGCGGAATCCAGACCTCTGGCGGTTGCACAAATCGCAGACATCGAGATCCCGGTGTGGAGAAACGCTCGATTAGTGAGACGTCGGCAAGGCCGGCCGCACTGCGCCAAAGAAGAAAGAAAGAAAAAAATCAGAACATCCGTGAACAAGGGCCCCCACGAGCTGGGCTTGCCACCTAGCTAGAGACTCTAGATCAGTCACAATATAGAGGATCGATCCAATCCGATAAGGAGTGAAACAATATCATGACCATAACTGGGACCTAGAAGCGTGATCTAATCATTATGCGGCTACCGTCAGTTGGGGCAGGTGGAAAGGACCGCATATCCTCGGCTTACTCGCGAGTCCTGCCAATTCCGCTCCGAGCCAACCTCGTGGGGCCGCTTCGGCGCAAATTGGGAACTTATCTCTGTATACGCAGAAACGAGGTCCGGCAAACCAATACGGGGGGCCAATTTTTTTAATTTTTTTTTTTCGCGTACCCTGGCAAACAGTGCACCGGCTGGTCGGGTCTCTCGCTACCAAGCCGGAAACAAGACGTCGAGATATTCACCTCGCGTTGAACCAAAGGGCGCGAGAGCTGCGACTTCGGCGACATGTCCAGCGCGGGTTGGCCAATTGAGTTTTGGCCGTCAACGGCGGTGTGACGCCATTTGCGCAGCATTATACGGGCTGTTCCTGAATACCGACAGGCATCTTGCACACCATTACTGTAGGGCGTGGTGTAGGGCGCAAGTTTTTGTTTCTGGGCAACCCCCCATAATCAACGTGACATGTTTTGGTGGTCGATCAACCTTTATTACCCACGCCGAACCCCGTTGTGAACCCAAATGGCTGACCCACTTATACCCGGGACGCACGCACCTGACTTTTCCCTTCGGCCCTTGGGAACGGCGTAAACGTCCAAACGCCCGCTTGAAACCGAGAGATTGGTGCTTAGCGGGGGCAGTGTGTTCGTGCTGAGATCAGATCTAGTATGCAGCCCTTGGGCTTTTGACCCCAAGCCCCTTGTTGATAAGGCAATCAGCGGCCCAGGCAAGACGAGGAGGCATGGACACTGATCTGTTTATGATCCAAGAGTTGCCCAGCCAGCATTTCGAGGTTCACCCGCGTGCTCACATGACGATAAAGAATCTTGAGCTGCAGGCCTGGCTCATCACTGCCCGCCGGATGGGGTAGTCTCTTCCTTGGTGGTAACCAGCAACGCGGATCCGAGTGTTTTAGAATGTAGTAGTTTATTACGGAATAGAGAATGGGGTGGGCTTGCATGATGCCTGTCTGTAACCAGTCCACCTACATCCATTCGGTATTCAATTTTTACATGCCGTCGTCAATGGCTACATACATACATGCAGAACTGGGTTGAATATAGTGTACCTTGCCAGCTAGTGAACAGGTCACGCCTGGGGGTTATGCGAGACGGTGACATGGAACAGGCTCTAATATTTTCTTTTATCAATGGTATCAGAAGAATACCGGGTCTTCTAGCAGAGTCTCCGCCTAGTCGCTTCCTTGCTAGATCTTTGTCCGCCGCCGAGTCCCACCAATTCCGCACCTCATTGGCCAATGAGTCACTAGATTTTCTCCTTTGGACTTGCTTGATTTATACTTTGCACCCGGCTTCCTGTGTCACGCTTCCCTCACTCTTTTTTTGTCACATCAGTTCTTCTACATACTACGATCAAGGAGAAGATTTTTTTTTTTAATCCCTCTCCCTGTTTCGAGTTCCCAACTCGTGGCCGTTGCAACTTTAAAACCTAAAAACTCTCTTGTCTTAACTCTGATCACTGGAGGCAAGATCAAACTAAACTTTTCTGGAAAATTCCCTAGTCCTACGCCACACACGACTGCAAGCAACCAGCAGTAAACACAGAGATAGTTTCCCAGAACCTCACGTTCACGCTAACTATCCTACACAACCCTCAACATGGCGCCCGGGGCTATTTCCAATGTACAAAACAACGGCTCAGATGTCGACCTGACGGCAACTGCCATTGACCACAAGATGGAGGAGGCACAGGCCAATGGCTCGTCCAACGGCTCAAAGGTGGCCTACGAGGAGCTTGATGCCTCCAAGCTCACCTACTCCTTCACCAAGTCGCCGCTGCCGGTGCCCGAGGCCGGCGTCACCAGCAGCGGCAACAAGTCCATTTGCACAGACCACATGCTGGTTGCAAACTGGAATATGGAGACGGGCTGGTCGGCCCCGGAGATCAAGCCCTACGGTCCCTTTACGATCTCACCCACGGCCTCGGTGCTCCACTACGCTACCGAGTGCTTTGAGGGCATGAAGGCGTACCGTGGTTATGACGGCAAGCTGCGCCTGTTCCGCCCGGACTGCAACGCCGAGCGCCTGCTCATGTCGTCGGTGCGCATCTCGCTGCCGTCCTTCCCTCCCAGCGAGGTCGAGAAGCTGGTCAAGGCCTTCATGGCCGTCGACGGTCCCAAGTGGCTGCCCCGTGACCGCCCGGGCTCCTTCATCTACATCCGTCCCACGCTCATTGGCACACACTCGCAGCTCGGCGTCGCCGCCCCTGCCGAGGCCATGCTTTTCATCATTGCTTCCTACATGCCCCAGATGGACGCCCCGCCGGGAGGCATGCGTCTGCACACCTCGCCCGCCGACATGGTCCGCGCCTGGGCTGGCGGCTTTGGCTACGCCAAGGTCGGCGCCAACTACGGCCCTTCGCTGCTGGCCACTTCGGAGGCCAAGACGCGCGGCTTCCACCAGATCCTCTGGCTGTACGGCGAGGAAGGCCTCTGCACCGAGGCCGGCGCTAGCAACTTCTTCGTCCTCTGGAAGAACAAGGAGACGGGCCGGACCGAGCTCGTCACCGCCCCGCTGGGCGACAAGATCATTCTCGACGGTGTCACGCGCCGCAGTGTGCTCCAGCTTGTGCGTGAGCGCTGCGCCGATGAGATTGACGTTGTCGAGCGCAAGTACACCATTGATGAGGTGCTCGAGGCCGATGCCGAGGGACGCCTGGTTGAGAGTTTCGCATCGGGTACTGCTGTAAGTCTACTTAAGTCTTTTAATAGATCCCTTCTTTCAAAGTTTCAACTCGCTGACCATTGATATGAAAATAGTACTTTGTCTGCCCCATTTCTCTAATCCACCACCGAGGAAAGGACGTCAACTTCCCCATGGGCAAGAAGAATGAGGGTGGTGACTTGACCCTCAAGGTCAAGAACTGGCTCAAGGACATCATGTACGGACGTGAGGACCACCCGTGGGGTTACGTCGTCCCCGAGGAGCAGTAAACGAGCAAACACTCCGATTGGTCCAAAAGAGACCTGGAGCAAGTTTCTCAGTAAGAAGAAATTGGCCCGCCGCAGTCGATACCCTGCCGCGTTTGTTTTTATACTTTCTTCGCCACAAAATCTTGTGTTTTTCATATTGAGCTGGCGTTCCGGGAGCATTTGCTACAATTAGACGGGGCGGAGCTCAAAACTTTCTAGTTTTCTATGATGCGAGACCCCCATTTAAAAAGCTAAGGGGTAGTTGCGACGAGTCTGTTGCAGAGTAGCTAGATTTTTATATTGAATAAAAAATCGTAAAATTCAATCTTTGATGGTTAATATGAATGGACATTAAAAAGTCTATGCAAATCTTGTGCTCGTGTGGTTATGACATAGTGTCCCTAGACATTGCTGCGGTGCCATTCCATGTGAAAACTCCATATCCTCAAGGCCTGGGTAAACGTCCATCTATCCCAGAGTTCAACTGTTCTCTACACGAGCACATAGAACAGCATATCAAAGTGCCCCTCGACGATTATTCATCTCAACCAGCTACGGAAAATGTGGCTGCATTATAGATTGTGCAAGCTGACGAGTAACATTGCCAATCTGGTTGAGAAATTCCTGTCTTGTCGTTAGCTTCTAGATAATGGTATATCATTGAGGCCTACAACTTCAGTTCGGGCCTAGAAACGTACCTTTTCGTATTTGTCGTACTCGCCAATAGTGTTCTCGCCCATCTTGTCAAGTTCTTCTTCCAATTCAGCCATAGCAGCAGCGTGTTCCGAATCGAGGTCGCCGACGGGAGGGGCCACGGTCGTGCTGTCTGCTCCATCACGGGAGGCCAATATTTCTGCCTTGAGCAGCTTGATGTCGGTATGTGCCAGGTTCTACTCGGCCCATAGCTGTTCGAGCTCCTTTGCGGTTGTATTGGCCCGTCTCTCTGCATCGGCTATCATGTCGGATATGAGCACGTCCTTCTCGCGCCGAGTTCCATTTGGACTCGATACGGACAGCGTGGTCTTGACTTCCAGGACGGATTCGAGAATGCTGGCGTGTTTACTGGAAAACTTTTCCATAGCCAGCTGTCCGGCGTGGGTTTGCGAAAGGGCTTCTTCAGTGATGTGCTCGCTGGTGGCGTCAATCTTTGTCAATACTTCGGAGAATTTGGCCGTTTGGTATTTTCGATAACTGTCTGGAGTCTTGTCAGTCCAGCGCGGTGTGGAAAGAAATCTTTCAACGCGGACATGTTGGTAGACCTCCTGAAATAGCAATGTGCAAGTGTCGACATACCTTCAATGGCCAGCATCAGAGGGGGCTCTGGAGTGCTTGGTCGCGGAGGAGGATGCTGCGGCTGCTTCTGAGCTTGGCGATCGACAAACAGCCTCTTCCCCGGGATAGACACATTAGGTCTCTGATGTTGCGACTCGAATGGATTGAAGGATACATAGTTCTTGAGAGTACGGCGCTTGGGCGATTTTCCACGATCCTGGTCGTCTGTTACATCTGGATCAAAGCGCCGCTTGAAGGATCTTCCAGTGCGCAACTCGAGTGGTGACGGCGGCTCCGCGCCGCGGCGTAGAGAGGGCGACGGCGACGACATTGATGCGAAGGGATTTCGACCAAATACCAAGAATGCAGCGCTCAGTGAGTGTTTGGCATTGATGAAATCGACCACAGCATTGACAATTGTCATTCGATCCATGCACTTGAACACATGGACGGAAAAAGAGGAGACTTGAGCAATGAGTGCTGCAGAGATCAGTAACGCTGCCTTCTAAGTCCAAGCGAATGCTTGGAAGTCTTTTCCAGAGAGGAGGGGGGGGGATCGTGTCTGTCGCCCGCTTTCTGGACCTGAGGGTTGGGCTGGCACGATATCTGTCTTTACAAAGAGGAAGGCACGACTTGGGAGGAAAACTGAAGGGGAAGGCACGTAGTTGTCCACTCCTCGTCTGTTATTGGCAATCTACTGAGGTGCACATAAGCGGTCAAGACTTTCATGAAATAATTCACGGATTAGCAAGGTGTATGATGCATGACTTGAAAATGGGTATGTATAGATGTATGTTCATTCAAGTGTATACGTTTTCTATAGCATATGTCATGGAAGCACGTTTGAAAGGCTCAAGAAATGACTTGATTATTCAACGGAATTTTTGGAATATACAAAATTGATCATATCGTTGAGAATCGACTATGATCGTCTATCGTCTAGGGAAAACATTCTCTATATGCAGTATCATTTTGCTCCTCGCTAGTATGCATTTATTATGTCAGTCATTATGTCATGAGAACCACCAACAAACCGGCAACCCCCATGGCTAGTGACAGTATTCCAGTCGTCCTAGACGCATTGCTCGGGAGTTCTTTTTGCACCGTCGCTGTGGCCGTAGTTGCACTCAAGGTGCAGCTGGCTGTACCACAGGCGTACCCACTCGGGCAGCATCCAGCGACGGGGCCCGCAGCAGTGCCACACAAGTACCAGCCAGATGCGCAGGTGGATGTTGCTGTAGTGGTGGGCACATCAGACGCTGGCACGACAATCGTCGCACCGTTGGATGTGATTGTTGTGGACGAGATGGGAGGGCACGATGTGGTCACGCAGTCTCTACCGGTACGACAGCATCCCGAGCCGTATGTAGCCAGGCATGCATAAAATCCGGTCGGACAGTAGTCGGCAGATGTTGTTGTGATGGTGTTACTTTCGGAACCGCTGGTAGGACGCCAAGGGGGCAGCGCAGTCCCTGTAGTGGTCGATGTGGTATCCGTGTCTGTTGCAGAGGCAGTTGACGTCGAAACAATTGTACTTGAAGTCGATGTACTTGAAGTTGATGTGCTCTCTGTCGTTATTATACTCGGGCTGGTGGTGACCACCACCGTCGTGACCGCGGTTGAGTCTGAGAGCACCGTCGAGCTCGTCGTCGTCATGGTAATGACAGTTACCGTGCTCGCAATGCATCCGATCTGAGCACAGACGAACCCAGATATGCAACAGCCGCCTCCGACCTCTGCTGCACATGCCGTGCTGTCACTACCGCAAGGCCCTACAGTGCCGCCACATGTCTGGCCATCGGGACAGCAACCAACGTTGCCGGCATCTGGCTGATCTTCCACTTCAACACAGGTCTCGCCTGTCGCGCAGCAATAATTTGGCTGCCCAATGGACTCGCAACTCTCGGTATTCGTGGGGCACGAATAATCTCTTCCTTGTAATCGATGCAAAGCTTCTTTTGCCCGCCGCCACGACGGCCCGTTGTTTCTCAGCTCTAACGCATCAACCCCAACTGCATGCACACCAAATGGAGGCCTGTAGCCTATGATTGCGCTCGAGTTCACTGCAAGCAGCAGCTCTTCCTCGGGCGTCAAGAGTGCGCGCACCTGTTGCCGAGATTGCAAAGGTGCATATTCTGGGGCAAAGCCAAGGTGCTCTGGCATGATCTTCTCGCCCTCGTCCAGCGACATTTTTTTGATGGCCGTCGGCAGGAGTATTTGCTGGGCTTGTAGCTGCGTTGCGACCAACATCACCAGCGATGCCGGCAGACTCAACAGCGTCTGCGAGAGATGCATCTTTGTCAGGCCCGTTTGGGAATGCAGGTCGCTTTGGTTTCTAGAGGGAAGCGGCACAGAAATCGAGCAAACTCGGGTGCATCAGCTTGTGCAACAAGCTGTGCTTGGAATTGTTCGTTCGGTTCGTCGCCAATCCCGTGAATTGCCAGGTCGAGTATCGTGTGGATAGCAATCGCACCCGTTGAAGCCTAATAGCGGCTATAGCAGCAATCAGCCAGGTAATCGGTTCAAGTGTATAAGGCGGTTCAAAGTATATGCAAGAAGGGAAAAGAAGGTTCGGTGACAGTTGAGCTTGTTTTGCAATGTGTCTGTCGTCTGCTCAAGAAGAAATGTCTGACAAGAACAAAGTTTCCTGTTGTTGCGCAACGTGCAGAAGCTGGGCGGTTTTGAGCAGGTGGATTGAAGCTTGTAATTGAGTGGCTGGGGGGCATCCTGAGCTCTGCCGACGTCAGCTATGCCAACACCCAGAGCTCCGGCGCCTACCTTAAGTAATGGGACCACCAGCTGAACGATAACAAGCATCATGAAACATCCCATCTCCTCTCTCCAGAGTTGCTTTGAAAGTCATGAGTTATAAATTCAGTGTGTTCTGAGATGGCAAAATCAGAATTCTGGCACTGCGCATCTAGAGACTCGACAGTGACGCACAAGTCTATAGTAGTACAAGTGAGACAAACGCGGGTGGCTTGCAGGGGTTTCAGAAGCTACCCAGGTACTTGTCTAAGGCATAGCTTCAGCGCCCTGGATTCATGAGCCCTTTTGTCTCTCAGCAATTGCTGTATTCATTATAATAGTAACAGAATGCACACTTAGCAGCAGGAAATAAACCAATCGCCAATAGCCATATTTCTTGAATAGGCAGTTAGCAATGAGCGTCGGTCGGATTATACCACGAGGACCTTGCCCGCCAAAACCATGCCACGCTCAGTGGGGTCTACAGCTTGCATATACATACATAACACCCAACCCAACATACATGAGTAGTACACAATTGAAAGGATCCATAGTTTGAAACTGTTGATGCACAAATACAAAATTAAAGCTGCACAAGATCGTCATAATTACGATCCCCCGCAACGCAATGAGCTCTATCTGTTGGTGGTTGGGTGCGTGTAGGTATGTAAATCTAAGTACATCTTCTCTCACAGCAGCACAGGCAAGGGATTCATTTCGCTAAGGGCGGACAATTGTTAGACAATTTCAATTCCACAAGCACCACAAACTGCTTCTTGCAAATGGTCAACTTCTTCCGGCGCAGTACTCAAATGCACACAGCCTTTTGCTAGCCCATTTTCAATCGCCTCGCCAATATATCTCCGTTGCTGTATAAGAGGTAGCAGGCATGGTGAGTCTTTTCAATTGAATCCACTCTGGTTTCACTTGACCTACCAAACATTGTGCCCGTGGCTGATCATACTGCAGGCTACCTCTCCCCTTGTGCTTGTCCCGACGTTTGTCGGTCTCAGCTTATTAGGTGCTTATGCAGGACCGGTGACCTTGGGCTTGAATGGCTTTGGGGATGCCAACTGGATCTACATTCTCACACCCGCCGACCCGGCGCAAGTCGGACTCCCAGGAGCCCCGAAACCTTTTACCAAGGACTATACCGGTGTTGAGGCTGTAGACGGCATACTCGCTGCACTAGTTGTTTACTTTTCCGCCCTCATTGATGGTGATATTGAGCCACGGTTCAAGCTCTATGGATACTGTGCTTTTTGGCAGTTGGGCGCGTTGGTGGTGATACTCGTACTCGAGGGATTGAGGGGAGGAAATCGTGGAAGGATCGCTAGCTGGTAAGCTTGTCCCCCTCCCCCATTGTGCTGTACTTGGAGATGATCCCGTTGAAAAACGTAAATCTGACAGTCAGAGAATAGGACGCACACGTTGCTGTTTATAGGCCAGCTAGTCTCGTGGCAAGCCATCATGCCTCTGTGGGTTCTCTTGTTTCTGCTCACCTCGCCGCTTGCCAAGAGCACTTCGCCCGCACACAAGTCGAGCCTACTAGTCGACTTGTGGGATATTACAGTGATGCCCCTATCGGTGTTCCTTACCATCATGCTTCCCACCATCGCCATGTATCTTGATCCGTCTACCGTCAGTGCCAAGGATCATTATACAGCTCTGGCATTCTGGCAGCTGTTCCCGATATGGCATTACCTCGCGCATACGATTTTGTCAACAGTTGGACGCACCTTGGTCGGCCCGGTCGATGGCACCACGCAAGGCGTCGTTACACACTCGGCATATCTATCGCGTGTTCGGGGCTTGTACGATCTCGTCTTTTTGGGGGGTGTTATGGGCCAGCTACCGGTTCTCCTGCTAGCCCTTGCTCCCGACAATGTTCTCTCCTCAGCCGCGGAATCCTTTCCGTGGATGAAGCCGTACGTCACCGCGGGCGTAACGTTGAGTTCGGTATATGTCCCATTGTCGCCATTCAATTATCCCACCGTGGACGCCAAGTCGATCGGCTCTGGAGATTTGGCGCCCCTGGCTGTGCATTTCCTACATTGGGACTTGTACATTGGAGCTGGATCGTTATGCTTGTGGGCGCTGTATGTGCACCGCACGACCGTCAAGAAGACCAGCCTTGCTGTTCTCCTCGCAAAGACAGCGCTGTGGTTCTCCTTGGGTGGCTTTGCCAGCGCTGTCGCCGCGTTGCTTTGGGAGCGTGATGTACAAGTCCTAGAGAGCGACTATGATATCAAGAAGGCTTGAATTCTAGCTAAGCACATATTCTTTCTCCACGTATTTGACTAGACAAGATCAAAACCGCATACCCATGTACACTTGACATTGAAGACTATTGTTATATTGATACTCAGGTGATCATAATTAGTGATTCTAATGGTTGCCATGACATATATCTTCAATTTTCACCACTATCCGGTGACGGTATCGCCAGAATCCCTTCCTGAATCGACCCCCGCATCATGCACGCTGCCACTGAGCGAAACTTCAACGTTTGTTGTCCTATCCGCATACAATGATGCTTAACAGTGCTGCAAGCTGCAGGGATAAAGGTTTTTCATGACATGCAACGCAACAGCAGGGGTAAATGATGTTTAAAAGTATATCAATTATGTTCGTGTCCACCTTTTCCACGTGGGACTACACAAGGAAGCCCACATGGAATCATTATTAATTACAGCAACATGCGCGTTGTTTTGCGCTATCCCTTTGTTTGTCCCATGATGACATGCCCTAAGATCAAAACTCCTAGGTAAGGATCGTGGCATATACACTGATTGGCAACAACAGCCAAATCCACAAATAGGGAAAGTCCATTGTGTTACCCACTGAATCGCTCTATAGAAGGATTGCAAGTCCAGCAGCGGCGAAAATTAGCATAGTTCCTGGGCCGTACGTCTCGGCGCCACCAGCCGTGATGGCTGCCGTAGCGGAAGCGCCATAGGCGCTCTTTGTCGAGACTGCAACGGTGGGTGTTGCGGCACTGGCGCTGTAGTTTCCGCCGGCAGCCGCAGAAGTCGCCGTGACGAGCGTCGACTCGCCGCCGGCCGTGGCACCGTATGTCTCTCCAGCCGTTTCGGCGGCCGACTGTCCGGCAGAGTATCCGGCAGACTCTCCAGCTGATGCTCCGGCTGAGGCTCCGGCAGAGGCGCCAGCAGATGCGCCAGCAGATTCCCCGGCCGACGCGGCAGCCGACTCTCCTGCGGATGCGCCAGCCGACTCGCCTGCAGACGCACCGGCGGATTCCCCAGCAGATTCGGCAGGCGACGTTGCCGTGTAGGTAGTCGAACCAGTCGGTGCCTGAATCTGACCGTCGCTGAGCTGGGAGACGAGGCTGGCAGTCTCGGTAGCTGAGCCGCCGCTGCCGCCGCCGCCACCGTTCTCAGTGGTGGCAGATGCGCCATTGTCCTCGGATGTGCTGTAACCGAAACCAGTGACCGACACAGAGTCAGAGCCCGAATCCTCAGACGATGCGCTGGCAGAGTAATCCGAGCCAGTCTCTGAAGCTGAACCTGTGTCCTCCGAGGACTCTGCCGTGGTCGTTGCTGTGGCGGTACATCCCTGGTCGGTTCCAAGTGTGCGATAGGTGCCTCCTGGTAAGCTCACAACACACTATCCCGAAATCTCAGCTATGGAAATTCCCCCATTGTCTAGACTGTATGGGCCACTTACGTTTGAGAATGCAGCCGAATTTGACCCGTATAGCGATTGATAGTAACTGTATTCTGACTGCGCCATCACGGCGGTGAGGAAGGTAAGGGGGATGATGACCTTCATTTTGTCTAACAGATTATAGTCTCTCCTGTTCAAAATATGATGAGGTATGCTGTTCGTTTCTTCGTGGTTCAATGAAAGATGGAATATTGAGTACGTATGGATGAATGAATTCTCGTCAATAGGCCTACAGATTGAACAGACAGAATACCAAGAAATATTGGATGATGAAGTCCTTATAACACAAGCCGGAGATTGAGAGGCGGGAGGTCTAGCGCTATAGTTGTCTTACAACCCAACCGAACCTTGAAAAACGAGGGGCTTACGCGGTCAAAGAATCCCTCGCCTCCCCAACACGACCCAAAGACGTCGACGCTCAAAACGAACGCGCGGTTGTGGGAATAAAGAGAGACGTTAGCAATGAGACGTTGGTCAGAAACTAGGCAAAAACGTCGAGGGACCGGTAAGCCACCGCATGTCTCTAGAAGTCATGGCTGGTCTTGGCTGCCTTCTCTTCCATTGTCTCTGTTCCTCTGCCTGTCCATTTCATCAAAGTGCAATCACTTGAGCCTTCCATGCATAAGATCTGTCCGGAGGTTTCCTAGCCACAGCTGTTAGATCCTAACCGCCGGTACCCGTGGGGATTTTTCTACGTGTTCACCACGGATTTCACTGCCGTGTCTCGGTGCTTGCCGGAGTCGCCTCCCAGATGATGGCAAGTGAATGTGTGCTTGCGAGCGGTGGCGATCATGGGCATCAGCCAAAGATGAAAACCGGGTGGCTCAACGTTTCTCACAAACAAGGTAGGCAAGGTAGGTAGGGTAGTCCTGTGGCTCGGGAAGTTCCTTGTCCTGCCGCGAAATGTATTGATCGAGGTCGGGGGGTGCGGTGTGTAAGCAAATGCTGGTTGGACAGCGCGGGACAAATAAGGTTATGGAATGTCAGGGACTACCGGGACTTTAAGGTTATAGCCCTTTGAGGTTGATTTATACTTGCACGTACTCCAGCTTTTCCAGACAAGGGGGGAGGTCTCTGCACGACGCGCACAGCGCAGCCGCGTTGCCGCTCTCTTTCTTCCCAAGCAGCTGTGCAAAAAATGCTGAGCTATACTTCCAGCCTCAAACACGCGCGGCACAGCGCAACCTGGTCGTCTCATTGATGCGGAGATTATGTCTCGTACGCGGCAACAGAACGGGGGGTTTCCTATAAATAATCTACCGTGTCGCCCAACCTTCAATGATCATGGGCCATTGAGCAAGCTAGAGAGAGCACCGAGAGCACCATTTGGGGATGGGGTGATTCCAGGTCCTTAGCTTCCGGACGTTTCGTCACGCCTGAGCTCAGAATATTTGAGTCTACGAGAAATAATTTCACGAGCGGTGCTGCCGATCTGATATCAACACGGGCTGGAGTGCTTAATGTTTTGTTCGTCAAAACGCCAGAGGATCTGGGACGCAAGCCGGTCTTGGAATAGTACAGAGCAAATGCAATTTCGTATCATAGGTCTCATGCCTCTAGTCAGTCACATGCAATCACGATATACGATTTCGTTCTTCTCGAGAAGAAATCGTCATTGCAACATCCACTATGTTATTTGGCTTTTTATAAATGACCAAATCCGATTGATTCAACGACAGTATGCCAATAATTTTTATGTAACAGTTTCGAATTAATCTTTGAACCCCGAATTTGCTCCTGCTACTATTTTTAATACTAGACGTCATTTTCTCCCACGAGTCAAGATTCCGGTAGAGTAGAATAAACAACACTACGCGCTTTGTTGTTAACACGAGTCAACATCTGGGGATATAGTTTTCCAAACACAGCTACCAGTCCAAGTACTAGAGCTCGTATGAACTCAATCGCAATCTAATCCTGTGTCCCATGAGTTAGTGACGGAGCACAGAATGGTTGGAATGATATATAATGGAATGACCGCAATCAATCACAAGAGACGTTTGGGTGTACAGGAGTCGATCCAGAGGGCCTCTTTCAATTCCGGATTGTTCGGATATTGCGTACAATTTTCTCGATAACGGCAGAGAACAAACTTTTGCTTCAGGCGAGCTGAAAAATGGAAGTGCGTGAGGCTGCAAGGGCTGAACCGCCTCACATCCAGCGGTCCCTATGGTTGGCACAATGTGTCGGACAGCAGCAAGGGGAAAGGTATTGACACAGTAGAAGTATGGTCTGCATCATCAAGCCTCGTTACCGTTGTGATCTGTTTCCCGGTCCCGGAATTTCACAACGCAGCACGGCAACTGTAGCTGACTTATTTTCAAGTCTGTTGTATTGAGTACCTGGTTGCTGCAGCTACAAAGTACTGATGCTGTCTGTTTGGTAAACAACAGGCTTCTGAATCAACCAGCTGAAAATCATCTTGGTAATCTTTCCAACGTTTTCTTGCAATCATGCTTCAGCCGTGAGTCTGAATCATTCTCGACGGGCATCTCACAAGTATGACAATAGTATCTCAAAATCGAACGCCACTCCGGATACATGAACCCTTTGGCATTGCGTAGTGTACTTGTCTCTGGTATGTGGACTGCTAAATATCCCAAGACAATACTGACAGACTAGAATTTCCATGCAAGTTCTTGAATCTGACACAACTACTTAATCATCTCAAATCATTCCAGATCCATGGGGGGTAAGACCTGTTGTCAACACGTGAATCGTTCTCATTCAATGGCTATTTTCAACAACTATCAAATAAAAAACGTGTTGCTCAATACCACACACAGCATGCATGAACTGGCTTCATGCCAATCCGTTTTTACGGTTACCTACCTAGCAAGGCATGATATACTCCTGTTTTCTCGCTACTGGTATCTCAAGACTGGCTCGGACGATTTCCATCCTCAAATTGTTTGTAATTTGGCAGCAGTATGTCTCCGTGCTGACGATTCTCACAAGCCCAGTCATTTGAATCAGACAATGTGCAACCGAAATATGTACGAGTACTTTACCATTGCCGTGGGCGATGATGAGTCGCTGTTCATCATGGCTGCCAGCATGATGAGGTCTGCGTGGTCCCACGTCCTTTTTGCGCCAGCTCGCATACCCGAGACCTTCCATGAACCAGATTCCATATTCGAGAGAGATCGAATAATGACTAGATGCATAATAATTTCAAGCTTACCCAAGGAATCCTCCTCACTGCAAATACCCATCCAGTTATTACCTAGGTATATAGAAATCATGGGGAAATGTTATCGAACCTGAAGTTGGCGTGGGGTTTTCAGCTCGACGTATCGGGGATAGTGGAACTCCAACCCGGGACCTTCTTACACCGCATTAGGCATGAGAAAGGTCGCCATGGGAAGCTCGGAGCTCCAACAAAAAATTGGCCGTCAAACACGCATCGGGATGGGAGCAGCCCCTGAGATGCTGTGCGCACTAGAACCTGCCGAGGTCTGGTGTCGATCTCCGCACCGGTCCGCATGGCATGGCTGGGCACAATACCGGCACAAGCTTGGGAGAACCTCATCCAGACTTATAGTAGGTGCTCGCTGCTGAACAATTGGGCTTCTGTACAGCTGTCATAATCATCTTTTTTTTGCATTGGAGAAGGAGTTGAGAAGCTTGGCAAAGTCACAATACGCTTTAACATTAGTTTATCGTGCAATCACGCGCCTGTACGGAGATTACAACACTCAGAATGGCAACTCCAGATCTACCCATTGTACTCTTTCACTACGTGGGCTCGCCTTATGCGCGACGCCTTGTCTGGTATCTTGCTCTACGACAGATCCCATACACGGAATGCGTAAGTCTTGCCTGCTCCTAGTCTAGAGCTATCTTCTAAATTCACCTTCTGCTAGATGCAACCTCCAATGCTCCCAAGACCAGATTTGGCAGCCCTGGGTATTGCCTGTAGGTGTATCATGCGTCCGGGCTAGATATAAGATTGGCTGTGGTTAAAAGCCAGAATGTCATTGTTTTCTGAAATCGCTGACATATTTCTTCTTGAATCAATAGATCGGCGCATCCCCTTGATGAGCATCGGGAGGGACGTATACGCAGACACGCGCATCATCTTGTCCAAGTTGGAGGAGCTCTACCCGACTTCGGACGCACACCCAGCCATCTCGGCCTCGACAGCCGAGGGGCGGGCCATTGAGCAGCTGATCTCGCGTGCCTGGACCGACGGGGGTATCTTCACGGCGGCGGCGGGCTCCATGCCGAGCAACGCCCCGCTTCTCAAGGACCCCAAGTTCGCATCGGACCGGGCAGATCTGGTCGGACTACCCGACGGGGCGCCGTCGCCGTTTACGCGCGAGGCTCTCGAGGCCCGCCGCCCAGACTCCCTCAGCATGGTCCGCGATGGCATCGAGCTGCTCGAGACCACGCTGCTGGCCGACGGGCGCGACTGGGTCCTGGGCTCTGCGGGCCCCAGCCTCGCCGATATCGAGGCCGTCTTCCCGTTCATCTGGCTTGCGGGTCTCCCCGGAGCGCTGCCCGCCGACGTAATCGGCCCTTCCCGGTACCCCAAGGTCTTTGCCTGGATCGACCGGTTCGGCAAGGTCACGGCGGCCAAGGGCGCCGCCGGGAAGCCCAAGGCAGTCACGGGCGACGAGGCGGCCAAGATCATCACCGGGTCTGGGTTTGCGGAAAGCGATGAGACTGTGGATGAGAGCGAGGTGGTTGTCCAGGCGCAGGGCCTCAAGGCGGGCGACGATGTGCGGGTGTGGCCGTCAGACTATGGCTCTAAGCACAAGGACGCGGGGAAGCTGGTCGCCATTACCAGCAAGCAGATTGTTATTGAGACACAGGGTCCGGCTGGTAAAGTGAGGCTTCACGCTCCCCGCCATGGATTCAAGATTGCCAAGGCAGTCCAGGGCAAGTTGTGATAATGCAAATATAGTGTGGCGTAGTTCTGTGTAGTAGTAGCTTACATAAAAAGGTCTATGCCAACCAAAACGGCAACCGGAGCTGAAGTTATAAGTTAGGTACCCTTTCTAGAACTCTTGCCGTGATGCACCTGAAATGTATCGGTCGATAGTCTGGCTCAGCATGCATCTTGACCAAAGGGTGTCATGTATGTGATTGGGCTGCATTCACCGCAATATAATTTGTACCAATTACCCCGGTCTCTGTCGCGGAGGAATTATACTCCAAACAGAGCATAACGACCTCGATGTACGAGTTGGCAGACCATTTTGAAATCGTAGAGCCCTGAATGGAATGTGCGAATGTAGCACAGTACTTATGCTTGCAGCAATTCAGATCACGATATAATTGTATAAAGAGACATTGTACGGCGACCTCCATTGGCAAGGCCACACACACACACACACAAGCACACACATCCAACTTGGCTCAACTCGCTGACTGGCAGCAGCTGGTCTCCCAAAAGAAAAAGAAAAAAGAACAAAAGAGGAAAAATGAGAAGACTCGCCCTAGAGTGACGACGCGTTCTGATTGGTAAATCCAGACATGGTATTACAAAGCTAGTGGCAGCAAATATGCGGAGTAGCTGCCGGTTTGGGGCGCTCGTGGCCGGGCTCCTTACCCGACCGTGGTTGATGGGCTGATGACGACAGTCCACCCGTCGGCGTACCAGCGAGAAGAAATTTTGTCAAGGCGCCGCAGTACCGCCAGACTCCTAGTTGGGACGCGCAGCCCTTTCGGATTGGGATGGTTTCTCTAGTGTAAACATATCTTTTTTGTGAAAAGTTAATAGACCAAATTCATCAAGAGTTGAAATGAAATCCGTGGCCGTGATGGCCCCATTTCGTGTTTCTGGTCGCATGGCTTGCTGATGGGGGAGGTGGGAAGTGAGAAAAAAAAAGAAAAGCAGAGGCGCATCCAACTTGGACGAATCGATGCAAGTGGGAAAGCAATTTCAGCGGGGAATGAACATGCAGGCCATGCGTCATAGGCTTGTGCATAAGGTAGCCATTTTCGCGTCGCGGTGCCGTCTTGGCATATTCCCTCCCTTCCTATCGCTGAGAATCAAGTTAGAGCCACTCCAAATCAGTTTGGCCCAGACGTTCTAGTGCTGTTCCGTTTGGCATACTCATGCTGGAGTCTCAGGGGAAGTGACTTTTGCTGGAAATAGTACTCTCTGTACCCAGCGTCCATCGTGATGGATATCACAGAGCAAGGCACCGGATATGTCTCCGGCTTTGCTTCTCCGCTGCTGCTGCTGCTCTCTCTGATTTTTCCTTTTATTTTTGTGGTTCAACGCTATGCAGGGTTGTTTTTTGTTTTCTTTTTCTGTTCATTTCTTTCTTTTTCTCCTAGGTGCCTCTAGGTGCCAAGAGCAGGTACCTGCGTGCTGCTACCATCTCAGCGCAAATATTGCGAGAGCTGAAGGTATACAGTCTTGACGCCAACCCGCGTACTGTAGGGTGACTTTGACGCGATCGAAGACAAAGAATGACGTAACTCCGTCGATATTATGCCCGGACCCCCCTTGGCGAGGAAAATTTCTGGCTCATAGGAAAAGTGTGATGTGATTGGTGTGCCGATGGGCCAGAGTCAAATCTAGAACAACTGCAATGCTGTCCAGAGGAAATGATTATCGCCGAGCGGCCTGATGAAAAATCCTCCTCGTAGAAAATGGTGAGATTAGTAGGCAGGGTTCCACCAATTGCTGGACGTTCGCCATGACTGCTACAATCTGTTGTTGTTCAATGTTGGTGCCTTGAGCGCCTTTGACAACGTGTGTGTGTGAGCGAGCCAGTTTTATCTGCTGGAAATAAAAATGAAAAGAAAAAAGAGCAGGTTGCATCAAGAAAACACCGTCCAAATTCAGAACTTGAGAAGCTTCAGGTTTTCCATTTAGTGCACGAGTTTCTGCACTCGAAAGTCTTTTGCCACGCCCGATTCCACGTTGGCTCACAGAGTCACTCGAGCATAATTACCGAATCGCTACTAGTGGCAGGTTAGATCAGTGGCGCCATCCTGTATGGAGAAAAACCAAGAAAGAAAAACAAAAGATTAATCCCCACAGGGCTCTCGCCTAACACTCTGCTGGAATGGTAGCACACGTAACGATACGTTATCGTGGGTTGCGTGGTATGAACGGGCAGGTGTGGTGTTCATTACGGATCGTGAGGATCCAGTACTGATGGGGATAGGCCATGCCTACATAGTATAGCATTTGCCAAATAGTTTGTCTGGACTCTAATAGGGTAGTGCAACTTATAATATACTACTATATTTAATGCGCCAAAGGGATCTAGCTTTGCTTGGTTGGTCGCAGCAGATGCCGTTTACATATCCAGCAAGCATATTGTGATGAATAGTGTAAGCAGTAGACTGAGAACACCCATTCTGTATTTCTAAGCAGCCCGCCCAGTAGGCGTCTTCCGCCCTTTGATGGATCTGATGATCTCACTGCTATGCCTAGATCTTCTGGAGACCGGAAGCATGGCACACTCGTTTCGTCCAAAGTCGAAACAACCAGTCCAACTTGAATAAAGCGGAGGAGAAGAGCATTTGCCCCATAATCCAGTGATGCTCAAGACGAAGCGTGAGTATTTCCAAGGTCAAGTGAAGGCTTTTAGTACATGTCTACCCCATACTTGTTCATATATTCGCAGTCCTCGGGCCGTCACTAGTCACTGCGCATCGGCGATAGTCCTATAGTGTGCCAGCCAATACGAGACGTAGGTACTTAGGCCAAAGAGCATATCTCGATCGACTACAGCACGCATCGGAAAGACGTGCGGTAGCTGAGCACTTATGTTGGTAGGCAGAGGAGCCAAGGACACACCTAGTTTGATGCAATTAAGCCGCCGCCAGCTCGAATGAATCGCTCGTCGTCTGGGTACCTTCATAGACGACAGCCTTTGCTATAGATGATTAAAAGATATTTCCCCTGGATGACAAAAACATAGGGCCATCGCGGATCATTGATTAGACAAGCAGAAAAGCCTCGTCGATCTGGCATGACACCGTTGCATTTCAAAGCACAGCCTATCGGTGGGATGGAGAGAGAGAGTGTGTGTATGTTTGTGTGTGTATCAGCAATCCATCTGCCTTCCATTCGCATCCTACACCACGCCTCTGCTGCGCAAGACAAATGTTGAATGGAGAGAAATAAATAGTAGCAGCCGATAGACAAAGGGCTCCATCTGGTCACACTGTGCAGATACTCGCATCCAAACTTCGATCCCCGTAGCATCCACCATTGGCTCCAGGGGGTGGCCCCCCTAGTGGTCCGCGCTTGCTGTCTTGGGGGCAAGACGGGCCACCTTCGGCTCCAAGCATTTCGAAGTTTCGGGGGCTTTTACGTCTGCTGTGCCTGCCCTTCTGCCAGAATTCCACCCCTTATGTCACTTCTTCCCTCATGACCTCATCGTCTCTGGCACCTCACCTTCACAACCTCTCAACCCAGGCAAACACTGGCACCACGCATCGAAGCACCCCGACGAAACGCAACCAAGCATCAGCAAAGCAGCACAGCGCAGCCCGGCCAACAACAAGCGCTTCCCATGGGACCGACCGACCTCGTCACTTTTGTTGATTGACTGATTCAACCCAAGCGCGACTCGCACTGATAACCAGTCTAAGAGACCACGCAGTGCTTTTCCTCTCTTTGTCCTTCGCCAGTTTGGCTGTGTGTAATACCCTGCCTGTCCGCCCGCTGCCAGCGCAGAGGTGGTTTGCCTTTTGACTCAGGTGCAGACTGCCTCCCAAAGTAATAAAGTACCCAACCTACATCACCAGGCGTTGTTACATCATATTTCCTTTCCACCCCCCGACACGGCACTCGACTCAAAATACAAGTCAACACCCACAGATCTCCAAAACGTCGTCATCATGGCACCGCCCGAGTCCAAGCCATCAGACAACCCGCCGCCAGGTAAGTTCATTGTCGTGTCTATACACCAGCTTCTCCAGCTTCGCCCTGTACCACCTTTCTTTGTCGCATTGCATCACTCGTCGGTACTGGTCTTATCTTCATACCATTGTTGCGCGTAGTCTTGACTTGTGATATCGTCATTTCCTTGTGATCCGCGCCCAACACAATTGTCGCCTTGGCTGTTTCCTTGCGGTGGGCTTATCGTCGCTAACATTGGCATCTCTTGCGCATTAGTGACCAACGGCGACAAGAAGGTCACAGTACCCAAAGTCGAGAACCCCAGTAATGCCGAGCCAGGTCAACCTTTGGCACCTCCACCCAAGCCTGGCGAGAGCGGTGACGACTACTTCTCCAGCAAGTTAAGCCTCGAGCCCAATCCATTCGAGGAGTCCTTCAGTGGTGGAGCAGTCGTCGAAACACCAGGCGGAACAAAGTTGCCCAGCGTGGCGGCCTTAACATCACCTTCGTCCCTGTTGCCAGGGAACGGCAACACTCCGTTCAACTGGGGTGGCGGGTCTCTTAGGACCGGACCTCTCAGCCCAGCGATGCTTTCGGGGCCGGCAGCTGATTATTTTGGCGACACATCACACTCACTGCGCGGCGGATTCACGCCGAATGAAAGCTCTCTCAGGACGGGACTGACTCCCGGCGGTAGCGGTTCCATGTTCCCTGCCGCCAGCCCCAACTCTGCAGCACTTTTCAACCAGCTGGCAAGCGGCACCGCGACCCCTGGAACACTCGACTTTCAGCGCACTGCTCTCAACGCCGCCAAGGCACGCAACGCCGTGACTCAGCCGCCAACCACTTCTCAGCCTCAAGACACAGCTTCCAACGGCGTTGCTGTGAAGACCGAGTCCAAGCCCGTCCCTGGCGCATTTGACCCCCACGATAACGACGCGGCGAATGGGCTGTTTATGTTGGCCCAGGGTGCTCAGCAAAGAAACGGGGCCGCTCCAGCAAACCAGCAATATCCCGTCGGTGGAAACCAGCCTGTGCACGCGCACCCGCATCCGGCACCGGTTGCACCGACAAATACGTCACCTCAGATGAATGGAAACGGTTCTTCGGTGGGTGCAACATCAATACGTGGAGTAAGCGAGGCTGCTAGTGGTGCATCGGAAGAAATGGAACAAAATCGCACCACGGCCCGCGGTAAGAAGCGTGGTTCAGGTGCGGGCACGACGAATGGCCGAAGAAAGGCGGACGAACCACCTTCAAAACAACCTGCAAATAAAAAGGCCAAGACAGCAGCGGTACCCGCTCCTCCATCACACGATGGTGAGGAAGAGCACACATCTGAAGAAGATGGTGGCGACCACGACGATGACGATGACTCGAAACCAAAGTCCAAAATGACCGACGAAGAGAAGCGCAAGAACTTCTTGGAGCGGAATCGGTATGTGCCAATAACTATGCTAGAACCATTTTTCGTGTATAATGTTTACATGACTAACTTTGTTTACTAGTGTCGCCGCGTTGAAGTGTCGTCAGCGAAAGAAGCAGTGGCTTGCTAACCTCCAAAACAAGGTGGAGATATTTAGCAGCGAAAATGACGCTCTGACGGCCCAAATTTCGCAGTTGAGAGAGGAGGTTGTCAACCTCAAGACGCTCCTGTTGGCACACAAGGACTGTCCTGTGACACAACAACAAGGATTGCATGGTGCATTTATGCAACAAGCCATGGAGACTTACAACCCTCAAATGAATCCATATGGAATGGCTGCTCCACCCATGGCTAGCAACCAGCCCGTAATGGCCGGACAGCCAAGACGTTACTCGTAGGACGCTGACATCGGCACACCGAGCCAAGATATCAACCCCGATGTCTGAAAAAGACGGACTTTATTATATTATTGCATATGTGTGGACCACGGAGGCAAGCCAAGATGTCGATGAGCAGTTTGCAACATTCAACCCATCTGATTTACGGCCAGGCCGGGGAAGCGACATTTTCAATTTGCCAGGCAAGCAATTTCACAAATACTACCATGATGAGGCTGTTCTCCCGTGGTCTGTAATAACATTTCTCAATCGAACGAGGACGACTGGATGGCGTTTGGTACTTTTCAAGCACTACACGGCGCTTGAATGAAAGGCAAAGATACATTGAGCAGCATTCAGCAAGTGCGAGAGTGGCTAATGTTTCTTGCAAGTAGCAGCCTGGGCATATACTTCAAAAGGGTGTTCACGGGGTGGTGGCTACAATGGACTTGGTTTGCGGCGTGAAAGGAGTTTGGGAAGACACGACATTGCGTCATGGTTGTCTGCATTTGCGAAATCGCGTAGCTTTTAGCTTTTAGCTTTAGTATTGAACACGGCATGAGGACCCAGCGAAAGCAACAATGGCTGTGGCACTGCCATATTTTCCCCCAATATACGTCTTCCATGAATTAGATGAGTAATGTCTGCAAAGTGCTTTTCTGTCGTTGACAACTATCGAGTGCGATCAACCATGATGAATATCTGCCAACACAGGTGTATATCATGCCGTGTCGAAAAGAGTGAATAACGAACGTGTCTAATGCCGGTTCTACCAAGTCTAGTGTTGATTTACATCATGGTAGTATTCTTCATTAGTACCTACTCTATGAAATCGTAAGGGCCCAGCACGAGTAATTGAGAAATGAAACAAAAGAATGAGAGAGAACTGTGGTCAACATGTCTTGGGTGTGTTCACCAAAGACAATTGGGTCAGGTAAGGAGCAGTACAGACACGATATAAATGTTACAGAATTGCTATGTTGTATTGGGGAATTTCTAGTGTGGTACAATATTCATTTGACCATTTCTTTCAATTAGGTGAAATTCGAAATTACAAAAAAAGAAATGCAACTTGAGGGCAGCAGAGAAGAAGCAATATTACAGTTGAAAAAGGTGAATATTATAGACATGCATGCAAGATTTGTAGATCCCTAATGCTTGTATGAAATGACGATGCCACTTTTGGGCGCGTACCCAAGGTTTTGTGGTCCGTGCGTGTTGGAGTTGTACTTTGTTTATCCTAGGAAGCGCACCTGCCAATCGCGCCTCGTGGAACCGCAAGTGCGCCTCAAACACTCAAAGCAGCCAGCAGCCCGCCCGATTTGACGATCAGCCCTTTTGCCGCCCATTTGCTCTGCCGAACGCACCCACTGACAGCATCAATATCGAGCGACACCCGCGCATATGGGTTTTGGACAGGCTTTGCATCTGGCCGGGTCGAGAGCATACAATTGACGCGACCGCCGCCGCCGCCGCCGCCGCCGGGACTATCCACGCGCGTTGCCCGCTGGGGGAGCAGAGCACGAGGGGCCACGACAGAACCAACCCCCATCCCGACAACTCGAGTCGCATTATCCATCTACAGTATTTGGATTCATGTCAAATCTCATCAGCCATCCATGACGACTCTCGTACAGACCCGTCAGCCGCTGCAAGTACTGAGCATGAGCCATCAGCCCAAGCGCCGCCGAAGCGAGCGCATTGCCTGTGCGTACCAGCCATGTTTTTTCAGTTCCGAAGACGTTCAAATCGCAGTTGGGGAAAGCAAACTCGACGCGCACACCCCGTCGCGCAGATCTGAGCCATGATTCGAGGGTGTTGGACTTGCTAACTCAGGGTGTACAGCATATGATGAAAACGACGGAGACTTTCAGTTTACCCGGGCCACGAAGAAGGCGAAAACAACAATACCAGAGCCAATTCCAGAGGACGATGTGGCACCTGCACCTGCACCAGCCCCAAGGCGGCCTGGCAGACCGCCAAAGTCCAGCAAGGCGCGTGAAACATCAGTGGAGGAGCCGCAACCAGCACCGCCAAAAAGAGCGTCGAAGAGGAGGTCGAGTCAATTAGCGGTGCCCCAAGATGAACCTCAGACAGTATCATTACCACAACAACGGGCAACGCGCCGGACCAGGCGCTCATCATCAGTAAGGCTAGAGGAACAGCAAGAGGAGAAGATAGTCGAGAAACTAAAGCCCAAGCCAAAGCCCAAAGCCAGATCTACCAACGGCACCTCGTCGAAAAGTCGCAATGATGAGATTGATATGGATGTATCTCCGCAGCTGTCCCCTCGACCTGCGATACAAACCCCTGAGCCGTTGGTTGAGAAAACGAGGGGTAAAGGCGAGGCGAAGAAAACGGCAGAGTCGAAAACAATTGCGCTGCCATTCAGCGATACGCCCGTCATGAATAGGAACAAGGAAATGCGTCGCAAGACAGGAGGACGCAGGAGTAGTTTGGGCATGCGTGGTAGGAGAGCGAGCTCACTGATCGATAATGGGCATAGCGCCATACCTCACCGCGCCGTCGACCCGGCCGACTTTTACAAGCATATCGAAGCAGAAGGACTCAGCGAGCCTCGGCGTATGAAACAACTTTTGACGTGGTGCGGTGAACGAGCATTGAGTGAAAAGCCTCCATTAGGGAGCACAAACTCCAACGCTATACTGGGGGGTGAGTAGACACTGATTTGGCATTTGATATTTCGGCCAGTATTATCCTCTGAAAGCAGCATTTCTAACCGGTTTGACAGCCCGAGCTATACAAGATCAATTATTAAAGGATTTTGGCTCAAAATCTGAATTCTCAGATTGGTTTTCGAGGGAAGATGTGCCGAGACCACCGGCAATCGAGAAACCAAATCCTCGAAATACGGAGCACGAAGAAAAAATCGCCGCTTTAGAGGAAAGAGTAAAACGGTGAGTAGATACCAGCCATTATGGGAGGCGGTTCGAAAATGCTGACTGAGAGCTAGATTGAGAGCAGAAAAGAAGACATGGTTAGCACTCAAGAAAGCACCGCCCGAGTTGCCACCTCTTTTCCCTCCAACAGAATCGTCTTCTTCCTCCGGGGAACAGCAAAAGCACCTACCAGATACATCTCTTCTCGATCAAGAAGAGGCGCAGATGCTGGCCTCGATAACTGATACAGCATCAAGCTTTGCAAAGTTGAGGATTCGAACACAAGCACGAATACACGCGCTTCAACAATCCTTGGAATTTAAAGTCGACCACTTGGCCGATAGCGTACACAAGGTCGAACAACGTGTCAATACAGCAGGCCGCGAAGCAGATCATGTCTTGGCGCTAAGTGCCGCGCGATTAAAAGAGCGCGAGATGGAGGAGAAGAAGAGGGCGGGAACGAAAGATATGCCAGTCATGGAGGTGCTCAGGAGTCTAGGCAGGATATTACCAGAGGGAGAAAGTGGCCCATGAGCCTCATATAATCCCGTCTTTGATGAAGTAATGCTTTTGTACATACAAGCTTGATTGTCGTGCCAGGACGCTCAAGCCCTTTTGTTTTTTCCTTGCCGTGTGGCACATTCAAAGATACCATGGACGTTCCTTTCTCAATACTCGAATTCATTTTGGGTTTCCGGAGAGGTGGAGAAGGGGTCATCAAGAGCTCGTTCACTCTTGTGATTAGATCAGTCAATACGCGAGGATGGCTCCAGCCGAGCATGAAAGATATAGCTGAGAATGAGATCATGACGAAATGAGAATATCTCTGCTGTCACTGGCCACATATTTTATTCTCTGCTCTCCTTGTGCACCTTTATGCTGTACAAATCTAACTCGAGTGAACTTGGCACCATTCAGCGTTGTTGGCATTGTACAGGTCCGACACTCTTGGTTCTGGTCCCTCGTCTCAGATACATCTGTAATCTGAAAATTGTTTCATTTTTTTTCTTTTTTGTACACCTACACCAAGATCGTCTCTCTCAAGAGTCTCGGCTTACACTAAAAACCCCTTCTGATCTATCAAATATGGGCAACAAATCTATAGCGATCCAATGATGCTTCTCACCATCAGCCCACAATCGCATGGCTGATACCATGCACTTTCCTTTCACTTCAACCCTGCTTCATAGGTTGATATTTTATCTACAGCGACGTAATGCTTATCCCTCGTCTCTTTTCCACAGTCGTCCTTTTTATACATGATACACGAATTATACACGAATTATACCATGTAGGCTGATAATACAGCAACCATCAAACCCGTCGAAAGATTACCCCTTTTCCGCAAACAAGATAAGACACATGTTTAGTCTTTTCTTCTTGGAATTGTCTAGTTCTTCAGGTTGGGCATGAATCCCATACCGCCACCCTCCTCGCCGCCCATGCTGCGTCTCTTGACGTGCTCGCGCAGCAGGGCCAGGACCTCGCTGTCCTGCCACCGCTTGGGCACGGGCCGGTACGCGGGCTTGAACGTGCCCACCGTCTGCGCCCACTCGCCCTCGCCGGGCTTGCGGTACGGCTCCTCCGAGGCGGCGGCGGCGGCGGCGGCGGCGTTCTTGCCGGCCTGCCCGGGCGGCGCCTTGAGGTCGTCGGCTGCGGCTTGGAAGGGCGAGGTGGGCTGCCATGAAGAAGAAGAAGATGACTTTGACGACGACGACGACGATGGGGCGGGAGGAGTGGTGGTGGATTGCTGCTGGGAAGAAGAGGTTGCCTCGGTGGCGGGCGATGGGGCCTCTTGGGTTGCCCAGTAGTAAATGTCCCAATCGTTCTCGTCGAGAAACAGGTCGTACTGCGCCATCTGCTCCTTGGACATGTTGGGTAGGTACGTGTCGGCAAAGGTCGAGAGCAAAAGGTCGGATTCGAGGGTTCCGCGCTTACGGGACTGGTCTGGAAACAAGCAAGTTAGACATTCGTTTTGTCAAGCTGGGCGGATATTTGCATTGTTTTGTTTTCTTTCTTTGCAATAGAGATTGGGGAATATTGGAGGAGAGGAGGTTTCTGCAGTCATTGCGCAGGTCGAATGATAATGGACAGGTGAAGATGTAAAACTTACAGACTAACCGCGCGCGCATCGTCCTCTCGTCCTCGCCGACGCGGCGCAGGGGCTCAATCTTGAACTCGGCGCCCTCGAGCTCGCCAACGCTCATTTCGCCGCCCGAGGGAGGATCGATTGGTGGTGCATTGGACACGCGGGCGGCGAGGCTTGTGCGGACCGAGAATGGACGAGATGTTGCGGCCAGAGCTCTGGGAGCCGCCACCGTCCGTCGCAAGACTGATCGCAGGACTGCCATTTTTTTTTCTGGCCAAGGATTGGGTTGAACTACTGTCGAGTGCTACGCGGTGCGTCAAAGTAATTTATTTCACAATTTGGTGAATGGATCTGTAGTCGCAGATAATTGTTTCCAGCTGAGAAGGTGTTGAAGCTGGAGATGGCTAATCGTTGACGTAGAGGAAATTCTTAGTCCACTTCCGAGCTTGGAGATTGCCGAGGCCGCATTCCCTCCCCGGAACGGATCTTTGCCGCGACTGGTCCGGATGATCGGCCAGGTTCGGAGGTCCCTCTATCGATATAGATGAAGCTTTTTGTAGCATAAAGATCTACTATGTACATGTGGCATTGCTGCCACTCGTCTCACATTGACTTGAAAATATTTAATGCTGGTCATCATCACATTACTACGTCCCCAACGAAGCGACTTGGCTTTGGGATTCCCGCAAATCACCACGCATGAAACAAAAGAGGCTGTCAATCGTCACACCGTGCATTCATTTCTAACCTTGATGCCATCAGGACGCCTTGCCCTGACAAATGATCATATGATACATAGCCTAGAGGTCTCTGTCTATAGAGTCTCCTCCTTTTCTTTCGAATCCATGAGTGGAAGTGAAATCACAACCCGATACTGATACTCCAAGTTCTCCATGTTTGTCCATCCATCAAGTATAGAACGGTCCCTGCCTTTTTCATTTCCCGTGAATCTTGGTGCCGTGGTATTTAGATCAAGTGCTTGCTGCGGAAGTATGCCCTGAGATACATGATCTGCCAGCCCCAAAGGGCAATGAGCAACATGGTCGTGCCAATGCCGAACCACTTGACACGGGTGTTTGTGCTCTCGTTTGTGTCTCGCAGCTTCTGCTCACGCGAACGAAGGTAGTCCATCTCGGTAACGATTTCGGAAATTGTCTCCTCGATACGGCGGAGCTCGGCCTCGATTGGCTTCAGCTTCTCGGTGGCCTGAATAGCGGACCAGTCTTTCGCGTCGGCACCAATGTCAATGTCGAGCTCGACGTGGCGGTAAGGGTTACCCGGTCCTATAACATCCGGGTCAGCTTCCAATGTGCCATCCTAAAGATCAATTGGCGGCGGCCAGATGCCTTGTCATATGGGATGTGGGTGACACGGGACGGGAAAGAAGGCCACGTACTGCCAGTGAGAAGGTTCTCGAAGCAAACATCGAACGCAGCGTCGGCGTGCGAAGTAAAGACCTGTCGCGACTCGCCGACAACATCCTTGGCGCGACCATACTCATTTCCTACGGCATCCTTGATCTGCAAGGACACAACAGTATACTCATTAGCCTTTGTCCACTTTCCAAGAATCGGACAGGTAACGAAAAGACCGGGCCCAAATGTGAACCAGACGCACATTGATGTTGACAGCCATTCCATCGCCCTTGCGTCCGTCGATTGTGGCCGTCACCACGACCAGCGTGTCCTTGGCGACGAAATTCCGTATGCACCTCTCATTCTTGCCGTGCTTGGCCTCGAGATCGAACTTGAGAGCAGAGATGGAGGAAATGAAGAATAGGAGGCCGCAGACGTACTGCAGCCATGTCCGGGAAAATGCCATGGTCGGCGATTGCGAAGGAAAACAAAGATGCGGCGTCGTTGTCCAAGATCGTGATGTTCAGGACCAACCAGAAGCTTTTGAAAAGGAGCTTCCTTGATACTAGAGGCCAGAATATCAGAAGATGCGCGGCGGCGCCTTACAAGCACGTTAACTGCTACCTGGCCAAGGCTCTAGCTCCATAAATGCGACAGGGGTCAAGCTAAGATAGAGTAAAGTCGAGCATGAGATATGCAAACGTCGAGAATGATATTCTTTTAAGAGATATCATTTCCTAGAGTTTGGGCTTGAGTTGTGTATTTGACACGGTTCGTTTTTTGGATATTTAATCTCTCGATGAATCCAAATGATTGCTACAAGTATTTCCATCAGCCTGAAAGTATTACGTTCACCGCATTGACCCGAGATACAAGCTTTGAGTGCCTTTTTTCTTGACTAGATACACGATGACAAGTAATCTGTATGCAACTACAAAGTATTATGACAAAATCCACAACGGCTTGCTAGATCACGTGGGGCTTCTTCCAGCATTCCCTTGTCCTCAAGGTCTTTAGCCTTTTAGGTTGCTGCTCCATAGCTATTGTCGGTACCTAGGCTAGGTAGCTTCTCTCTGTGGGCGACGAGCCATTGTGTACCCCAGTTATTTTCTCTACTGTCCATTAGTAGCAGCCGCGCCATTCTTTCACCATCGCGACTTGAAGCTGCTGAGCAAGCCGCATCCGTTCTTGCATCACTCCTTGCCAAAACATCAGATCTCGATACAACGCGTCGAATACCGTATTTGAACTTGCAGCCGATCTGTCCATCTGGGCGCAACCGTCAAGATGCCAAAGTGTGAGTTCTTTGATATTCCGAATCTCCTTCCTCGAAAGCTGCTAACCTCGCATCTCCAGTCTTCTGCGATTATTGCGATGTCTACTTGACACACGACTCCATGTCGGTGCGCAAAGCCCACAACAGTGGTCGTAACCACCTCCGTAATGTTGTCGACTACTATCAACAAATCGGCCACGAAAAGGCACAGTCCGTCATCGATAGCATCACCTCGTCCTACGCCGCTGAAGGTCAAGCACACGCCAACCCCATGCTGCCCCAGAATCAGCCTGGCCACGGTGCTCCTCTCGGCATGCCTGGTGGCTTTCCTGGAGGCATGCCACCCCCTTTCCCGGGTATGCCACCATTGCCTGGTATGCCAGGCGCTCCTCCGCTGCCGCCTGGCGCTTTTGGTGCACAGGGTCTACCTCGTGAGTCCCCTTATCCTCCGTATCGTCGCTGTTCGTCATATGTGCGCAGCCGTACAATCCAGTCTTGATAATGAGCAACCGTCTAACCGTCTCCTAGCTCCTCCTGGTGGCGGTCGAGGCATGCCGCCCTTTCCTCCACCTGGCACAGGTAACCAAAGCGGACTGCCACCCTTCCCCTTCCCTCCGCCTGGTGCTCCTGGAGGCTTGCAGTTTCCCCCGCCCGGTACCGCTGGAGCTCCTCCGTTTCCTCCGTTCCCCGGACAAGGGTTTCCGACACCGCCTGGCATGCCACCCTTTCAACCGCCTCCTGGTGGTCAATCACATGGCGGACGTTAAGCCGTGATCTTAATATCGATGGCATTCAGACCACGGAATACCTTGAAGTGTATCGTATCAACCAAGTACTACAGCGATGAAGCATTCTTCTGGCCCCCTCTGCGCTCGAGTTGGAGTTGAGCAGAATCAAACGGCCCTCAAGAACCCGGTGAACACCAAAACATCACGAGCATGGTAGGCCGACCGGCGAGTACAAGTTACTACTGGTAAGCTGTCAAGCACTTATCCTAGATTATCCTTCACAGCAGCACCGATGTGCAGTGGTAGTCCATCGATTCAGAGTGTTCGTCATCGAGCATGACAGCAGAACGGGCGTAAGGGAAAACGGTTGGTTTTTGGCGTCATGGCTCTCCTCCGATTCTCCGGTCTTACCCTGCCCAGTAAATGGCCACCACCGGCCCGCTGCAACATGGTCGTTTCCCGAAGTTGACGGCAATTTTCATGATGGATGTTGTAGATGGCAATGTTACTGTTATCAACAGCCGGCTTGAGCAGATACTACGTGGCCAAGTTACTGATGTATCGTGAAACACCAGTTGGCTGATCCATTGCCATCGTAGCCCATCGCAACCGATGGTTATCATTGTTGCAAGATCTCACTTTTATGCAGTTCTGCTTGAGAGCAACCCGTCGGGAAATCACCATGTTTATATACTACAGCCAGATGCTCACCTTTTCAGTGCAGCACTCATTCAGTGTCGAGAAACACTTGAGCCTGCTCACTTTTCGCACCCTGGAAGGAGGAGAAGCAGCTATTGGATGGGGTAGGCCGCTGCCAGATGCCAGATCATGCAAGGGGCTGGGGATAATAGGTAGCATAGATGGTTTAATAGAAGACATAATAAACTGCATATCATCATTCGGAAGTATTGTTTATGCTAAAGCCATGACCTTGACTGGGCTGCTGGGCTTGAGTCGAAACGTCGAGGAAACGTGAGAACTACGTTCACTAGATTTCAAGAACAGAAGAACATCATGGGATTAAAGCAGAAACAACGCCTAGTAATTCATTCATATCATGTCAAAAGAGTCATCTATCGTGCAATCGTTCTATAGCACCTGTACAAGGGGTGATGGGTTTGTTTTCAGTAAACATGTGACCATTCGTTCCACTTCAATCCAATCCAATCCTTTCTTATTTCGATAATTTCCATAGAAATCGTGCATATCGTGTCCTGTTCATCTCCTGAACTCTTGTTTCCTTCCCTGTTTTTGCTCGTCCAAAGAAGAGAAACTTTCCGAGGTTCAAGCAACAAACGTTTAGGACTAGATTTGATGAACACCCCACTCCCTCTACAAGTACAGTCGATCGCTTCATTCAATGTTCATAATGTAACCAGTAGGGTCGAGACCTCTGGTGATCGTTAAGTCGTTTGCATCGTGATGGTTAATCTGGTGTTGGATTGCCGGCTTGTGCCATGGACACCAAGATTTGAAGTACGTTTTCACAGAACAGTGACGTACCATGGCATGGATGGTCTTAGAGTGGTTGGTGATCCGAGGCTTCCCATGCCACTCTCGTAGTTGCTTCCAGACGACGTTTGACTCTCCGCACACACGGTTCTGTTCTGGAGGCCGGGATAAATGTGACCATTGTCGCAGAAGGGTCTTCATCTGCATCATCGGTTCTCTAGACCTGGACTTGGACCCTTGGTGCTCGTGCAGTGCCGTCATCTTCAACTCGGTTGGAAGAACGGACATATCCAGTCTGGTAGCTTGGACCCTTGTAGCTGTGCCGTTTGATGACCTCACCCAGGTCATCTCTGACTTCGCGTGGGCCGCTGATCTTCTGCCTGAGCTCCTCGCTACGTTTGAGCCTCCGCTTTTCACTGAAGCGGCGTTGGAGACCCTGGATGCCAATCTGTCCTATCTTATCCTGCCACCCTGGGAAGAAGCGGTGCCCATTTGCATCAACACGCTTCTCTTCACCCCAGGCGCGATGTCCGTGGCGAGCAGTCGGGGCCGTTGAAGGTCGTTCTTGGTCTTGCCCCGCGTCTGTGTGACGACGGCGCCGCTGGGAAGGTGACTGGTCTTGGCCCGTCGTGGTGGTGTCCCGTTGGCGCGTGACGCGCAGATTACCGCTTGTAGTCCGCTGGATCGTGCGTCGTTCTGGACCACGGTCATCGGACGAAGTATAGTGGTCGTCACTAGTAATTGGCAAAATGGCAAAGGTATGCTTCATACGTGCAGACAAGGAGCGCCGAGGTGGTGGCGGTCGAGGTGAGTCTGGCGCAGGATAGCGATACCCTTCGTCATCCTGACCAGGAATGTCGTGGACCCAGTCTTCTTGCTCGGGATCAAAATGAAGTTGCAGAGATGCTGGGCGCCAGAACGGATGGAGTTTCTCCTCCTCAGCCGGTGGATCCTCAATCGTTGGATACTGGTGTCGAATCGCATCTGCCCCATGCTCCATGGCCGGATTTTCAGCCGTCTCCTTGCGAACATTTCTGGTGAGCGACAGGGTTCGTGACAGAATCTTTTGTCGGAGGATGCCAGTGTCTGAGTTCTTGCGCAGGCTGAAAGCCCGTCTAACGAGCGAGGGCTTTCTCTCGACATTGGTGCTCTCAAAATAGTTGCCCATCATCTTCATCTTGTCGGCTGCTGGAGTAAGACCAGAAGGTGTAGCCGGTGTCAATTTGATTGCAGGAGGCTCGGGAGGTGCTCGTGGATTTCTAAGCGGAGAATCCACGTCATTCAGGGAGAAGTCGGGTTGGGGAGGTGTGACAGGTTCACCATTAGGACCAGTTGTGGTGATACTAGGTCCCTCAGGTGCGGTTACAGGTTTCTTTTCAATTGCATCTGTACCATTATGCTTCTCTTCCTGCGGTTCGTTTGCTTCAAACGCTTTGGACAGGTGGTTGACCACAAGCAGGGATTGGTTCTTGTGCGGGTAGATGTTCACCGCCAGAGCTTCCGAAACCTCAGCAGCAGAATGATGTGTACCGGCTGTTTCAATCGAAGCAATGGAGAATGGTGTATTGTGGGTTGTAAGCCGTTTGCCAAAGAAAGGATCGCCATTATGATCAACCAATAATTTGTGGTCATGCGTGTCCTTATCCTTGTGTAACTCCGCGGAAGTGGTTGGTTGCAGCCTGTTTGGGTCTGGATGATCGTTCTCAGCGGGGATGTATTCAACTTCCGGGACATCTGGTGCGTGTTCCACAGCTACTGGGGGTGGAGGCTGGTCCTTCGTTTGCTGGTCTTGTGCTGCTTGCAAGGCATTATGGAGCTTCAAGCTTTCCGCAGTCAGCGATCCCGGGTGCGAGCCGGTAAGCGAGTTGGCGCGGGAGTTGTTTCTAGAATTATTGCGACTTGTTGGGGCAGAGAGAGATGACGTTCGAAGGGGTACAATTGGAGGATAGTCTGCGGTTCGCTGGTCGCCAGAAAGTGATGCGTCAGATGCTGAAGTGGATCTCGCCCGTCCGCGCTGGGGTCCACGGTCAACACGAGGCGGCGTCTGTTTCTCTCTGGGTTGCTTCGACGTGGGCACCGGGCTCAGACTGTTGCTTCTCTGAGACCTTCGACTACTTGTAGATCTCAGCGATGGAGTGCCTGCGGATTTCATTGATGTCTTTCGATTGGGGATGACAACCACGGGAATCGCGCCCGTCTTCCAGACATCGCGTCGAGCCTTGCGACTAGCCAGGGAATTGACCGTTGCTGATGATGCATAGCTATCGGTCCGGCCACTCTCGACTCCCGCACGAGGCCTGCGCCTCAGGCCTGCCTCGCTTATGCCTGCAGAGTTTGTTGTAGAGCTTGTAGGTGAAGATCCGAACCTCGACTCCCGTAAAGCCAGGTGTTTCTTAACATGGCGCAAAGTTCTAGGCCTTTGATGAGGCGTCTCAACCAAGATAGCTTCCACGACTGTAGACATTGTTGACCTGGTAGACACGCCGGAAAATCTTCTGACGTCACTGAGGTTGGGAGATTCTACCGTGGCGGCGGAATTCCAGCGGTGTCCGCGATCAGAGGTCCCTACGGGTGAAGAACACACCCGCAAACCTTCGTGCAGAGGCATGGATCGGAGAGCCTTGGTGGCGTTGGTTGGGGTGATGGTCGTGTCCTCAAGGACCTCGGCGCCTTTGTCCCTCGACGCATGTTCTCCGCTCATGATCGTTTGGCGCCGCCGCTTCCGCACGGTCACATTCCTCATAAGATTGTCGTCCCATTCCAACTCGACCTCATTATTCGATGCTGACCCAGTATCCCACGCACCATCAAAGGTGAAGAATTCTTGCTTAGTTCGCGGAGTCAGATTTTCATCTGATTCTAGTCCTAGTCCCAGGCCAATGCTTCTAGCCTGGCTCTTTTGCGATCCCGAAGGTTGCCGGACTGTGTTCTGCGATGATTGTCTGGAAGCAGCAGTAGGTCGTGACATGGATTTTCTGTCTTCGTCTGACGAGTATGGATCTTCCCTAGCAGTTTTGAATGATGCAGTCCGCGAGTCGGCAGTGGTTGCCTTCGAGAATGCGCGATCAGCGAGTAGGAGCGGGCGAAATGCCTTTGGTCTACGTGCTTGGTGGGGTGGCGTCACATCTGGGGTAGGTGGGCTTCTTTGGTTTGGTGGGGTGCCCGGTAGTATCCTCGCCGCCGAGAGTGTGGATGCGCTCTGCACTGGGGTCGCGACACAAGTCGGACTGGATGGCGGAACAGAATGGGTCGTCGTCGACTGGCTGCTGGTTGACGTGCGCGGAAGTGCTGGCGGCGTGGGGGGCAGATCAGGAACACCGCTTCGGCGAGACTGCGAGGGCGGGCTTGAGAGTTGGGAGCTGGAATCGGACCACGATAGTTTGGATTCAGAGAAGGCCTGTGGAGCTTGGGCGGCGTTGTGTGCGCTAAACGTCTTGCTAATATGGTTTCTCGGGTGCGGGAGATTTTTGTGTCTTCGTAGCGACTTGCGACCAGTGGAATTAATGGTCAAGGATGAGCTGTCAAAGGCGGGAGGATCGAAGTACAGGCCGCGGCCGCCGCCGCCGCTCTGAGTCGCAGGCGGTAAAACGGTTTCGGTTGAAGAAAGCATCGCGTCGGAAATTTGTGGTTTACACCACGCTCCCGTTGTTATTAGTTCACTCATCAAGTTCTGCTCCACCATAAGGCTCGTAGCATCGTCACAATGTAGGAACCAGATATAAAAAGTCCCCCGGGTGCCTGCGAACTTGGCGAGTATGGGTTGCGCGTGAGGGACCAGCCACAGAGGGTGTCGACGGGTAGCGGGAACCGCGAGCTTGCGTCACTCCAGCTCCAGTTCCAACTCCAGTCTAACAAGACGTGCCTTTTCTTCTCTGTGATCACAGAGTAGATGACGGTTGACAGTGCTAGACACCCAACCAGGGACCAACCAAGACAAGACGAGACAAGAGGACAGGACGGCCAGCCGGTCAGAAATTAGAAAAGCAGGTAAATTGCAGCAGTCAAAAGTATGTCGAAACCCTGGGTGCAGAAAAGAGCCAGTCCAGATCAGCTATTCGTGAGGAGAGCGCATATCTCAGCTGCGGGCAAGACGGCTTGGTGGTTCTGTCCGTTCCCCCTGCGCTGGTGGGATGCGATGAGCACGGCTCCCGCGACGGGACGGTCACTGCGCAGACATGAGGACAGGCGAGGAAAGAAAGGTGTTGGCAGTTCAGCTATACCAGTCTGCGACGTATTGTCTTTTTGGTGTGGCGGACGGGCGCAGCCGAGGAAGAGGTAAGTATGCTCACAGGGTCACTTTCTGGCAGCGGCTCGTGAGCACAAATGTAGTGCAGAGGGTGAAGCAATTTTTCGAGTAGAGACGGCACACAGAGGCAGCAGGAGGAAGCAGAGGAAGCAAGCAAAAACGTCAGAGGGACAGACAAGCCAGCATCGACGACATGGGCTCACATACCTTAGGTAAAGACCACAAGGGCCCCCGATTCGTTGACTTTGGGAAAGCCGGAATCGAATCCAGTCGCGTTGCAGGGCCATGGAAAGTGGCTGGGCGGAGAGCCGGGCGAGGGTCTATGGGGGGCCTAGGGAACTCTCTTTGGGGGTATCTAACCGATCTGGTCCCAAACTGCAGCAGCGCAGTTACCAAAAACGTCCGAAGTGGAATGATGGCATCACCTTTTTCTTCTCTTTCCCTTCCGGTGAAACTCCAAGTTGGAGGATGCAATCCCTTTGGCTGGGGGTTCCGGTAAAATTATCACTACTACAATTCTCACCAGTCCACGTTGAAGTACATAGATGGAGATAACCTAGTTGACAACACCTACTATCATTGATGTGCTGTGGTTTTGCTCTCGAGAGCCGGGCCTAGGCACTATTTATTTTTCTTATTAGTGGACCGCTTGCTTGCTTGGCACCCTAGAAGGTCTTGAATCTAGCCAAGTATATTCACCACGTACTACGTATATTCAGGGCACGGCTAGTCCAGGCTGTAGACTATTATATGAGCATGACCGTTTCAAACCCTAATAAAATAAATGCATCAAGGTGGGCAGACCCTTTTTTTCCTTTCCCTGCGAAGGACGTGCGCAATTTATAATGCGAAAATCCTTCTGTAGATAGAGACAGGATGGGTGGATGGATGGATGGATGGATGGAGGGGACTTCTGAGACTCGGTGCCAGTGCCCGGAACACCGAGAGCTGCAGCGTTTAGCATAGCGTAGGTGTTGACAGCGCCTACCTACCTTAACGGAAAGCGAGAGGGACTCTCGGCCCAGCTGCTGCAACTTCTATCATCGGCTGCCACCCAAATGTATTTTGCGCAGAGTTTGCACACTGATCGTGCTCCACGAGTCTTTGCCATCACGAGGAGCCGGCGACGTGCTGTACTCCTTCTCTCTGCAGGACGCGGCCGAAACGAAAAGGACAAATCAACTTCCTCCAAAGGCCTCAGCACTCTTGAGTCTTATTAGACCTACAGTCTGCACCCCCCAGCCGAACGAATCACAGCTCGCTACCAAATGCACCTAGTAGCTCAGCCCATGTCCTCTGCCGGTTTCTTCCAAGAGCCAATGTGAGTCTACGAATACCCAGTACCACTGCCTACGTACGACGTGCAAAAAAGCACTCAACTCCTCTCTCTCTCTCTCTCTCGGTGGGGGTGGTTGGCACCCACAAAAAGCAGGTCGATCGATGGTCGCAGCACAACGTATTGAGCCGCCAGCGCCAAATGTTGTTGCGAATCATGAACAAGATTCAAATGGCACACAGCCAGGCCCGCACAAATGGCCAACAACCCGATTTCTACGTCGAGACTCCAAATATTCGACCATTGGCATCAATGGGCCACTCGAACCAAATTGGGACAGTAACAACCTCCAGAGGGAAACCGTTCTGACGCCATGCATTGAGCCAAGTCAAATTGGCGACCAACGAGAACTCAAATCTTTCCAAGGTGCCACGTCTAGTCAAACTCTTTCTTCTTGGTCATGGCATGATCGAGGGGCTCGAGCCTTGACCGTAAACAGGCCAAAACGAAAGGTTTCCTGGCTACCTGAGGGCAGACAGCATCTCGCGTTACGGCGCTAGAACACTTCTAGAATATGGCGTCTCGTTCTCAGCTGAGACCTTTCAAGGATATAGCCCCCAAATGGGTCCTAGGCCAAGCCAGTGCTGTTTATCGGTCCTGAGCCTTGCAAAATTCCCGCCTTGGACAACACTGCACCCAAAGTTGTGTAGAGTTGTAGGAAGTGAGAGTTTTGAAGCCAGTTCAAAAGGAATATCGGCTCTCGCACGTTTAAATACCGCCTTTCAAGTTGTGTCGTGCCTGTGGTCAGATCGGACCGAACCGGTCCATCTTTTCTCTGTTATCATCGTGGGTTTCGGGCGGTCAACTGAGGAAATCTATCGCACGATGGAATTGATTCCGGTATTCACTTTGGTATAGCTATAGCAAAGTGCTTTTTGGAATGTGCTGTCGTCTTGATAATTCCGCTGACACAGAGCAACAACTCTGGGCCTCCTATAACTAAGAGCTCCTCTGCCAATTCTTATCAGTGCTCGTCATAGGGCACTCTTCAATCCTGGTGCTTACCCCACACTCCCCATGGGTCTCTCGAACATATTTGCCTATACTGTTAACTCTATCCAGGCTTCTGTGGGCCGTGCCAACGTCGCTGCGGCTGCTCGACTTCCGATTGACTTGCGCCGATATTCATACTGATGCTGAGGTCATTTTCTCGGCAGAGCGAGCCATTGCGAGAGACGCATCGGATCTGCAGAAGCGCCTTCGGAGCCCATGCGAAAACATGCAAGCAAGAATCGCTTACATGATGAAGACAAGAACTTATCTATCGTTTGCCCCGCACGAGATGACTGGGTGCCATGTGTAGGAGAGGACTACCGACGCAGGTGCTGTCTTTACATAACAGCTACGAGCGTCATTACAAGTCACTTGCATGCAGCATAGTGAGCATCACTGCCGGGCCCATCAGACAAGCAACTCCCACTGGACACTGATCCTGGACAGCGATCTCACTTTTCCATCGTTGTCGTACACTACGTCTACGATAAGAAGACTGCGGTGAAGAGAAATGGCACCCATGTCTCTTGCTGCAGGACCGGAGATACCCCCTCTAGCTATCTTTTTCTGGTGTAGATAGTCTAGAAATATGTCATGGTTCTTTCTTATTTAAGTACGATGCCTTGGCTTGTCTTTGCCTGGACCTATACCTAGTTCTCTTGTAGAATCTTCCTTGCAAACGTTGAGAAGCTTCGCAAATATGATTTCCTCACTCCTTGTTCTTGGTTATGCGGCTCTCGCTGCCGCCCATGGTGATCACGGTCAGAAGTCTCTATCGGGACCTCATGAATCTTTGTGGTACAACACTCTGCCTGGTGATGGAGGAAAACAGGTTCGTTCAAGTCCTGACTCGGCCTTATAACCGAACCACGGTCATCTCTAACTATGCTTCTCAGGCGGACTCCGTCTTCTCGGGCATCTCCACTTTCGGGCGGCTGCCGTACCAGCCTTGTCTGAGCATGCGTGATGCCGAGTATGATATTGCATTCATTGGTTAGTTCGAATGTGGTGTATACCTTTTGAGTTCGGCACTCATGTTTTCAATCCAGGTGCTCCCTTCGACACCGGCACATCCTACCGACCCGGAGCTCGATTCGGACCATCGGGTATCCGTCAAGGATCGCGTCGCTTGAACCTATAGTAAGTTTTCAGTCCGGGATGTACAGGACATGGACTAATTCTGGACATGAAGTGGCGGCTACAACGTGCCGCTGGCCACGAACCCTTTCGATAGCTGGGCTACGGTTCTTGATTGCGGTGATATCCCCGTGACCTCGTCAGTGTCCTTGTTGACTTGCCACTTGGAGAAAGGCCGTGAGTTTGCTAATGTGTACATGTAGATATGATAACACTTGGGCTTTGAAGCAGATTGAAGAAGGACACTATCACATCTTGTCCAGAGACCCCAAGACCAACGCCAAGAAGGCTGGTCTTTCGAAGAAGGGCAAGACGCTTCCTCGTGTCATCACCTTGGGTGGTGATCACACCATTACGTTGCCTCTGCTACGCTCAATCAACCGTGCCTATGGCCCAGTGTCAGTCGTACACTTTGATAGCCATCTTGATACATGTAGGATTGAGCCCATCTTCCCGTCCCCGCTGGCTATCTGTGTGCTGATACCCTAGCAGGGAGACCAAAGGTCTTTGGAGGCTCACCCTCCGAGGTGGCAAGCATCAACCACGGAACCTACTTTTACCACGCAGCAATGGAGGGACTTTTGCGCAACGACTCCAACATCCACGCCGGCATCCGCACGACGCTCAGTGGGCCCAGCGACTATGAGAATGACGGCTACTGCGGCTTTGAGATTGTCGAAGCCCGCGAGGTCGACACCATTGGCACCGACGGCATCATCAAGAAGATTATCGACCGCGTCGGTACCACCAACCCCGTCTACCTGTCGCTCGATATCGACACGCTCGACCCGGCTTTTGCCCCCGCTACCGGTACCCCCGAGACTGGCGGATGGAGCACCAGAGAGCTGAGAACCATCCTGCGTGGACTGGAGGACCTGAACCTCATTGGCGCTGATGTTGTAGAGGTCGCGGTAAGTTGATTTTTTTTTTTTTTCAGAGTTGGAGGGGCTTTGCGAGTTGTGTCACGTGCGAAGCTGACTCGGAATATAGCCCGCCTACGACACAAATGCCGAGCACACCACCATGGCTGCTGCCGACGCTCTGTATGAAATCATGAGTATCATGGTCAAGAAGGGACCTCTAAGCTTGGATATTGAGGATGTCGAGACCGAATTGTAGGAGGTCTTGCTGCAATTGACCGAGGCGACATCAGAGATGTTTCCCAAATTGAGTGAAAGAGCAGAAAATGCACGGAAGTGGCTTTGATGAGTGATGGGATCATCCGGAGAGTGGGATGCAAAAGGACTGGGCGTTTTGAGGGGGTCAGCGTGGGTTTGCGAGCTGCAGAGAGCAGAATGAGATAAATGATATATGAAGTTATGGAGAGACATCCCATTCTAAACTTGTCCGTCACGTGAAAGAGTAAATGCAGCATGGAGCGATGGAAGATCTGTTGAGGCCCTGGCACTGCATCATCTTGTAGTCCGCTTTCATATCGGTGGACGGGACAACTCAATCATGTAGCACATGTCACAGCCTGCCAATCCTAGCGTTGGATCTCAAGGCCGGGATTGCCCTAGAGTATATACTGGCCAGCAGCCTACTATGCACATGATACAAATTAAGATCACAAGTTGAAAAGATATCTCTTCGTATTAGAAGCGAGTGACTACTATCTAACAGCTATCTAGCAAAGTACAGCAAAAGACCGACTACCCCAAGCCAAAGCCGAGACACCGAAAACGAATGACTGTAAAACAAATCGCGAACGAACGAGTGTTAAAAGGCAGCAAAGAAAAGTCAACAAAAGAGAGCTCAGAGTCTGCAGCGCCGACTCCTGACTTACCAGGTTTTTTTTATGATATCGCTTTCGGCTGTGCTGTCCTTAAACGATCGCTTAGCAGCAGCCGGCCCGTCATGAATATCGCTGGTAAGAATGATCGAAGGAACGAATGAAAAAAAAAAAAAAGAAGAAGAAAAAAAGACTCGCTATGTCGTGAATACCGCTTGTAAAAATGATCGAAAGAACGAATGAATAAGAAACGAAAGACAAAAAGACCAAAAAAAGAAGGACAAAAAGACTCGCTATAAGGGAAAAAGCCAGCGGCATAAAAAACCCTTCTGCCTACGCTGTGAAGTAAGTATAGTTAAAAGGCCTCCCCTAATGGGAGACCAAAACGAACGATGATAAGAATGAAGGGGGAGAAACGAACGATTGGGGATGTGACGTGGTGGGGGAAAACAAGACTAACAAAGCAAACGAACCCAAAAGCAAAGAAAACAGAAAACAGAAAACAGAAAACCCAGAAAACCCAGAAACCAAACTCCTTCCCCTTCCTACCAACTTTTTTTTTTGCATTTTTTATTTTTCTTCTTTTTTCTTTTGTTTTTTTTTATCTTCCATTTTTTTCTCCTTTTTTTTTTCTTGGGGGCAAATAGTGCAATGGGATAGGGGCAATAATGAACGACACAAACGAATGGAGGGGGGTAAATACTCAACTGAACTCCAACTCCAGAACGCCCGAAAACTCCTTACGCCGACGGGGAAATCGAAAAGGGGGACTTACTTTTACCCCCGACTGCTCGACAGAAGAAACCGCCGCCGCCGCTCGGCTGCGGCCTCCTGCCTCTGCCGCCGGGCCAGGTGGTCCTCCCACCCCTTCTCCCTCGCCTCCTCCTTCTTCTTCTTCTCGGCCTCGGCATCCAGCCGCCGCTGGATGGGCTCGGGATCTCGGGCGACTGGAGGCGGTTAGTATTTTTTTTTTTTTTCATCTCTTGTGAAAGAAAATGTAGAGAGAAAAACTTACTGGCCCGATTGCAGACCCGAATGTCGGGCCTGCTCTTCTTCAACCTCCTCTTCTCGTCCTTCCACTGCGCCCGTCGATGCTTGAACTTATCGTACCGAGCGCGGATGCGCTCGGCAACGGACGACAGGATCTCCGAGAATCGTTGGCCGGCCATCTTTTACTACGGAGAAGGTCAGCGAAAAGTGGGAGATGGGAAAACGTACCTGTGGGTGTTGAAAAAAAGTTGTTGTAAGTCGACGTGGTGGACTGTTGTGTGATGAAGAGAAGAGAGAGAGAAAAGAGGAAACCTCCCAAAAGGCGAGGGGCGGTCCTCAACTTATAGACGAAAGGCCGATTAGAGTTTGAGCACAATCAGTCTGTGAGTCAGAGATGGGAGTGGTTCCGGGGCTTCCGTGATTTTCGTGATGTTGCAAGATCAGTGCACCGTGCGATCATAAACTCTAATCCAGAGGTCCTGCCGCCTAAATGGCTGGGGACAGTGCATCAGTACTGATTTCACCACGGTGCTAGACTACATCTGGACGAAAAACTGCGCTGATGGTGCTCGCTACCACTGATTGTTCGGCCCGATTACTGTATTTCTGCCTAGAATACTGATTCTATGCTGCACTGGTTGATGCTATGCTGTACTGGTATTCGCTACAACTGGCTGTCCGGCCCGAATACTGATTCTCTGCTTAAGAAACTACTGATTCTATGCTGAAATAGTTGATTCTATGCTGAACTGGTTAATTCTATGCTGCACTGATTGATTCTATGCTGCACTGATTGATTCTATGCTGCACTGATTGATTCTATGCTGCACCGGTGTTCGCTATCACTGACTGTACGGCCCGAATACTGATTCTCTGCTTAGGATACTACTGATTCCACGCTGCACTGGTTGATTCGATGCTGTACTGATTCTATGCTGTACTGATCCCATACTGCACTAATTGATTCTATTGGATGCTACACTGATTCTCTGATCTCCCTCCACCCATGGCGTTTTACTGATCCTTTAGCCCAAGTACTGATTCTATGCTGTACTGATCCTCTGATCCTCCTCCCTACGTGTGGCACTTGATAGTACTGATCTTGTGCTGTACTGATTCTCCTTTGCTGCACTGATCCTCCGACCCCCCCCCTCCTCACGTGGCATATAGCATTACTGATCTTCCACTGGGCTGCCCAGGTGATTCTCTAGTGCACTCATTCTCTGCTGTACTGATTCTCTGATTCCCTTGCCACGTGGCATTTGGCAGTACTGATTTGATCCCAATCCACTAGATCTCTGCCTAGATACTGATTGGACTCGGGTTTGCTGAACTCCTGCCTGGGATACTGATTTTCTAGCCCAAACACTGAATTCTGCCGAAGGTAGGATACTTATTCTATGATCTTCCACGCGTGGGATTTTCCTAATTCGAATCTTCTAGATCTCTGTCTAAGTTTTGATTTTCTGCCTAGAATACTGATTCTCTGACCTGTTGCTGATTCCCTGATCCTCCTCCCATGTGGTACTTGTTAGTAATGATTTAATTCGGTTTCACTGGATTTCTGCCTGGTTACTGATGCTCTGATCCCCTCTCCACATGGCATTTCATAGTACTGATCCAATTGGAATTTTCTGACTTTCTGCCTAGATACTGATTGTCTGACCCAAGCACTGATTCTTTGACTTGAAGGCTAATTCTCCCGACTCCCCCCTAATTTCGTGCAGATTTTAGATTGGGGGTCATTTCTTCCTCTTCCATCATCTCTAATCTCAGCAAATCTGAGGGTTAACGAAACGGTTTGCTACATACAGGCAGAGATTGGGTCTTGGGTGTCTAGAATTCTGATGTAATAAGATTGTACAAGAATTAATTGCAATAGAAATATACTCTATTTAATTTCTTGAGCAGGTATTATGTGAAATGCAGACTTTTCCCATTGTATCAGAACACGTTTGGCAGCAGTATGACCGCCATTGTTGCATCAATCATGCTATCCATCGTCGCCTGGAAGCAGAGTGCCTATGATGGAGCCTTTTCGACCTCCTGCATCGCTACGTGGAAGACGGAAGAAATATATGTCGACGTGCCAATTCCAATCCATCCCACTACAAAGCTCGATGTGTGATTGCGGCTCCTATATAACAAATTTTGAATATAAAATCTATGTAGTCACTAAGACCCCTGACACCAGTCGTCTGATCGCCTTCTCCCATTGGTGGGGTTTTATAGGATCATGATGGATGCCAAGACGTTCAGTGCATCTTCAATTCACCATGAACCACACTAACAAGTACCCGTTTAGGGAATCTGGGAGGCTCAATCACCGGCCCAAATGAATTCTGTTTGAGACTCTGGTCTGTATAAAAACGTTGAAAAATCGAAGCTCGTCGAGGAAAAGAAATTCTGAAAAATGTAGAAAGCAATTAGAACTGCTCCCCAGTGTAGCCATGTCACGCAGCAGGATCGCACACATTGCAGCCCTTTCTGCGGCTGTGGGTGCCGTGTACGGCGCTGAGATTTACGTCTCGCCGACGGGCACTGGTACTGGTTCGCAGACTTCCCCGTATGGATCCATCCAATCTGCCGTGAATGCAGCAGTTGCTGGCGACACCATCTACCTCCGAGCGGGAACCTACTCGCCAACTACCAATATCCAGATCACCAAGAGCGGCACCGCCGCCTCGCCGATTACTCTCAGATCTTATCAGTCAGAGAAAGTGATTATTGATGGAGAGGCACTTCCTGGGTGAGTATGCTAACCCAGTATTTCTATGTATGCTGCAGCAAGCTGACGAGTCGTTCCTGATGCTAGTACTCCCTATGGTCTTGACGAATCTCTGCCAAACAACGAGAGAGGTATACTTCACATTGAAGGTGCCGATTATTGGAAGTTTTACAATCTTGAGTAAGGCGGACACCAAGACGATTCGACTGTTATTCAATGCAGAGAAGCTGACTTGCGACCAAGACTCATCAATGGCCCGTATGGTATCTACGCCCGCGACGCATCTCACAACTACTACGAGTTGCTCTCCACGCACGACAACTACGAGTCGGGCTTTCAACTCCAGGGCGCTTCAGAGTACAACACGGTCATCTACCTAGACTCGTACCGCAACCGGGACCCGCGCAAGAACGGCGAGAGCGCCGACGGCTTTGCCTGCAAGGAAGGCTCGGGCGAGGGCAACGTCCTGCGCAATGCGCGGCTCTGGGACAATGTCGACGACGGGCTGGACCTGTACATGTTCGGCTCGGCCGTGACCATTGACGAGGTCTACTCGTGGGGCAACGGCGTCAACCGCTGGGGCTTTACCGAGTTCGAGGGCGACGGCAACGGCTTCAAGCTCGGCATCACGGGCAACCCCGTCGCCAACCACACCATCACCAACAGCATCGCCTTTTCCAATGCCAAAAAGGGCTTCATTGATAATGGCAACCCGGGCTCTCTCACCTTTAACAGGAACACGGCCTGGAACAATGGGGACACGGGCTTCCTGATGCGCAGCTCGGCTTCGAAGCTGACTAGCAATGTGGCCGCGGTCAACAGCGCCAGTCCCCAGGTGAGCCTCACCAGCAATTCCACCTCGTCGGGCAACTCGTGGGATTCATCGACGACGTGGTCCAACAGCTCCTTTGTTAGCGTTGACCCGGCCACCTTGAAGGGTGCACGAGCAGCGGATGGTTCGGTGCAGGCCTCGGATTTTCTGATTCCTGCGTCTGGGGCTGCCATCGGAGCTTCGACAAAGGTGGCGGTTTGATGAGAGGAAGCGAGCATTATCTTGTGAAAGTCATGGCGGGGAACTTGCTTCAGCTGCGGAAGTGGTAGAGATGGTCCGAGTATGTAGAATACATGACTGAGAAAGAACGATAGATAGTAAGGACCAGTGACTCGCGGAATATATGATCTCTTTGTGTTGTAGAGCTGGTTTCAGGTATACCCATATATGCGTCCAGTGTATGGTCGGACAAGGGTGTTACGGTGCCTGCCAAGCCTTCTGTAGATGACCTACAGGGGCCGCATTTAGCACCTGGACCTAGGTGGATAAGCTTAATTTTTAAATGCCCCGGTCAATTGAGCCTGGCAGGGAAGGATGATGCAGAGCGACAAGAGATCAGCAATATTTGATCCATAGTAGGAGCATCGCAACGATCATCGCCAACTTTTCCACCTGCAAGTAAACAAAATTTTGCATACGCCAAATTAATCCATTGGAACCACCTTTGCATCGTGGCCAGCGGATATACAGTGTAGAATCGTATTCCGAGCCGTGACTCTGTCGCGCCGCACTCGAGCATGATGCCATCACCAAACTGGTTAGCCATGATAGCTAATATTGATTCAAACCCGGCCCAAGCAGCTCATTTCGGTTCTGGGAGCCGCCCAATTCCCCATCTATGGTCTGAGATTCATGCCTTCGTGGGCCCTCGTGGGACTTTTGTCACCAGGCAGAACTTTAACGATGAGTGATAAATGCCACTCTGGTTCTCTCGTGAACCAGTTTCAGTCCATATTCATTTGATTACAAGTCGCCGTAACTATTCCTATACCCCATTGACTCCCCTAAAAGTCAACTACTCTATATCATTCAGTCCTTTGAGACGAGCCAATCAACAGCATTCACCATGAAGTCCACAACCGCCCTCTCCGCCGCCTGGGCTCTTCTTGCTACGCGTCCGGCTCTGGCTCAGGATGACAACAGCGATTACCTCAATTCCGTCTGCTCGCCCGAAGGCGAATTTACATCTGGAAACATCCCGCCCTGCATCGATATTGTCAACATCGAGGCAGCTTGCCAGCCGAATGGCACGTCGTCACTGGCCCTCGAAGCGCACGCTCAATGCAGTAAGTATTCATCATCAGTTCCTCATGCCATTGCGTGTCCAATATTGCCTTATTCACCAAGACAATCAAGGACGGAGCAAATAGTCGAGACATAAAGAAAGACTGACCAACATCTCCCTTTTGATAGTGTGCGGCGGATCCTATTTTCCCGAGTGGCTCGGCTGCCGCCAATGCCTCTTTGACCACGGCGGCATGAGCAGGCGCAACCTGACGTACTACGAGTCCGTCATCCACACGGCCAGCGCGCTGCTCTGCGACGCTGCGACGCCGACGGCGCCGTTCCAGTCCGTCTTTGCCAGCGCCGCCGCCGAGGTGCCCATCCCCACCACGGGCGACACGGCGCTCTCGGATATAGCCCCGAGCGACACGGCCGTCAGCGTCTACTACACTGCTTCGGGGGGCTCTCAGGGCGCCGGCGCCATCACCGGCAGCGCCACGGCGGCCACGGCCACCGGAGATGTGACTACGGATGCCGCCGCGAGCACCACTGGTACGTCGGCTACAAAGACCACTTCCAAGGCTTCCTCGTCCAAGACGACGAGCACCGCGTCCGGGAGCTCTACGCAGTCGAGCTCGAGCAATTTTGCTGGCCCGACTGCGGCTCCTGCTGCAAAGAATGTGTTGCTTGCCATTGCCGGAGGAGCACTCATGGCGGCATTGCAATAAAAAGGGAGAAATTCGCGTTTCGTGTCAATGCATTTGCTGCAATGCGATTCTTGAGTAGAAACGGGGCGTGTTTATACTCTGTAATGTTAAATATGTAATGATGTATGAGAACAAGGCTCATGTGTTTTTTTGAAAAAGTATATATGCCAAATATATAAGAAGCAATGAAATACCAAGATGATCAGCATTTGTATCTGTACCGAAGGTTATAATCCCTGTTTTATGTGGATGAGCAGAGGAGTATGATACTTGCAATGGTCGATTTGATCTTTCAGATGCATCAAGACAATGTTCAGGGAGAATTCAATCACAGATTCGAAAAAAAGAAGAGTAATTGGACGAATCTCTTTTGACTTGGTTTCATTTTTGATCTTGTAGTTCCTTATTTGCCCGTCGAGCTTTTCATCCTAGGAAAGATGCATTTTGACTGAACTGGGCAATACTCCACAATTCGCGCTTCTCTTTTGGACCCTCATCCGCTATAAATGGACCATCATAATCTCCATATACACAAACGCCGATTCAACACACTCCAATTTCCCATGATGTTGTTTCCGATGATTCGTGATAACAATTTACTCGGGCATGTGGTCAAAGGGCTTGGCCAGCGACTCCTGGCAAAAGGGAAGCTTGCCGACGGTCCAGATTTCGGTATCCTAGAGGTTGGGGGAAAAGACTTTTGGTTAGTCCCTTGTGCTTTCTTTGGAAAATTGAGTTGAGGGGGGCTTAACAAATGGAGGAGAGGGGAAAGGGATAAAAGTCTGAGTATAAATCATAACATGACGTCACACGGAGACGAGGGGGGCGGATAACGTTGAGCAAAATCGGCAAGAGGGAGAATGCGAAAAGCATCCAGAGGGAGGGGGAGGAAAAAAAACTTACCGGCTTCAGCTTCTTCTTGTCCTCGCTGCTGAGAGTACCACCCTTGAGGGCAATGATGGGGGGAGCGGCATCGGGGTCGTGGGCAATGGGCGAGCCGCACTCGGGGCAGAAGATGCGGTGGACGTCCTGGCCCGAGGAGCCCTTCTTTGCGTAGCTCTTGGTGTTGCCGGTAATGGTGAGCTTGTCCTTGGGGACCACGACGACGAGGGCTGTCAAAAGGGGGAAAAGAATTGTGTTAGTCTACATTGTGGGAGAGCTCCTGAGGATCATTGTAAAAAGAGAAGGCTCAATGGCTCTCTTTCACACGTAAATGATCCAATCGTATATATGATGGAAGCAACTTACAATATGTGGAACCGCTCTGACGCTGGCAGTCATCACAGTGATCGTATCCGACAATGAGAGGGTCGGCATCGACCGTGTACTTGACAGAGCCGCAAAGACAGTGACCGCTGAGACCCATGATGGCAATGTGTTCAAGTTTGTTTCTTTTGGTGGTGGTTGAGTTGTAGTTGTTGTTGTGTGAGTACGGGTAGAAGTAGTAAGGGTTGTTTTTTGTGACTAGTATAGCACAGAAGATTGATTGACGAGAAGAAGGAAACAGTATTCGACAGTGGGAAGTCTTTCTTGTTTATATAGCTACCGTCTACTCCCTGATCTTCACAGAGATACCTCAATTCCCAAATCTTATTCGACAAGAAAGTAACGGTCAGCGCTGCGGCACGTGTGTCCGCACATTGTACTTACTGCATTACACGGACCTGCTATCTACGCATTCCTGGCTCACGTTCTTGCAGCTAGCTACCAGCTACAGGTACGTATGTACGTTGCTGCTATCCCAGAGGCATAGTGTTCTACTCTGTAGAGTTTAGGTAATTCGACGACCGAGACACAAAACACGTCCCACTTCTTTTTCTTTCCGGACCAGGATTGATCTCAAATTCATACACTGGCCTGTTTGTATCAACCTGCAAACTTGCGTAGCTTGCCCCAGGTGTCAGGCTTGTCTTCTCAGCGGGCACCATCTTTCTTACCTGCTATAGGCAGAATGATCTGCTTTGACCTGCATTATCCCACATCCCACGCGGGTGCCACTTTTTGACACCACGATGACGATGGAGGGGTTCGAGGTGGGTGGGCTTCAGGTCTCTGTAGAATGGCGGGGTAGCTACGCTAGCTTCGTAGGTAGCTGTCCTGTCGGGGACTTAGCTCAGACTATATCACCATAGTATGATGGTAGTACCACGGCACTAGCTTTTTTTCAGCTTTCTCAATGGGGTTCAGAAGGGGTCCTTTTTGCACGCAGCCATCTTGTACATGTAGTCAGTCGGTCAACGAGATTCTTTGAGAGAATATCAATTTCATTGGCATTGGCATTGTGAAGGGGAAAAGGTACAAGGCCTGTTCACGGTGATCAAGCATAACGTATTGGCAAGTCCCCGTCCTTGACTCGGCCGACATCTCTCCACAGCCAAAAAAGAACATCATCTTACCTAGCCATCGTACGAATGTGACACGGCACAGGTGGTGATGAGCTGCAAGTGCTACCTCGAAAAAAAGATGGAGCCCATGCTGCTATTTGTCATGGCCCTGCATAGCTTTTCGATCTAACCCAACAAGCAGAGATCGACCTCCCAAGCTCGCCAAGCTTACAGTATCTATCGGTTTCTTCGGGGAATAGATGGATTGTCAATTCAGGGGGTTTATGGGGAGGGGGTTGTTTTCCTTTGACAAATAATGTCGGGCGAGAAAACCGGGTGGAAACGATAAAGAGACCCTGGGCAATGGACGGATTCAGTATTTGGAATTGTTGCTTGGCGGCACTTCTGAGCTGCCCTGGAGCTCGGGCTTGGGCTGGGTGGGCTGTAACGCAGATACTCCTGCAGGACAGAAGAAAAAGTGGAACACCACGTAGGTCGAAATCCCATGTCACTGATTGTAACATTGGCTGCTGATGGTCATTCTTCATATCAGTCCAGTTCGTGAAGGTGTCACCCTTTTCTCGTTCTCAACGGTGGGTCGGATATCAATGCTTGCTGCTTTCAGGACTACCGAATCGGGGCGGTTTCATGTATCACGTTCGGTTCATCTGCAATAGATTGTACCATGACCTCACAACACAGGTATTTGAAATCACCATATCCACACCTATTCATGAATGTTTATACGAGCATAATTAAACATCTATTTCTTGATATGATGTATTTACTACTATGATTAAGGGGAGGCATATGTGCATGTGGGCTTCAAATAAACTGCTCCTCACGGCAAGGAAATCAAAAACTGCGTCGCCACGCTCGGAACCCCGGCCCCATTGAGCGCAAAGAGCATCCAGTATCCAGGCAAGAGCACGCCGGGATCAGTCGGGAGCGTGATGCTGTAGGTCAAGGTGCCCGCATTGGTCGTTGTCAGCGGCACACGCCTTTGGTCCGTGTTGACCGTGTGCGTGGATGAGCCGTGACGGATGAGGGAGAAAGTGGCCGCCACGTCCGTCGACACAGTAAAGGTCGCGCCTGGCTTCAGCGTCGTCGCTGATACTGTTTTGATCGTGGGCCGCGTTGCTCGGCTGCCGTCAGCATTGAACAAGTCTGGAGAGAGTATCAACGACGTTAGCTTCTCATTGCTCTCTTGGAACGAGATGGCATCACCACACTGACAACGCGTGACCGTCGTCTGAGGTGCTGAAAGGATAGTAGACGAACACGGGAGAGCTGCTACTTACAAGGAGGGCTATAGACTTGGGCTGTGAAGTGGTTCTGCTGACAACCAGTCCCGCAAAGCCCGCCGCCGCCACTCAGAACTGTCGCATCCGGCAACAAGAGTCCAATGCTGTGGTAGTTGCGAGGCTCGGCAATTGGGGCGACGACCGTCCAACGCAGAGTCGAGGGGTCAAAAAGCTCAGAAGGTAAGGACGACGTCGTGTCGGTGAAGGGGACCGCATAGGACTGTCCGCCAAAGACGAGCGTCTTACCGTCCGGGAGCACAACAGCGTTGGCGAATGATCGTGCGTACGACATACTGGCGACTTGGGTGACTGTTGGTGTCGCTGCAGCGTCGCCGAGCTTGATTCGGTGCACATTCTTGGTCGCGGAGGAGTCCTGGTAGCTCGGCGAGCCGCCTGCCGTGAGGATATAGCCATTCACGGCGTCGTACAAGGTGGCGGTTCCGCACATGGAATCAGGGTCCGAAGCTCGGGTTCCAGCCGACTTGTAGGATCCCGTACCGCTTACATTGAACCAATTCACTATCGGTCCTGTTAGTCGATTGTTTTGCAAAGATTAGTTCCAGTCCTTGTTATGGGTAATACTGACTTGCTTTGCTGGGCCCGGCTTGGAAGACCGAGTTCGCCTTCCATGCAAACAGCCAAGCATGATTATCCGTCCTGAAAGCCCCTTGAGCGTCAGCCGTGAGAATTGGAGTAACCGAGCATCCAGCCAGACTCGTCCAAACATTGGAAGTCGAGTTATAGATCTCGCCATTCTTCCCGCCATAGCCACCGCTCCAAGACCCGCCGATTGTGAAGATGCGCCCATCACCAATGGTCGTCTGTGCTTGGTAGCCTCTACCAATCGACATCTGGGCACCAGTTTGCCAGGCTCCAGTTGAGGGAAGGTAGTTGCTCGTTTTCTTGGCATCGTTGCCACCAGTGACCACGATCAAACCCTTGGCATCCATCGAGATACCGGGGCAGAACATGTCGTGGCCAGTGTTGGACACCACTTTTGGCGTAACAGCCTGGGACGATGGAGTCCAAAGCGCAGTATCGGTCAGGCCAGTGCCGCCAGAGAAGAGATCTGGGCGGAAAGCTGACCAGAAGACCACAACGTTATCCCCAGAAATGGCGCCCGCTGCAGGGACGATGGGGAGGTTGATGGTCACGTCCCAGCTGCCTTGAGACGACTTGGTGGGCGCCACGTACTTGCTTCCGTCCAGCGTCGTGTCGGGACTGTACACGTACAGCTCGGCAATGCTAGACCATTGGTTGCCAGCATCTTGAGCCTCGGACGAAGCCGTGATGCGAACATAACGGGCACTCGTGTTGGACCAGAACGAGTACTTGGTCGTAGCGTCGCTGAGCCAGTTGCCGTACGCGACGGGCGAGGACCAGGTCGTGCCGTCCGTGCTGACCGTGATGTTGTGTTGTCCAATATCTCCGTTGCGTTTGCCGTCCTGACGAGGCTGGTAGCCGAGTCCGTTGACGACGTACGACTTGAGCAGGTCTACCTGTATATAATGCGGTAGCGGTGCAAGCGAAGGACTGTATTGTGTGTGCCAAAACGTGCTAGAGTTGCCGTCAATGGCCTTTGCTGCTTCGTTACCGGACTGGACGCTATCCGCAGATGCGACCCAGCCGGTACGCGAGATGGGTTTCGCCCAGTCCCAAGTCACCTGGGAGGCAACCAGAGGGACCAGGCAGAGGCCAAAAGACCATGTGACCAGTCTCATTGTTATCCAAAAACTGTGCAAGTACAATAAACGAGAGACAAGACTAATGATTTGCCTAGTGATTTACTCGGCGGGGATAACAAAAGACCAAGACTTGTTGCGATATCAGAATTCTTAGGATGCCGAGAGACGTATTTAAGTAAACTGGACTCCTTGACCGAGGGAAAGGCCAATGACTATTTTTGGACGTGGCATATGGCTCATGGCATGTACAGAAAGTGCGAACGACACTACAGAAGCTCAACTCGGATATCTCTTGGCATGCCTCGGCAACCTTGCATATGGCCATAGTATACGCGCGGGGACCTGACATCCGCAAATGTGCAGTCGATCGCGATCTATCCTCTGGTTTATCTTGTATGTGACCCATCTCGAAACTGGGATTCAACACAAGCTACCATATGCACGTTCGGACAAGCTGCGTAAGCTCGCGTTGGGCAAAATAATAAGAAGAAGAAAAAAAAAGGCGGTATGCACCCACAAGCTCACCGTGGGCCGGAGTCGGAGTCCAGGCACGGAAGTCGTATAGCGATGCCTAGCCTTGTATCGTGAGGCGTGGGAAATATTGGACGGATGTAAGCCTCATTGGTCTGACTGAATAAGCGAAGAAAGAAGAGAAAGATGGCTGGAGAAACTATGGGGTGGCAAGTGGCGTCATGCAATAAGCTTATAGAATGGGCATCTTTTTTCAACATCTGCATGTGCATCTCCCATCGTACGACGATCGTGGATCGGCGTGGAATCAATGTTACGGACCGGTCCGTGGAGGTAGTCTCCATTCCATTTGCAAGTGCGCCCACTGGCAATGGACAGGGCATAGACACGACCACAACATCTGAAAGATACCATTAAATTGGCGTCTGCATATGATCAGGATTCTCCTTGTTCGTTGCCAAAACGCCAAAAACACAACATCTCAGCTGACAGCTCTTCCGGGGGAAATTATGACAGCCGCGACAAGCTATTCCTCGAATATAGACTGATGCCTGGTATTTCAGCTCTGCGCCCTGTTATCAGTCCGACTCCCAAAATGGATGAGTGTGACAGGGCCTTTGTTCCTGCAGTGACATGGCCAAGGCCAAACCCTCGTTCGGTTAACACTCCCGAGCTGCTGTTAGCCTGCTCCGATGCAGATAATTCACGAGGCGGGCCTACATTCCGGGATGTTTTCTTTTGTTTTCTTTCGTATGCGCAGTTCTATCCTTGTACTTGAGGCTGACCTGCCTCGAGAAGTGGCCCTGTGCCTCGTAGACGCAGTGCAATTCCGTTATACGATGAAAGAGTGTGTCAGAACTATCACAGCTTATAGGTCAGAACGTGCTGAGTGAGACGAATAAATTTTCCCAAGATCTTAGGCCAAGAACTCCTCATCAAAGAATCCTTGCAGTTGCTACGGAAGATTAGAGTAGAGCAGACATCGCACAAATTACGATTTTGGTTGCTTCCTCACAATGGCATTCACGATATTCCCATCTGCACGACTATCAAAGACGAGTAGACTACCCAATCGGTATCACAATTCCAGAGTTCTAATTTTGGGTCCGCGGTGACGGCGGCCTCTTAGCTTGCGCAATCTGTATATCAGGATTCACTGAACGAATAGAAGACACTCGGTTGCTTCCGAGCTGGAACCACCTTCTCAATGGGGAACAGCCGCAGAGAACGACCCCTGTCGCTGCGCATCGCACACGGACAACGCTCAACGGTGAGCAGCACGTGGGGTGGTTCAAAAGCAAGTGCAAAAGACGTTGGGAATGAATCTTTGATGGATGGCTATTGAAGTTTATTAGATTGGAGGAAAAAATAAATGAGGTTGGTAGCATTGGAACTAAGCACTGGGAGCACGCGCTACTGTACGTGATATTCGACATCCTGATTGCCTGGATCGACTATTTGATGCCAACAGGAATCTTGAAACCAATTCCAGGTACATGGCAAACATCTCGGTGAGATCCTGGCAAGAGCACGCGAACTATTGACGAACAAATCCCGATGACTTGGTCGCCAAAAGAGGCCGATGACACCCTATCTGGCCGCTGACTGCAGACGGCGGGAGGTGGGAGCAATCGGGTCGTCGAGATCATGTTTGTGCAAGTGAAAAAGTCTTGATAGGCTATTTGCGCTGCCTTGAGGGTACATGGCACGATATTCTTTGAGAGTGCTCGACAGAATGGACGGATGGAACGTGGGCTCGGAGCCCTCTTGTCTCAGTGTTCTAGACAGTGTTGTAATGATTCAAGAGAATATCGCTAGGATTAAATGATCTCAGCAGTAAAGATTCACATGAAAAGGCTTGGAGTCGGACAATTCTTCAAGTGAGCTACGACCAGGGTAGCATGACGAGCTCGATCATCAAGCTATCTTCCCCTGGCTGTTGTATTCGATTTGCACCATAATCGCACAAGCCTGTGTGTGCCATGCGGCATGATGTATGCAATTCAACAAAATATGGTCAGCCAACTAACACTAGATTGTGTTTCTGCCTCCACGCTGAATCAGCAGGTTTGGATTGGCAATATGCACATCGCAGTCATCAACCCCGTCGCTTAAGCATCCGAGCCTGCGGAACCCACTTGGCAGATACGCGGCGTGGGGTGTTCTTGACCCTAAATGGCAGTTCAGCCGCACAATGCCTCACGGATGCTTGCCTTGAAAACAAGATGTTCTGGATCGAGATGGATTCATCGCGATTCTAGACTGCTGCCGGTCTTCCGCGCTGTAGTCCGCATACATCCTCGGTTGACTTCACAAACAAGAGGTTCAAGTCGTCCGTGCTAGCCGCGGGTGCATGTGGCTCATCCACCATTTGGCGTTTGCACTGTTCATGGAGTCAAGTTCCAAGCCGAGAGAACCCTCAAAGCTAGTTGTTCCAGCCACAGCAGCTCTAGACTCCCCAGAGCGATCCGGTCTGCTACAAACATGCGCAGTAAGAGAGACCTATAGACCTTCTTCTCTGTGTCCGATTCGTGCTCTAGGACATATGCATCCATGGAAGATATCCTGAAATCTCTGATATCTGTCTTGACATGCGTGTCTGGGGGTTTGCTGGAGGCCTGAGCAGATGTCAATGGCCGCTCTATCCGCTGAGGCCTTTGTCGAAGACTTTGAATAAGCTTGAAGCATCCAAAGTCTACAATATTTCGAGTGGCAAAGGCCGGCGGCGGCTTCTTGAAAATCAATTTCGGAAGTAGTTCTGGTTTAGATATCCAAATCGTGCAATTGTCGTGGAGTTCGCAAAACAAAGCCTCAAGATCATGAGCGTAGTAAGCGAATCTGGTGTAGAATACCGGTGTCAATACCTTGAATTCCAACACATTTCTGCCGTTGTCGATACTTTCTTGAGCTGATGGAGACATCATAGTCTCCCCTTCAGCATTCGAGACGCCGCTAGGGATATATTTGACCTCCACCACAGCTGGGGTTTGGTTCACTAGATGTCGAAGGTATCGTCGGAATATAGCCTCGAGTTGACGCTCCGTATCATCCGCCCGGCGACCCATACTTTCCTTCAGTGGCTCTGGCCGGTACCAGACATGGAGCTGACGCTTGAAAAACAGGACGCCAGCCTCCTTGACAATTCGTGGGAAGGTGACGAACCCGACCCACCACCAAGAGAATAAGAATTTGAGCTTCCGCCATGTTGTCATCGTCATTGGGTCTATGGCAGCTCCGTCGGAAAAGATGCGGGCGACGAGTTTTGCATGTGATTTGGACGAGAGTAAATTGATGGTGCTGTCAATCGAGCCGCTGCCCTCGAGCATTGGCGCAAACGGGTCATGTGCAACAAGTGAGTAGCCGCCTTTTCGTGAGTTGAAAGGCGAAACATGAAAATCCTTTGGCCAAGCACGGCGCATTGTGGTCGTAGATGGCTTGGTCAGCGGTTTCACATCTACCCCCGTCTCGGCGAGTATTTCGTCTGCTGTCTTGGATGAAGGGTCATCCGACGACAGGAAATACATGCGCCGCTCGTCAAAGGTATTGTTGACCTCTAGTATCATGGCAGTCATTTCTTTCTCGGCGGAATATAGATACCAAAATGAAACAGGGTTGAAGTGGTATCCTAGCAGTTTAGCCGCAGTGGTAAGGTAGGCAAAGGGATACCGGGATGGGTCGACACCCTGCCACAACGTCAGCGATATTTAAATGCAGAGTCCAAGATGAGCGTACTTGAGATGTGAGATATTTGTCCAACTTTTGTCTCAAGGTCAGATGACCGCTGCCTCTTTCAAGATAGTCGGCAGAGTGAATCTGATACCACCCCTTCCTTGCCGTGTTAGGTGGCCCGGTCGCTATCATACCGTTCGCGTCACCTTCCCAGCCAACAGGTACACCGACCATGAGGTAGGAGTATTTGAAGGAATGTTTCTTTGGAAACAGTCTGGTGTGAGTGGTCTGGCACGGAAAAAGCAGCGGCTTTAATGGCCCGGCTGTTTCTCCAGAGGTGCTCCGTATGCCCAATCGACTCCATCGCCAAATTAAATAAAGTAAACCGAGAGCCGCGGCGGTAGAATAGAGCACCGACACATCATATGAATGGTGTTGCCATAGAGGAACCAGCGCCTGGCCTTTCTGCCATCTCTTCCACAATGTCACGGCGACCAGCACGTATGCGTCATTGGCGGAGCCGAAGAGCAGATAGTAACAGGCCGACAGAATGCCTGCGACGCCGACCTGCCGCGGGAGTTGGCGAATGATTTCCATTTGACCCGAGCAATTGCAGAGCCCAGATGTCTGATTTGCGACACGACGGCCCTGTGGTTGACCTTGAAGCCCGTGTGCAACAACAGATTTCGGTCCACACCGTCGCCGCGCAATCTAGCTCGTCAGATATATGACGAAGAAAGAGAAATCAATGACTAAACCATAGTTTTCAACAAAACAAAGACAGGAAATGTGAAGTTGCGATGCCTCAACCATGATACGATTCCCATGCAAGCTGCCCCCACTGGGCTTGTCCGAGCGCATCGGCTTCATACACGCATCGGTAGCATACGGTCATGGATGCATAAATTCCTCACCTAGATGCCGAGTGTCTCCCCACCAAAGCTAGCGTTCCTGCCCCGAAGTGTAATGCGCCACAGAATGATCAAAGGATGGATGAATTTGAAGCCACACAAACATCCCACCATTCATTTTGACGCCTCAATTCGACCGTCATCAGTCCCATCGGAGTTAAGGCCACAATGTCCTCTCGAGGCAAAAATAAGCCAGCCCTTTTTCGCGCTTGCCCTGGCAGTCAAGCAGTTGTGCCTGATCCGTGCTCAGCTTTAGTGCAGTATGTGTGCAGGTGCAGTCACTGCGAAGTCAGGCAATGGACGCCCCGAAAAGTTGCCTCCCCGACTGAGTCAGCGGGGTGGCCGACCCAGACAGACATCAGCCTCTCCCTCAGCCCCTCCAGAGTGGCCTATAATTCCATGTCATTCCACGCGACCACTACATCATTGCAAACTTCGACTCCATTCCCAATTGCTTACACGCAACTCTGGTCACTACTCCAAATCCCAACAAGGACACCACAACCACCAAACACAACAAGCAATTCTTCTATTTTCCGTCACCTCCACCAAGTCACTGTAATCCAAATCGTTCAAGATGTCTGACGACTGGGATTCCGTTACCAAGATTGGCGCCCGCACCCGCGGAGGTGGTGCCTCCCAGCGCGAGACCGTTGTCAAGAGCGCATCGGCCCTGAACGCAGCCCGCAGATCTGGAGCTGCCATCAGCACCGAGAAGAAGTACGCTTCATCCAACGCCGTACGTAGTCCTACATGACTTCTGTTCCCCCCTTGCATTGCCCTGCCCATGACGCAGCTGCGTCATAATTCCCCTCCCGAACCACAGTCCCGGGATTGTGCTGCAGCACATTGCCCCCTTGCATGAGCCTCTAATCCATCAAGACGTATCAATCTGCTATCTAGTCAATGTTGTGGAACATGTCACTTACAAGGTCTTATTTTGCAGGGTGCTGCACCCGAAGGACAAAGATTGACCAAGGTTGATCGATCAGACGACATTGTCAAACCCAACACAGTGGGAAGGACCGTCGGAGAAGCGATCTCAAAAGCGCGAATGGCAATGACACCAAAATTGAGTCAGAAAGATCTGGCGACGCGGATCAACAAAACCCCAGCTATCGTCAATTCCTTCGAGAAGGGCGAAGCAGCACCTGACCAGAGCATCCTGGCCGCCATGGAGCGCGTGCTTAACGTCAAGCTCAGAGGCAAGGACATAGGCCAGCCAAAGTTCGCAAAGAAGTCCTAAGGATAGAATCAAGAAAAAGGGAACAACATCGGCACGAAATGAACATGATGGCGGCATGTTGGACGAGACACTGTATCAAGTCTTGGGGCTCGATATGTGATACAATTCTGCAGAATCCCAATGATTCCAGAGTAGGCAAATCCTGCGCATAGTCCTTAGATTGTTTTTTCTTGAAAAAGACTAGAAAAATAGACATCTTTCAGAGCCACGATGTGTTTGGATACAGCCATGGGATTGCCTTCCAGAGAAATGGTTGTTTCATCTTGGATTTTTGACACGGAGCAAGGCTGAGCAAGCACATTATATTCACATTCGCCTTGTTTATATGTGCTTGCAAGTTGGCCCAGCCTTTTATGAGAATGTCGTCACACAGAGACTTGAGTAAGCAGCCGCAGGTAGGCCACATGATCCAGTTATTTCTGGTGCACTGCTCAGTCATCGTGAACTTGAGTCTGGCATTTGTGTGCTACGACCTCATTTGATTCGAGCTGCATTATTATCATCTTGTGCTTCTGATTGAAGAGGTATCTGGCAAAATTCCAAAAAGCCCAACTGGGTATGCTATGTTATGCTATGCCATGCGCCATGATGCTCATTCCCGAAAGACGTGAAATCCAAAGAACCAGAAATCCAAAAACGACAATACGCATGTGCCTTCCGAGAAATAATCGACTCCTGCACCTCAATTTTTGACCGTCAAGTTCTGTACCCGTTTCGCGATCTCCGCTTTGCTAAGTTGTTGGTCTGTCTCGACCACCACGTTCTCTTTCCCACTAATAGTCACAACCTTGATCCAAGTAGGCGCCACTTCCTTTGCAATCAACCTGATGCAGATTGCGCCCTCCTCCTTTGAGATACCCATGCGGAAAGAGTCCTTCAGCTTCTGCAGCATGACAGGCATGGTGAATGAGATCCGGCCCATTCCTCCGGAGCTCGCTCGGCTGAGCATGCCGATCAGTGCAGTGACTTCGTCTACGCGCTGAAATGCTGCATGTCGCTCGAGTTCGGCAGGTGAGAGGCCTGCCGGGAGTGCGGCTTTCTGCATCTGCTTGAACCGGATGCGGTCGAGCAGGCTCATTTTGGAGCCATCGGGATTGGTGAGGGATGATGGCGACGACGCAGAGAGCGACTTTGGTGCAATTTTGGCCTCTTTCTCCAGCTTCTTTGCCGCAATTCCCTGCTTCAAGTCATCAAGACGCTGTTTGCCTTTGGCCGTTACAGCACATGCTTTGGTGACCGATTCGCACAGAGCGATGCTAGCCTGGGGCAGACTTTGTATGAAACTGGTTGGAATAGATCTGTGCTTATTGAATTGAGATTGAGACCACAGAGACTGAATGTTGGCTCGGAACTTGTGGTTGAGTTCGCTTTCAACCAAAAGTCCAGACGTTTGAGACTGGTCGAGCTCGATACACACTTTTCCGCGGCCATAGTCTGATAGAGAAAAGAGGGGCTTCATCGTCTTCAAGTTGAGAATGCCCAGGCAAGTGCGAATGTCTACATCAGTCACAGCCTTCTTGCCCCACGCTCTAGAGACATTAGGGCACAAGATACGAAGATCCGCAGGAACGTGAGAGCCATTGTGTGCGTAGTGTATCGTCAGGGTCTTGAGGAGTGCGGCATGAAGCTCTATTAAGTCAAGCACCTCGACGGGTAATTTTGGTGCCGGGGAGCTTTCGAGCTCGGAATCAGCCTCAGAGTCGGCAATTGAGGTGGCCGCGGTAACTGGTGACGAGTCTCGTGAAGGCGAAGATTCTAGTCGAAGTCGCTTGAAGAGTTTGTCGGTGCTGGACTGCTCGGACTCGGAGACACTGAGACTTCTGCCGCGCTTGAGAGAGACAGGTGCTGGCTTTGACTTCTTTGGGGGACGACCACGACCGCGCTTGGCTGGCAAAATGTCACGCTCGCTGGTCTTTCGCGTACTGGAAGGTGCAGCCGTGCGCGGAGCCTCATCAGCTGAAGAGTCGCTATCGTCCACAATGGCCTTGACAGCCTTGCGTTTCCGCGACGGGGTAGAAGTAGATGCTTTGGTTTCCGAGGAGGTTGTGACTGCGTGCTTCGAGATTACATCTGTCTTTTCTTCGGTGCTTTGAATGCTCTTGGACACGCGTGTAAATCTGTTCATAGTTGTTCCTTCCTCCTGCTTTGCTACCACGAGTCTAGACTTGACCGCAGGCCTTTGGCGCTTTACAGCAGCCGGCATCGTGAAAATATTTCAAGGGGAAAGTGCAAGTGGAAAATATGATCTAATGCAGCTAAAGCGCAGCTGCAGGCAATATAGTAAAGACGATGAACAATTGAGGCAACAAGGACTGAACTCGCTTGCAGTTGCGGTCGTAGATAGCGAAGATGGAGAACATTGAAGGGAAGCTTGGAGGGGCCGCGTCCAAGCAGAACATGATAAGCTTCTATCCATCCACTCATTTCGCGATTGACCCACTGCACGATGCGGCGCGTTGCAGCGCGTCGCACAAGACGCGTTCGCGTCAAATTTGCGTCTTAAGTGGCTGATTTGGCTGGTGGGGGATGAATTGTTTTCATGGAGCGGCCAGCGGCTAGACCCCCGTCTCCACTCTACTTCGGTTGAACCCGTTGGCGCTAAGCCTGCTGTCAAACCACGACTATCGCTTCAGAACTACATTACCAAGACTGCTTTTCAATCCCAGTGAGCATACTGTTTGCTGCGTATCAAGCTGCGAGATCATGTCGCCTTCAGGCGTTGGTAGTGCACGGAATAACAACGCAGATACACTGGGACTAGGTACGTATTTTAAGGTAATTTATCTTAGGCGTGATCGCCCGCCCTGAGCATCTGCATTGCGCAAATTTGGTTGGTCTCTAAGTCTCCGCTGAATACCCCCTTGTACTCCACGCAGCGCCTACACAGTACAAAGTGCATGATGGTCCATAGCGCGCGGCAATAAAATTCTTGTGAGCGCCTTTTACCTGCTACATGTTCTACTTTCACAGTCCCAAGAGAACCCGATGACACGGTACCAATCATATTTGAAGACAAGCTTACTACTTTGTACGCAGACCTGCATAATCTGCGATTCTGCATACCCGTCCAACCAACAACCTGTATTCTAATGTTTCAGATTGGCATCTGTCCATATAGCAACTGTACAACTGAGAAGCGCGCCAGGGTGGTTACAAGCCCCAACAAAAAGCGATCCTACTGTCCTTTGCTTGAACTCATATTTGAAATGCAATCCACCTGCTGTTTCTGCCGGCTGCTCGCCGCTAGCCAGCCCAGGTCGACGCTTTCTTGACGACATACTTCACTATCACATCGTAGAAAACCTTTCAAGATCGATGATGATCTGCGACTGTTGAGCGCGACAATTGAGACGTTACACCCCAAGTGCAGAACTCTATTGCATCCTCGCGATAGATTGGGGAAAGCAAATCGGCGTCAAGAAAATGGCTCGCTGCAAATACTGTTCTGCCTTGTCCATTAACGAGCTGGTAAGGCTTGCTCAACAAGAGTTTGAAGGACATCAGGTCTCCAAGCAGGCTTTCTATCAGCATCATCCATCCTTCGATGACCTCGAGCGGTCTGCAGGTCAGTATTTAGAACTTTTCTTTCCAACCCCCCCCCCCCCCTCTCCTCCCCCTCCTTCTTTCTTTGTTTTTTCTTAGAAAAAAAAAAACTTCCCCAGTCCTTGGCATAGTACGGGTCTGGATATTGCTTCCAATACACTCTCGAGGGGACTTGTGATGGAACTATTGATAGTGAGCACTGATTTTGACCTGCTTGGAAGAAATCGGCTGCGACTTTTGCCGTCTCATTCTGGAGTGCTTCAAAGGAACTCCCAAGGAGACACCTTATCTTGGATTTTGGCCAGATGAATGGCTTGGTTCCAGATGCAAAATTGAGGAGTCCATGTACGCAATAGCGAAAGAGCAGCCACACTCCTACGTACGCATTTCCATCAACAGCGACAATATATTTGCAGGTGATACGCTTGAGCAAGTTTCGATATTCAACACGTTACTTGTGCAAGTTGGACCAGATGGGATCCTACACGACGACCGCGAAGATGACGAAGATTTCCTGAGCTACCCACCCCAGCTTGTCCTTGCCATACAAAACCACGGTCAAAGTATGTTGCTATCCGATGAGAACTCCCATCCTCGTATCTATTCTCACAGCTGACGCCCCTTAGATATTCAAATAGAGAGGTTCCAGATAGGATGTTACCCGACCGACCCAGATTTGCGGTCCAGTGCCAATTTCTCAATAGCCCGTAACTGGCTGCATCACTGTCGACATGAACACACCGAGTGCCGGTTTGACTACACCCCTGTTCTGCCTACTCGAGTCATTGATGTGGGCTTTGACGAGAAGTTTCGAGACACTCGTCTGCTTTTGTCAGAGGGGTTAAAAGCAGAATACGTGGTATGTAACTCTTTCGCTTGTGCTAATACACTGCATTCGCATTTTGCAGAGTTTGTGAGAGCATAGTTATAAGTTCGAGCAAATCTAATCGATTTTCAGGCACTCAGCCATTGCTGGGGTGGGCCAATATCACCCGTACTTACTGACAAGCTCGTGGGGTTGTTTCAAGAATATCTCCCTTTTAAGGAGCTTTCTGCTAACTTCAAGGATGCGATTGTTGTTACTCGCCAGCTGGGGATGCGCTATCTCTGGATAGATTCGCTCTGCATCATTCAGAATTCCAAGGCAGACTGGGAAAAAGAATCCAAGCGAATGGATAGTGTATACGGCAATGCCACTGTCACTCTTTCCGCTATGGCATCTGCTGGGAGCACTGAGGGAATATTGAAAAGTATCCCTGTCGAGATATCACCACTGCCCGTGCCACTACGGGTTTTCGCGGACAATCACAACTTGAATGTGATGATAAAAAGATATGAGCCAACGGCAGAAGACTTGAATAAGCTCGATATGAAAGGTCCGTTGTCAAGTCGAGGGTGGACACTTCAGGAATTTGTACTGTCACCACGGCACTTGCTCTATGGCGCACATCAGATATATTGGAAATGTGCTGTCGGTAAGTGGCCTGCGCTTCCTCATCTACATATACAATTCTATTCACGAAAATAATTTGTGCGTGGAATTCGAATATGGGCATTTATTACTTGACAAAAGCTGACCAGTATCTTTTGTATATGATAGGATACTTCAGCGCAGATGGGCTAACCAATGGCCTGAGGTTTCCAGAGCACGGTTACGATGGTGTTGCAGCCATTCTCCATTCTCGATTCCGCGATAGCCACGTACAAAAATGTTCACCCAGCCTGAACGGTATACTTAATGAGTACTACAAAATGGTCTCGACTTATTCGCATAGGACGTTGACGTTCAAATCTGATAAACTGCCCGCCTTTTCCGGTCTGGCTCAAGGACTCCACGAGTTACTTGGAGGTGCGTTATATCCCAAAACTCTCTTACTATGGGTCCTCGTAAGGACTTCAGCAATGTCAGAGTAGCTCTGCACTACTTTCGTCGATCACAAAGGCTGATTATCGAGATATTACTAGGACACTATCTGGCTGGTCTCTGGAGTTGTGACATTGGCGACGGGCTGCTTTGGCACGGGGAATTGGGCTCAGCAGTCCATGTGTCTAGATACCGAGCACCGTCATGGTCATGGGCAGTGACCGACGAACCAGTGGTATTCGACGTTGATGCTCACGAGATTGAGCGTGACAATCCTTTCTCCGTTCAAATGATTTCCCATGAAATGGTGCCAAGAGTTGGGGCGAATCCTTATGGCGAAATTCGGTCTGGTTCTTTGACGCTCAAGGGTTTCACCAGGCCTATCATTCGCAGCAAGCAAGTCATACCATATCTCGGGTATGAGGAAGAATGCGGTTGCGTCGACTTTGATGACGCAGAGGTCACTGATAACGTGCGCGTCTTCGACAGAGGGATCGGGCGTCAATGGGTCGCGATTCGCAGAACCTACGGAGAGAGAACAGACTGGGAGGTAGACCCTGGGTTATATTATGCGGAAGAGTATATGCTTTTGTATATTCACCATACAAGACGCGATTATTGCCTAGTATTGAAACCTTCGCACTTGTTACAAAGCAATGCATACGAAAGAGTTGGGTTATTTGTGACCTTTGAAGATATACGAGAGAGTGTAGCAGGCTGGAAGACACAGACCATTGTCCTAGTATAGACCAGGCGGTCTTCAATAGACCTTCCATTTCTGACTCAAAGATCCGAGCTCATTCACAATCATCAAGTTGTGCGATTTCGATCATCTAGCTTCACTTTTACCTCACTACAAATGTAGGTAGTCGATGTTTTGCAAGCAGACACATAATCATTTGGCAGCGACAATCAATGACATAAGACAAGTAGCCGTTGTTTGCTCTTCAAGATTTGAGAGCCCAAACATTGCACAAGAGTTGGGGCTGGGAGAAACAGCCGTTTGAAGAGCACTGCCATAAACGACTTTCAAAATTGTTCAGCCGAAGGAGCAGCTGGACCTGGCTACTCATGGGTAGCCGGCTATCATTGTGCATCCATTATTCCGAGAATCATTTAAAGTCATGTTTATTATCGCCAGTGTTGGTATCTCCACAAGAGTAGTAGCATTACAGACGAAAAAAAAACCCTAGACGCCCGAGTGATGAATGTTGCAGTGCCCCGAAAAGAGAGAGCGCTGCCCTTGTTCTACTCCCCACCGAATGACTGTTCCTATGCTAACAAAGATATTTTTGCTTTTTTGTACACCTTGACTCCTCCGAATGACACGCGCCCTCAGGCCCCTTGTTCACGCTTTGCTTTGCTATCAGTACAGAGAGTATGCAGTGCGATCGGTCGCAAGCTGTAGTGCAATCGACCGCCGAGAAAGAAAGAATTGAAGTCAAGCCAGCAGACGCCAGCATGTCGCCACAAATATGGCTGCTGAGGTTGGGCTGGCCAAAAGAAAAGAAAAAAGACCAATGGGTGTACCTCAGTGGTGCATCGAGCTCCGCCATTGGTCGTGGTGCTGAAAGCTCACGGGACTCGGCGGTGGAGGAGCCGGGACGTCCCAGTCTCGCTCCTTGATGCCACGCACCGGCGGTTGTGACTTGGTGTTGTTGTTTTTGTCATTGGTACCGTTGGAGGAGGCCAAGGTCTCGTTCAAACTGGCAAAAAGCGCCTCGGACGTGACCAGCCGCATGCCCTTGCGGGTGGGCGTAATGGGCACGGGGGCTGCGATTTGGCTAGGCATGGTTTTTTTTCGACTAGGCTGTAAAAAGTAGACGGGGCTGGCTGGTATCTCGTGTAAGTCAATGAAATTCCGAGATGCACTGCGTATTGGAAGCTATCTGCAGTGTGGAATGGAATAGTGACCTGAGCCGCCAAGACTTACTGGTTGTTGAGTATCTAGGAAATGTAGATATTGTGTTCTCTTTTCTGCTGTACAGGTACTCGCGCGTCCGTGACTTCCCAGGTTGGTATTGGAAGTTGTGTGCTGTGTTCTGGGGGCCGCGTGGAGATGGAGCAAATAAGCCGGTTTGCTTGGTGGCGAGTATCAAGACTTTGAAAGTGTTTTTCTTTTCTTCTCCAGAAGTAAGGTAAACAATTAAAAGTCGAGAAAATGCCGACAAGGTGACTGACGTCCACGTCTTGATATATGCTGGGTTCAATGGCCGGATTGGCCGTGCAGACAAGTTGGGAAAGAGCGGTGGATGTAAGTCAACAACAACCAAAAACTCGGGCCGCAGACGGCAATGTACCTAGAGGTAATTGATGTAGGTAGCCAACTAGGTATGTACTACTGTAGGTAATGTAGGTCGGTAAATATGCAGTCGTCAACTGGTCCAAGGGAGGCGACCTCGTGTCTGAGATGTATCTCGAACTGGGCTCAGAGCCAAGGAGCTTCCCCAGTTAAAAGCAGCAAAGTATAACTTTATGTATACGAAGAATTCGGCGGCGACTAGTTTTGCGCTGGGCAAAGCGAGGACCAAGCACCAGATGAACGCTTGACTGTGGGCACTTGTACACACAACGTTGGAGAGCTTCTGGAAGCCGTGTATTATAAGCCGGCAGGTAGTATGTAAAAGTACGGTACTAGGCAAGATGATCAAGGCAAATATTTCCTTCCCATGGAAAACCGTGAGCGGGAACGGGGGGGGACTGGGGGGAATTTAAGGTCGAGAAGGCAAGACCCCCGACAAGGGATGGGAAAAATCCATTAGAATTGGCACACTTGGGGGGGCCATAATAAACTCACTCGTACATGAGAGAAACATCCATGTAAAGAAAAAAAGGTATGCCTTTAGATGGGGGGAGGTGCATGGAAGACGCAATGTTAGACAAACAGCCACGTTCCTCGGCATGCTTGCTGCCCGGCTCATTCTTCTCAAGTTCTCCTAATAACAATACTACCTACTTAATATTTTTGGCCTATTTTTGCCCCAGATTTTGATATGTTGGGGTTTGTGGATACTGGAGCCGGGAGGGGACCAAGAAAAAAGCTGGGAAAGCTGGGGTCACAAAAGGGCCTTTGTGGCACATAGCCCAGAGAATGACGGGAATTCAGGCGTCTCGCACTGACCGATGATTCGACATGCTCCAATCTCGGTACTTTGACCTAGGGAGAAGTTGTGACGGCATCGTGTACACGAGGGCCAATGAATGCCGGAACATGTCATTGATCGGACTACGACGTATAAGCAAAGCAGACCGAGCACGAGCGAGCTGTCAGTCAGATAGACGTGGGATGCTGGCTGGGCTGCATGCTGAGGCTGACAACCGCTAATAATACGTCTTGCCCATCAGCAACCTCTCGAATCAGGTACCTGATCTGTCCAGACCGCATATATGAGGTACAGTTAGTTGGTAATGCATGTACATAGGTAGGCATTCCTGTTGGAGCATGAGGGCAGCAATCGATTGCTTTAGCCGAATGACTGAATCATTACTTTGTTCCCAAGAGAGGACCTGCAGCGAATTCCTTTGATTCCACAATGGCAACCGGCTGTCTTGACGGGCGGTGCGGGTAATATAAAATGTACCAGGTAAATACCTAGGCTGCAAAAACCGATACTTGTCGTCCACGGAATCGTGAGACTTGGCGGCTCCGATAGGTGGGAAGATGCATGAGAAGCGTTGAGTCTGGATGCGTGTATCAAAAGGTATCAAATTTGTCCCCGGCTGGTTCTGCTGTTCTGTTGCATTGTGGAAGTTCTTCTCAAAAGTTCCATGCTTCCGGATGAACTGGAGCCACTTGGCACTTCTCAGCGGTCCCGTCCCCCAAGAGGGGGGGGGGCCTGATTTACCGGGCGACCAGGGGCTAGGTTTGGGGTACTGCACCCCCCAAGAACGAACAAAAAAAACTTCCTTCTTCTCCTTTTGTTGGCGGGCTACAGGCACATTAGGGCCATGATTCACATTCCTAGGCTCTAGGCAGTAGCCTGAGCACGCAGCAGCCCCAGCGCAATTGGCCGTGATCCCGCTTTCCCCGGATTGATCTGCCCCCACAAATCAGACGACTGTGGAGTTTGGAATGGAATGGATTTCATGGATTTCACCTGGAACAGGGGACAAACGCGCCCAAACACTACCTGGACTTCTCGTTATTGCGAATAAGTCGCGCCATCCAAACACCCCAAACCATGCTCCTTGTCGACTTAGGCTTGAGGGAAAGGGGAAAAAAAAGTTAGAGAGAAAAACTTGCTTCACCACGCACCCAGCAATCACCAGTCATTCCAGCATTTTGGTATTTCCGCCCTGTTATTCATTGTCTGTCCAGCTTGTCACTAGCTGCGTGGTCCACTGACCACATCATTGGCGATCACGGAAACCAAGCTGCTACCTGCCTAGGTACGGTTACTCCAAGGTATCCCATTCAGCTGTGCCCTGCCATGCCAATGCTTGGTCAATCATAATGTACCGACCATTAGCCAGTTGTCAGTTTCCAGTGTCAGTATCGTCTCTCACGACTAGCACCGGGCCACCATTTGCCGATTGCCAATAATTGGAAGGAGCTGAAGGAGCAAGTCGTCAGCAGCAGCCAGAAATGGGGCCGAACAACCGCCAGGCTGTCCAGTCGCATATACATACATACACCTTACTTCCCGTACATACTACTACTATTTCCGGCTCGCACGTAAGCCAGAGATTACCAAAACGGCGGACATGATATGGCATCTGGAGGGAGGATTGCGATTTTGGGGCCACACCAGGATTTCAAACTCGCGTTCCTCGCAGCAATGCGACTCCGAACCCCCGAAACCGTTCAGGATATCTAATCCAAAGTAGAACAGCCAACAGCTATTCGGCACGAGTTTGCGACGACATGGTTCTACTATGTATAGGTTCCCGGTGGATGAATTCGCTTCTGGGAAGGACCCAAATTTCGGGATCAAGGATGTAAAACTGCCTGCGGAATGGCTGACCGCTCACCGTCTTGTGTCCTGGGTGTACATCCAACGTGGCCATCGTCCCATCTCATTACATCCGAGGTCTCGTCTCGTCTGGTCTCGTTGCGCGGCGCGGCGTGGGGGGAATGTCTACTGCCCATCCCTCGGGAGTGCAAGGGACAGGCAACATGTGAAGCCTCAATCAAATGGTGCTGCTGGCGTCGCTACAATTGGCGTCATTGCCCCGGGCGAATCTGTTAGCTCTCCGTCCAAACACTGACAAGTGTCATCGGTCGAAAGCCCTAATCGATGAGAGGAAAGTGAATCAGAAATGATAGCCCCAACAACCCCTTGGCAATCCCTGCGTTCTACAGCAAGGGCACCCGCCGCGTATCCAGGGTTACAATACTGCCTTTTCGCGTTACATGCCATGCTTCTCCATGGTTCACGCACGACGATTGCGTCCTACCCACGAAAAGATCGCCAGTAGCTTAGCCGAGCCCTTTCTTACTGATCCAAGTTTCACAGCTCTTTTCTTGTATCCCTTACTTACTCTACTGGAAACGGCAAATGCAAGTCGGCATCCGAGAACTGGCACCAGGCACCTGGATACCTAGGACAGTTATTGACTGAATGGAAGTTCTACCAAATGCATGCTTAACGAGAACCGCTACCTACTTGGGCATATGCGTGTGGGGTGCATCAGTCCCGCGTGGCATCGTTGCTTATACCCCAGCTCTGCACTCCCGCAGTCCTCGCACCTAACTCCACCCACCCAGTCCTTCGGGAAGTTCCCACCCTCCTTGTCAGCCATTATGATGGCCATCAGTCCTACTATCATCTCATTCATGTTGAGCTGCATGTAAATATGCAGGTCTCAGGTCTCCAGGCATTAAAGAGGCTCACAAGATGCGGTGAGATCGTCAGATTGTTTTATTTTTCTTTTCCGTCTAGTTTGTAACCTCTCGGAAGTTTGAATCGAGGCCAAACGGGCAAAAGCTTCGCATTGCACATATCTGTCGCATAGTGAGCCGCCATTCCGGGAATCTGCAGGATTTGATGACAATCGCGGGCACCTCTTTTTACTTACTGGGAACTTCACATCTTGGGATTTGAGGAGTAAGACGGCGGGACTACCAGAGAGACTCGTCGTGCTTATCTGACCAGCTAATATTGTTCCAACTACTGCAATTTCAACCATTGCAAAAGGGGCGGTGAATCCGACTCTGATAGAAGCCATGTCAGAAAGTAACAGTCCGACAAAGAGCGCATCGAACTCTGGTCGTGGATCAATATGGTGTCCATAGTCAGCTCAAGTCATCAACACAATCGGTGAGCAGTGCCAACAGTCTATGTTTCAGAGCAGTTATACAAAGAACACACCCACCATCCATGACCCACCAGAGATGGCAGAACTACAATCTAGTGAGCCAAAAGTTATTGACGTGAAGTCATATTTGCGATATTACAATGAATTAAGCTATTGGGTCCCGATGTGGCTGTTCGGATTGTTATATTTCTCAGCCCGGCTATAGACTTTGCGTCTCACTCTGTTGACAGCAGGGTCAAAGCTCTGTTTGTAATCACCCCACAAACTCTAAGCCTTTTGACTTGCATGGCGAGTTCAGCACCTTCGGTTCACCGTTGACAACCACATCATTCTCGAAGCAGATATTCTGTGACAATAATCGAAAATGACTATACTAGTTGCATATCGTACGTAAACCTGAAGTTGGGCATCGTCAACTTTACCTTCACTGCCATGATCCTTTGGGGGCTCATGTTTGTCGAGTTTCGAAGAATCCGAGCATAATGATGCGAGCTTGACGGTTTCGATTGCTCCAAAAACCCGAAACCTAGATGC